TGGAATAATTATTCTTTTTATTTTTTTAAGATCTAGTTATTTCTATTGAAAAGTTAGATCTTATAGAGAGAAGGAGAGACAGAAATATCACCGGTCCATTGATTCACTCCCAGCACAATGGCTGGAGCTGGATTATTATGAAGACAGGAGCCAGATTCTTCCAAGCCTCCCATGCTTTGGGCTGTCATCTACTGCTTTTCTAGGCCACAGGCAGGGTGCTGCTAGTCAAGTGGAGCGCTGGGATACGAATCGGTGCTTTGTAGGATCCTGGCACATGCAAGGCAAGGTCTTTAACCACTAGGCTACCGCGCTGGGCTTGGACTAACTTTCTTTCCTTCTCCATTTGCAAGAGTTATTTATTGGGAGAGGAAATACAAATTTTAATTTTTTTAAATTTTATTTTTATTATGATGTTCTACGGTGCAAAATTTTAATTTTTAGGCATTAAAATCCATCAGTGTTAAGTTAGTGCTTCTACTATGATCAAAACTGTAATGCATGGTGTGACAAAGGACTTCAAGCAATCGTCCTAACTACTTAAATTTTTTTAAAATGAAATGGTAAGTCACTTTAAATGTGACGCATCGCAGTTAAAATTACTGAAGTCACTATGGTAGACAAATGCATTGGATGTACCACCACCAAAAGCTTACTTTTAGCACTTTAATCTCTTTTTAAACTCAGATCAAAATCATATTTCATTAGTATATATATGGATTACATGAGATAGTGCAGTTACAGCACTTCACACAGTGTTTGCCTCACAGTGGATATGTGTAGGTGACAAACTTATTCGTTGGGATATGGTTCTGGGGTTTTTATTGTCCGCAGTAAATAGGGTCTTTATTTTTGTTTAGTTTTTTGTGGCATAGTTTTCTATACTTCAGCTGTTGATTATCAACATGCGAGCAGACTCAACAACAGGTGGTTGCAGAAACACAAGATGGGAGTGAGAGATTCAGGGGGACTGGGGAAAATATAAGAACTGGAAATAACCTACTTAAACACCGTAGCTACGACCTCATGCCTTAAGGCTTCTAGTCTTGCTAGCCATCTGTTGATCATAGTCCAGAAATCAGAATTCCATAGGCATTCACTTTCTACAGTCCAGTGAAGTATGCAAAGCAGAGGAAGCTGCTCTCATGCTGCAAGTTCTAATGGTTCTAGACTTACTTAATCCCTTCTACTTCCCTTGCTTGGATGGAGCCGCATGATGAGTGGCTTAGCTCTAGGCTATCACATGGTGTGGAGACTAAAACACCCATGTTTCAGAGCATGGTATGCCAGCCCACCACTGTCACACTAAATTCCGGAATAAGTAAAAAGGGTTACTGGCCCAATGGAGTCCTCACGGGAAAGGGATGACACAGGAGCTAAAGAAGGGAGTTTTGGGTCTATCCTGGCAAAATAAAATGAGTGGAAATGAAAGCTGAAAGCTGTGGGAGATAAGAAGGGCCATGAAAAATCTTCAGATCAACTAACTCAGTTAATTAAAAATATTTTCAAAATAGGATATATAATCTAGAAGATGTGGGTGGGAGAGTCTATCATCTTTCATGTTGTGCAACCCTATGAACTTCAATCTGTCTTTGCTTAATGTCAGGCAATCGCCAGGAAAGCATGCTGCTTTAAAAGACATTTTTCTTGGATTACAAATTATTGAAAACACATTTGAATTCCTAAAAATTAAATTAGTTGTTTTTATTCAATTTCATGTGACATGAACCTCATTCAAAAGAGCTTAATTTTAAAAGATAAATAATTGCTTCTTCTACCTAGGAAGTCTGGGTTTAAAGGTTGGGTTTGTGGTATAAGACATTAGGGCACAAATGCAATAACATCTCATATTGGAGTGCTGGTTGAATCCTAGCTACTCCGTTTTCAAACTAGCCATCTAGTACTGTGCCTGGGAAAGCAGCAGGCAATGACCCAACTACTTGAGCCCCTACTACCCAGGCTTCAGCGCAGGATGGAGTTCCTGTTTTGGGACTGACTCAGTTCTGGCTATTGGGATCATGTTGGGAATGAACCATTGCACTGAAGATTTCTCTCTCCTGTTTGTATGCATTGCTGTGTGTCTTCCCCTATCACCTATGCCTATACAGTAAATAAATCTTTAAAACAGTAAGTTAAAAGGGTCATACTGTGTCTTTTACTGTAGCTTCAGGGGAGCAACTGATGACACCTGAAGCAATATCTTGCTGTTTATCCATTGTGCTTCTTTCATCCACATGTGCCTTTCCTTTCTGAGATGGCTATTCTAACTACAAACTCATAAATCTCTCAATCTAATCCAAAGAGGAAAAGCAAGAGGTACCAATTACGATTGAATCCCATAAGAATTACACCGTTAAGAATTATGTGCTTTCATTCAGTGTAACATCAACAATTTACTCCCAATGGTATTACTAGGAATGGCATTCTGTGATCTCTTTGCTTTTAGATGAATTAAATCCATGTTAAAACTCTCATTTTTGTTTGACCTTACCAAAGGCTCTATTATGCTGGATTTTTCTAAACAAATTCCCTCATTATGTTGCTTTGTTTAGTAAAAGATGTACAGTGTAATATATAGCTAGTTGCTTTACTGACACTTAATAAAAACCTACAGACTCCAACACTAGAATTATACAGCCCAATTGTAACTTTCATGTAACCTCATGAGCTGGGCTAGAGCCTAATCTTCCAAGTTCTAATAATTACTTAACTGCAACTGAAGCTGATTTAATTATTCCTTATTTTATTATCTTTATGTGGCTTGACCAGGTCTTAAACAATACAGCTGTTTCCTACCTCTGATTTTGTTCTTACAAAGGATCTCTGTGGTGGCAATATAGTGTCATAATTTTAAACTTACATCCTGTCTATTTTAAGGCAAAGAGGTATAGCAAAGCCATGAGAATTTCACTGGCATTGATTTAGTTAAATTTTCATTTCTAATCAATCACTGTGAAAAGAGCCATAACACGTGCTGGCTGATGTATGTCAGAGTTAAATGCTCTGGCCTCCACACTTGCAGTAACACAGGCTGATCATGAGGAAAAGCAAATATTAATATGGGTATGTTTTAGAGTAGAATAAATTGTAGGTATTTACTAGAAAATTTGCATTTTAGATAATAGAAGCGACTGATCAAGATTATGGACTCCAGCAATCATCTTCCTATAGAAACTTGAGTTTAGACAGCTATTCATATATGAAAGTACTTCCACTAGAAATAAGTAAATCATGTGAGAACTCAGAGTATCTGACTAGAACATAGTAACAAAAACCATGAATAGGGTATATTAGAGTTTTATTATATGCAACATCTCTTCCTCATCTCAAGATAATAGTGCAGGAGAGATACTTTCCAATCATGAGAAAAAGAGATAAAGAGGTTAGACTCCAACACTTGGTCTGAGTACTCAGAAAATCCCAAAACCCAATAATCCAAATATATACCTCTGTTCTGAGTCAGTAGACAGTGCAAGGCTCTGGTTTGTTAACACTGAAGCAGTAGGTCGCATACTCTTTGATCACCTCTGAGGTCATTCTCATCTTGGAGAATATCACATTTTTAAGCCAAACAGCTCTACTGTCTAGTTCAAAATGGCAATGAAGTCCAACATCTCTGATCCTTTCAGTTCAAGCTATCAGTATTCCTGATCGTATAGCCTTACAATTTCTCCGTGACATAATCCAGCCACATCATTGGTGTTCCTGCCCATGCTTTTTCTCTTTTACAATATGGACAGTTTGAGGATGTCTTAAGTCTTTTAGTTCCGGCTTCTTTATGCTTAAGAATTCTTCTTTCTTGTCTGTTCTCACGAGTCAGGAAGAATTAAACCAACATCTCCTTTAGCACTTGGCTTAGAAATGTCAACTATTCAATTTTATCATTCAGAAATTCTATCTTGATTCTGCCTTGAAAATACTTTTGTTGCACATGTATGTATTTCCTTCTGTACATACACAAGCGAGGAACTACTGGATCATGGGTACTATCATTATTTCAAAAAGCTCACTCACGTGCCTCTGCTACTGCCTGCCTACTGAAATTCTAGATTTCCACTTAAGAATAATTTGCTTAGGACTTTATATAAAATAATTCATATATAAAAGTACTATCACGTATGGCTTTGGCTTTGCCTGTGCAGGAGAATATCCACTTAAAATTCTAATAGTTATGTGTTTTACTGCTTGAAAATATCATAACTTATTTATCCATTTACCTCTTGAGGGCCCGTGGGTTCTTTCCAGTTCTGTGCTACTATGAGTAAGGATGCTTAGTATTTATACACAAGCTCTCATACAGTTAATGGCAACTATCACCTAAAACTACACAAGCATTTCAAAATCTTTTTGTAAGAGCCTCATAACATTCTTCTGTGGATATAACACACAAATATGAATCACATCCTCAAATTTTGGTTAATCTACAAAATTTCCATATGAATGTTTGATTTCCATAAACAAGACTTATACATATATATATTTTTTCTAAGAAGAAACTTAAAAAAATTTGTTGATCAAGGTGGTTGCCTTACTTTGTATCAGTAATGTATTGGAGTCAGTTACTTCATATCTACATAAGAGATTTTGAAATTTCAGTCATTATAACGTGTAGAAATAGGATTACTTCATTGTGGACTTTAGAAGTCAACCAATCATGATCACCCTTTTAATAAAGCAACACATATGTGTCATAACAATTCATTGCCTTTAATACTTTGCTTTCGGTGCGATCATTTTTATACCTTAATTTCCTTTATCAATTTGTCAGTGTAAGAAGCATAAACATATATATAGATTACTTTAGTTTCTAATGTCTGAGTTTAGACATATATGTTAGCTTAATTCTCCAATTTTATTATTACATATAGTCATGGTAATGCTTTGCATGAGGAAGTTATTGGGGAATGAAATATCAGCTTGAGAAACAACCAATGAAGGCGAAGAAGTCAAGAAAATGAAACTTTTTGCTCACCTCCATCCCTCCCCCCCCCTTTTTTTTAAGGTACCTTACCCTTCTGTCTGTCCTCATGTAAATCCAGGCCACTGACTCTCCAAATGATCTTCATGTGATCCTCATGAAATGAAAATGAACTCTGGGGTTCCGGGCTTTGCTGTTATTAAAGCAGTACTGCCTAATGTGCTCTTTCACGTACAGCCTCCTGTCAAGCATCTCAAGGAAGACCATATTAGTGCAAGGAATCACATCGGAAACTTGCAAGGTCTACTATTACATTTTGGCCAAAAAATTTTTGAAATTCATGAAGATTCCTTTAAAAATATGTATTTTATATGAACATTTTGAGAACCTCTCATATTTTATTCTATGAACATGCCTGTTGGCATAGACAGCTAAGAAGCAAGCACTGACAATAAATTTTGAATCATCTGCTCTTTCATCATTACTGACATTATGTCAGCACATGAATAAGTCAAATCATACGCATCCTGTGTAAGAACTTAACCTTATGCTATCAGTAAATAACTTATTTACAATAAGGATTGCTCTAAACAATTTCTAGCAATTTAAGTAATAAACAATATACGGATTCTCTTAGGAACTTTACCAGAAAAGTGTTTTCTACAACTTGTAGATGATGATTCAGGCCGTGTAGCTTTAAAAAAACTTCCTTAGGTCACACCATAGTTGATATTGGGATTTGAATTCAGGGAGATGAGAACATTTTCTTAGTTTGTCATTCATAACTGAAAACACATCACAAGGAACTAATAGAAATGTACACCTTTCACAGATAATTGCTAACACTATATGCCAGGCATTTGTATTTTTTTTAAACTAAAAAGCAAGTCAGAGCTTGAAAAGTACCGGTTTAATACTGAATATTTAAAAACAGACATTATATAATGTAAAATGCATACAATTTTAAACCATTCTCTTATGAACCCTTAACACAAATGGCTGACAGCTTCCAACAGGTAAGCTTTTGGACAAAAGTACCACAGATTTTGGGGCATTTATTTTAAAATCTTTTAGTTATGCAATTATGAGGTTTTAAAAAATAAATATGACAAATATATGCATTTGTAAAGTATAAATTGACATAAAAATCTATAGTCTTAGTATTTTTCATTAGAGCATCTTTAGATTCTATAACATGGAGTTCAAATCAGATGGAATGGAAGGGATGAGGTTTATTAGAGTTGTGCAATTCACATACAAAATATTTACATAAAAGTAAACAGAAAATAACAAAATACATATTTTTAATTCTCCCAGTCAACAACTCCAGAAAATGACTCACTGGAATAATTACCACAGTTTATACTTTTGAATGTCAATAATAATAAACATAAGAGCAATTTCAGAAACTTAAATTGCACCTTCTGAGAAGCATTGAGGGAGTAACATACCAGTGCCCCTTGGAGATTGTCAAAGCTTTTCTTGTACTCTTGACATTTTACAAGTAAACAGTACCCATTCAGTCTCCAGCATACATGAATTAAGTCTGTTCCAAACTTATATTTGCTCACAACTCCTCGCCACAGATTAGTGACCTATAGGTCTTCTACCTCATGTCTTCAAAAAGGCAGCCCCACAGAGGGGAAAAGAATGTTGTTTTTACTTAACAGTTTGAATAAAATTTTTATTTTGAATTTACAGTTATAGCAATAATAGCTACTGGATTGATGGAACCTAAGATCTCAAATTCCAAAGAACATTAATTGTGAGATTATTTCTTAGTAAAATATTAAACCAACAAAACTCACCTGGATTCTATTTTAAATTTAAAACGATAACAGAAAAGATAAAAGGATTTTTGTTTTTTAGAATTAGTGTATCCCATTCCCCTCAACTATGACTTCAAATTAGAACTTCTCATAAACCTTTTAGAAAAAACAAAGCATGGCTCCATATACCAGAAATTCAGATTTTTTTTTAAATGCGACAGTGTGCATACTAAAGGGATCCCTCATCAGAATTCTGGTAATGGAATGAATTAAGAATCACTGACTCACTATCAATATTAAGCTATTGATTATTCAGAACAGCTTTAATTTAAATAAATCATTTAATAAGATGTAAGAGCATTTCAAAAGTGACAGGCACTATTTCAACTGCTAAGATAATTTTTCTTCTTAGAAAAATCACTGGATAACACTAATACATAACTCTTATCATGGAATACTCATATCACTCCATTAAAATATGACTTGAACTTTCATTTTGGTCTGTTGTCTTTACAGATCACTTTGTACTTTTCTACCTGGTCCTCTGGAGTACAGCAAAGAAGATCACTCTCAACACATATATAAAACTCATAAGGAACAGTTTCATTTTTCAAGTTATACTGTATGAGGTATTCTCAACTTTATATAGAGTCATAAAAACCATAATTAATAATTGAAATTAGGTATTGCTTTGATGTTTAACAGAATCTCCTGGGCTAAGGATGAACTCCCACTGGTATCAGTGCTTGTTTTAAATTGCCTAAAAATCTATGACAGATCCTCAGGGAACCTAGTAACAATGGGTCTTTAATACAGACCATGTTTCTTTTGACCTATTTATAAAACACTTCTTAAAAAAACTGCAGGAACAGGATTTTTGAAACATACATAATTAGAAGTTAGTTATCTCAAAGGAATAAGAGAAATACAGTTTCTGAATTATTATGTAGCTAGAAATTAGGTATAATCCCAGAGTGATACTGGAATTTTATAGCTTGAATTAAAACCAAGTTTAGTATTACAAAATTCATTTAAAATGTATTCCAACTCAAGAAAAAAACCAAATTTAAGCTACAAATTCAAGCTGTATCTACTTTTCAACTTATTATATCATTCAACTTTAGATTCACCAGAACCAACTGAAAAATTTACTAATCCTATAGGAGGCTAATTATCTTTAAATTGGACTTAAAGTGAAAAATGATACACACATAGGAAAATGTAATAGCAATTTGCCTTCCACACTGATGGAATTAAAATAGCTTAAACTTTTTATGAAAGCTCAGTAGTCAAAATAAATATTTCATAAAATACATTCCATAGCAATACTCCATGAATTAAATTTTTTAAAAATAAATTTTTCACATTATTTTACCTTTTGTTAAACAGAAATGAATTTAGTGGCTTAAAGTATATAAGAGGAATTAAAGTGTGATTCTGCAAAGATAAAATTAAACTCAAATACAATGCGAGAACTAATAGTCAGATGAAACAGAAATTTACTATGTTATAAATTAAAAGAGTTAAAAGGACTTCTCAATAGGATGGCTCTAAGAAACATGCATAGTTTGGACAGCAAAAGCCAAAAAAATAAAGTCATGATTATGTGGTTCATGTGACACTTCCAACGTGTTAAAAAATAATAATAATAAATGAGCACCATTAGAAATGTGTAACTACGTGTGTGTGTGTATATGTGTAAATGTTACCTGGTCAAAAATTGCATTTCAGAGCAAAGATGCAGCATGAAGTTATGAAAACATATTTTTAAGCTAACGTATCACATGATTTCTTTCAAAATGTTTCATCCAGCATTCCTTGTAGAAGTCAATGAAAGAACACAATATAAAGAAAGCTAGAATTTTTCCATAGTGCTAAATCTCTGGTTTAAAAGGAAATACTGAAGAAAAAAAACATGTTTAGTGTTTTGAATCCAAAGTCAGAGAAATCTCAGGAGGTAAGGGAAAAATGATGTAGATTAGCAGGGAATTCATAGAATAAGACAGTACACGTTAGATTTGCCATCAAGGATTATCATTCAGACATGAAATTATTTTTTACAGTAGTAAGGAATATTTGGTAAGGAAAAACATTCTTCTATAATAAAATATACAGATTTTCCACCTGTAACAGTATTTCTGCTACATTCACCAAAACTTTGAAAATTTCTGCCTTATCTTAATATATTTCCTGGGGTAGGAAGGCCTTTAACAAAAATTTTATCTTGAGGCTACAAAGAGGCAGCTCATGACAGACTGTTATGTATCCTTGATGTTTTTCAGAACTCCCAGAAACGCAATCCCGACGTTTACAGTTCTCCGACATCACTGCCACATGGGAACAACGTTTATTCTCCATTCAAAATCCGTTCAATTTCTTCTAGTCTTTTTAGAGCAGCCACTCTTTTCTTCTCAATTTCTTTGATATCTTTTGTTGGCTTTTGGGGCATCTCTTTCTCCACAATTTTTCCTAATTGTTTATTTGATTTAGACTGACTTTTGCTATCACTTTTTTTTCCTATCTGTGTTGGTTTGGAATCGGAATTGATTTTCTTCACATTTTCAGGTGGAATTTTATCTCCTTCTACTGTATCTGACACCTTACCAGTTACTGGTTGTTCTGTAAAACCAGATGAGGATATTTTCTCCCTGACTATACTCAGATGGCGCTGAATATATTCTTCATGTGGTGCTAAGGCCAACGTTTCCACCAGGCATCTTTCAGCCTTCAGTAGGTCCTTCTCTTCAAAATATACAACGCAAAGATTGTGCTTTCCTTGTACATTAGTTGGATCCATCTCCAAAATCTTCTCAAAACATTTTTTTGCCCCAAGTATATCTTTCTTTTGATTCATCAGAATGTCTCCTTTCAAAATGAGACCCTTGATATGATCAGGATAGTATCGCAGTAAATCTTCCAGAACTGGCAAAGCTTGTAATTCCTTTGCAGTCTGAGAGTACAGGAGAGCCAGATTGAATAAAGCACTTCTGAAGTCGGCTTGTAACTTTATGGCTTTCTTCATCCAAGTCTCTGCTTCAGTGTCCTTTTTGTCATCCATGGCAAGCATTCCCAAATTGAAATACCCATTAGCATCTTGTGGCTCTTCAGTTATGTAGCTCAGAAGTCGTTTCCTAGCTTCAGGTCTGAGTTTAACTTCACCTGAGGAAAGTTTTTAAGGAAAAAGTTTTTAAGGAAAAAAAAAATTATCAGCCAGTGAATAAAGTCTGAGGAACAAAACTATTTTCAATAATTTAGTGTGATTACAAAAAGATGGCATTACTAATTCTACAGATAAAAAAAAAAAACCAGTAAAAATCTCAGACCTCATGGGAAAGATAAGCTGACTGAAACACTGAAATAATAGCCCATTTCTTTTCCTTTAAAGCAGTAAAAGTGATTCAGACACTGAAAGTGGAGAAATATCTCCTAACAGTTTAAAAGCTAATTAGAAATAGCTAAAACAAGACAAAAAGTAAGGAGAACCTAAAGACTTGGACTGAATTTCCGATTTCTGGCTCCAGCTCTGACTCCTGGTCTTGGTTATGGTAGAAATGTGACAAGTAACCCAGCAGATGTGAGGGAGCCCTTCCTCAAATAAAATAAATAAATACAATTTTAAAGTAAGAAGAGGAGACTTGGGATTTACCAATAAAGGCATAGTTTTAACCTTGACTCTGTTAACATTACAGCTATTCAGTGAACAAGTTACATTACTTTCTCTGGGTTCACAGCTGATTTTTCCTAAAGATTACATGGTATATGTCTAGAAGCACAGCAAGTACTGACTACTATAAGATAAGCAAATACTCAAAATTACAAAGTTTTTTTTGAGCGGTAATGAGACAAAGAGGAAGGTATGGGAAAAGAACAGATGTGTTATCTTTGTTTGGCTCACCAACAGTTGGGTCAAAACATGAGTGTTCAGAACTCAACCATGTAAGTCCTCATTATACCTCGCTGTGTTATCAGGAAATAAGTCAGGAGCACAGAGGCACACAGACATCTTACCTGCTAGGCTAAATGTTTGCTTCTAAGTCAGGTATGTTATGTCAGGTATGTTATGTCAAAGTTTCTGGATGTTTGAATGACAAAAATACACCATGCAAAATAGAACTATTAGCATTTAAGAAACAAAATGTTCATGTTCTCCAACTACGCATCGTAGACTGATTTTTTTTTTTTTCACAATGAGCATCTTTGATGGTTACAACTGTATAAAAGTACACTAACTTCTCCATACAGTAATCCTGGTTTTGAAAAGATAGGTTTTTTTCTTTTCTTGACAGAATGATTAATACAAGAAATTTGAGAATCAGTTAGCTTCAGTTTTTAATCTTGGAATACCTACTCAAGTAACCACTTTCTGAAGTTGAGTTGTCGTTTGGTCTGATTCTCATTCTCTAATCTATGAAGCAGAAAAACAAAAAGTTCCCCAAAACTAAAAGGTTCTCTGCAGCTCAAAGAAGCTTTATTTTATTATTTGTTCATTTTCTAAGGTTTGAGAAACATAACTTGTCACGCCCACGTTTCTTATCGTCCGGCGATGATAAGAGGCAGACGCGAGTGAAGTCTTCTGCGGTAATCTTTATTGCGCGCACCAAGATGAGGAGGGAAAGGGCTCCGACCCTGGCAGGCTGTCTGCTCTTATGTGCTGACTGGCCCCGCCTCCGCCGATGATAGGTCGGCGTCATGATTACGCAGGGTCCTGGGCGACTGGATTCGTCAGTCCCAGTGTTCATGCGCCGGCCACGCCTCAGCTCACTGCGCGCAGTACCGCGAAAGCTATGTAACTCTCCACCAGGAACCAAGGTGTGGCTTTTCCGGCCGGCGCCATTTTGGGTACGGCATGTGGCCAGTACATACAGATGCGGCTGGCAACAATAACTAATGAATAATTTAAAATAGTAAATATAGAGAATCATAATCACCTTAAAAAATTTTATAAACAATATAAAATCACATTGGGGAGTGTTCAATGTAAATCAAAGGAAAATAACTTAAAAAGCACTATTTTTTTTAAAGACATTCTCTTGGCTTGTTAGAGATGATTATGGAAAAATTTCATAAGCTCATATTATTTGGACAGTAAATTTATATGTAAGAAGTTATTTTATGCTTATGTGCATATGACAGAGTAATTAAACAGGTGCTGTTAACTCTCTGAAAAAGTGGTCTTAATGCATACCAGAAGAAAGAAGAACTAGTAATGTCAGACTAGTTCACGTTACTTGAAAAGAGTTTAAGTATTTAAATGCCTTGACTATAAATAATTTATGTACATTCATGCTATAAATTATCTTTCCATAAAATATTTGCTATGGGTAAAAGAGTTCAAGTTGAAAATTTATCATATTCTTAACTACAATTTGTTTAGATAAGAAAATATTTTGAGAACACCTACCTGATTCTTGCATTAAAATAGCAGAGTTGAATAATGCTAGCTTATGTTTTGGATTGAGTTCTAAGGCATGATTAAAGTTTTTTAGAGCTTCATTCGGTTCTTTAAGCTCAATATATACAATTGCCAGGTTGTACCAGAGATCTGCATTGTTTCTGTCCAGTTCCAGTGCTTTAAGGTATGCTTCCTTTGCTTTCAGCGGTTTATTCATTTTTAAAAGCAGCTCTCCTCTGTGGAATAATAAAACACAAGCTTTACTTACAACACTACCATGCCAATTTGTGGACACCATTTTTGACAAATGTCATACATTTATTCATGGCTTATTTTTTCTTTTTAACTTGCACTCTTTTTTTCTTTCAGAAATAACTTTCCAACTATTCTTAACTAGGAACTTCCTAGTCCAGCAAATTTGACTTGACATATTTTCCGTTATTGCTAAAAAGAGAAAAAAGCATGCAAAATTCTAGAGATTAAGATGTGGGGAGTTATTTTTTTAAAAAAGAGGAGAATACATTCTTTGAGTGTATCTTAAAGTTACCACTACCCAGGGAGGAAAAAAAAATCAATGAATTTGTCATGTGATGAAGTAACAACATTTGAAAAAGGAAAAATATATATAACATAATAGGAAAATTCAACTTAAAATCTATATAAAAGTCTCTGGGCAAAAACGCAGATTATATGAAACTTGCAATCCTTTCCAATATTAGTCTTGAAATACATTCCTACAAAATGATCATTCCTTTAAATGTTAAAAGCTAAATCAAGAGGGAGAGCACTAGTGCCACCTACAGACAGGTTTGTGGAACATATGAGCAACTGGGAACTGGCTTGGAAACTTGCTTGCAAAGCTTTGTAATATGGTTCTGTTTTGTCTTACTGAACTTAAAATATTCTGTGTTAAAAAGATGTTATTTGTTAGCCTTCTTAAGAAACATTTACAAATTTTCTTATGAAGTGATATTTTCCTGTGTATATTCATACAAAATATACATGAATTTAAGAAATTTACACCAAAATAAATCTTTTAATACATTAAAAACATACGAGGCTGGCATGGTAGCTTACTGGCTAAAGTCCTAGCCTTGCATGCGCCAGGATCCCTTGTGGGCACCAGTTCTAAACCCTGCACACACGTGGGAGACCAGAAAGAAGTTCCAGGTTCCTGGCTTCGGACTGGTGCAGTTCTGGCCATTGTGGCCACCTGGGGAGTGAATCAACCAATGCAAGATCTTTCTGTCTTTTCTCCTTGCTGTACATCTAACTTTCTAATAAAAATAAATCTTAAAAAACAACAACAACCATGACATATGCGTACATTACATTTAAGTAGAGATACTATCAAAGTTACTATATGATGTTACTACTTTTCCTGCAGGATTCAGCGCAGGAGTAAAATCAAAGGAACATTAATTTTCTATTACTGAAACTTTTAGTATGAATTTTTGTCCATATGTACTTTTGCATGTGCAGATTTAAACAATCTTTATGTACTAACATCTCAAACATTTTGTTTATGGATGTAATTCTGCTAAACTTAATGGACTGCAATTAAGACTTAACAAAGCGGGCCCGGCGACGTGGCCTAGCAGCTAAAGTCCTCGCCTTGAACGCGCTGGAATCCCGTATGGGTGCCAGTTCTAATCTCGGCAGCTCCACTTCCCATCCAGCTCCCTGCCTGTGGCCTGGGAAAGCAGTCGAGGACGCCCAAAGCTCTGGGACCCTGCACCCGTGTGGGATATCCGGAAGAAATTCCTAGATCCTGGCTTCAGATTGTCATAACATCAGCCGTTGCGCTCACTTGGGGAGTGAATCATCAGACAGAAGATCTTCCTCTCTGTCTCTCCTCCTCTCTGTATATCTGACTTTCCAATAAAAAATAAATAAATCTTAAAAAAAAAAGACTTAACAAAGGAAACATCCAATTTAAAATAAATGTAATCTAAAAGATTTGAATGTTGTTTCACATATGGACATAATAAATTGTGAGTAAATTTCTGTATCAGGCTACAAAACAGTTTCATACATTTTTGCCTCAGATACAATACAAATGATAACATTAAAAATAGAAATGATATACTAAAAAAGTACAAATAGAAATGAAAATACATGTCAAAAAACTTTTGCTAACAAGTAAGCTTTCTCTGAAGAGATAACATCAGCAACCAGTCAATTCTGAAAATCTACTTAAGAGAGCTCGGGAGTTAGACATTATATATAACTAATACAAAGTGTAAGTCTCAGATACTTTAAGTAGGAAAAATGATCTTAGTGATAAGAAAATGAAATAGAAAAACGGAAGCCTTATCTATCTATTCATCCATATAAAATAAGCCCTACTACCTATAACAAACGAGGGAATCTTTTGTGAATTTCAAGTGATTAACTATTAGTCTAAAACAAGCTATGGCCTTCCATGCCCTTGGCTGGCAAGGAAGATCACTAAAAGAAAAATAAGTCAATTCAAAATGGGCAAAATGTACATGCAGACGCAAATTCAGCCTCCTATAATTAACTAAAACCAACTAAAATGTAACCGATACCTGCTCACGTAGGCCTGCTTGAAGTCGGGTCTCATGCTGATGGCCTGTCGGTAGAGCTGATCTGCTTCCTCCAGTCGGGACTCATTTGCTCTGATCAGGTTGGCCAGATTGATGTACACATTCAGGTGATTAGGGGCAATTCTGGCTGCATATTTTTTACCAGGAATTATCTGTTTGGATGAAAACATATTTTCCTAACATTGTATTTTGGTATAAAAAAATAAAAATTACGTATTCTTAGTGTTTACTTAAAATGACACAGAACATAAGATTATACTATTCGTTTTATTACTGCAATAAATCATAAAAATGTAAAAGAAAGATCTTTAGTTTTCAGATAAAGTATACAGCGACACTGCAGGCTATATTTTTCATTCACAGTGGTCAACTGATTGCTAGTAGCTTCCTGGTGTCCGTGCAGTAGGTGTTAATGACACGAAGGTGTGAAGAGAACAGCTCCCCTGCTTGGCAGGGCCTGGGAGCTTACAGCTGTTTGGCAGGGCCCGGCGGATTTCTCTCTGACCACCTTGATGCAGTCTCACCCCCTGTTTGCATGGACACTCAACCACCCCACTAAGATTTCTGCAATCTATTAGGCGTAGTTTGCCCCTGTGAGATGGCTTTTACAACCAACATGAGCTTAAAAGTTAATGTTACTGATAATGTCTTGGTGAGTGGGCCTTTAACTGCGCACAGGAATACAATTAAACCCATGCTGTTTCCAGACACCTTATTGTGTGCCTAACCACTGCTCTGAGATCTGGCCCAAATATTTAGCATGCTTTCTGGGAAATGGCCTGATAAGAGTTTCACAAACTAATGGAAGTGATCGGAGTATGGGTTGAAATTGCTATGACAAAAAATATAGCTATCCTGTTACTGGGATCCTAAAAGCTATCCTGTTACTGGGACCCTAAAGGTTATCCTGTTCTAATTACTGTGACCCCAAAAGGCCATCCTGCTATGGCAAAAATATAGTTACTGTGATCCTAAAGGCTATCCTGCTATGGCAAAATATAGCTACTGTGACCTTAAAGGTTAGCCTGTCCTTGCAACTCTCAACTCTTTAGAACATAGTAAATGTAGTTGCTTTGGCTGCCTTCATAATTTTTTAACTAGAGGAAATAGGGTGACTTTACTAACATCATGTATACTTTTGATTATTGTTTGATCATTTATGAGGTTGTAGAGCCTGCAGTTGTAGAGGGATTTAATGTTTGAAACTTTAGTCTTAGATTTTTATATTTCTTCTCTTTTAATGTATTTCTCTCATTAAGTGATGGATAAGTTGTAGAATAAGAATTGTAGTAGGAATGTATTACTGAATAAGATGTGTCGTCCACTGAGAAAATGTTGGATGCAACATCAGAATGGATAATGCCCTGTCTTAAGGTGAAACTATCTGTAGAGTTATCTTTGGGAACATTTACTTGCCCATTGTAGAGCAGAAACCTAAATGGAGTAAACATGGCTCATTGCTAATTGCAGTTCTTTCCGTCATTGTAACTCTTGCTTAGTTAACAAACTGCGTGGGCCTGCAAACCTAATGACCTTTAGTGCCAATACCCTAATCCCCATAAACCAAGGTCTCAGCCCTTTTCCCATGTGTAATTCAAGGTAGGGGTCTGGTTGTCACAGGCAGCACCAAGGATGGGACCCAGACTTGAGGGAAATAAGTAGGGGCTGGCAAGCCGAGATAAGCAAAGAATGTAGGGTCCACCCTCACTCGCCTCTCAAGCGGTTGTAAATTGTGCCCCCCTTGAAGCTATGTCAAAATGCCCTAAAAAAAGACTGTGTACTGCTTCTGTACAAATAAAGCGGACAGCTTTCTCGCGTGGTCCACAATGATGCTGGAATTGTAGTGGTCCGTCTCTTCTTTCTACACCTACTTCACACACCCTTCTTGAGCTCCGAACTCAGCTGGAGCTGGACTCCGGCAGTAGCTTTTTTTTTTTAACACCCATATTTTTATGAAGCCAGATAAATCAAGCTTTCAGAGGTCATTGTGTCTCAGTAAGTACATCAGAACAAAAATTAAATTCAGATTTCCTGTCCTCAGTCTAGTATTTCTTCTGTAACTTTGTCAACTTATATAAGGCTTTGACAATGATAGTCAATTTTATTGCAGATTTACACTACAAACTTGTCTGGTTAAGCAGGGAAATTAAAATTCTCTAACTAAATGACTCAGTCAAGTGAATATTAATATACATGACATATATAGATCCAAAGTTGTAACAAACATTGGAAGTTATAACTAAAAAATGCTTGTAATGAATGTAATTTAATTGCAATATTTTAGGATTGAGTTAATTCTTCAAGACAGCATATGGTCCAATCTTGCTTTTAGAAAATGTACTAAACTAAGAGTTATTATTTACATTACCACGATTCAGTATTATTAAAAGTGAAAAAAATACAACCAGATTAAACTGTCTTAACTGATGACACATATCTAGCTGGTAAAGGCTTGTTCAGAACTTCAATTGAATTTGTGCGTGTGTCATAATGTAACAACTGATGGACACAATATGGAAGGATATATTAACTAAATTCATCCCACATATTTTTCCTATTTTTTGGACAGAGACAATGTAGTCCAACAGACACCACACAGAACATGAATTAAGACAACTCACTTGAGGCATCAGTGACTTAGCTGTCATGTATGATTCCTCAGCTTCTTTGGTTCTATTTAAATTTTTGTAAGTTCTTCCTACATTCATGTGGGCACCAATATCATCTGAAATTAAAAAAAAGGAGATCATTGGCAAATACTCTAGGTAATACTCAATGTGAACTACTGAGAGGGTACGTTCTTAGAAACACAGTAGGCAAAAAAAGCAAAAACAGCAAACAGAATCTACTTTCTTAAGTTCTACTAATATAACTTGTATAATTACAACCAATGGTTTATAATAAAATTATTTAAAGCACTATGTGGACGGCAAATAACACAGAACAACCACTTGAATGGATCTTTGAACAGCTAAGACATAAAAACAGAAAGAGATAATGAAGAAAATTGTATCATTTCTCTTCAGTATATTTTGCTATCCTAAGGACTGCTTGCATTTCTTTACTCTCATAGCTTTGGAATCCACTCAAAAGCATGGCTCATCTCTGTAAGTGAAAAGGAATATTTCTCGGATTAGTTAAAATGATAAGGCAAACAGAAAGGCACCATCATAGGGGCACGGGTTGTAAAACAAAACAAAACAAAACAAAACAAAACAGAAAAAGTGCTTTGAAAATGTTTGTGAATGTGAACCTCACAGAACATAACAGACTCTCAGTAATCTTATTTATGATGAATTACTGCTTAACTTATTTAAGGTTTTAAAAATCTATAATAACGGCAGAAATTAAGTATCATTTTCTGATGTGGAAAATCAAATCTGGTGATGGAAAAGAATATATTTAAGTAAAAAAAAATAGAAAAAAAATAAGGACTCATTATACACTATTACATATTTCAAAGGTATAGAATACATATAGAATGAAGGGAGATCTTAAATCAGACAATTTTTACTCAACATGAATATCTAACAGACATGACAAGGTTTCAAATTATGGTTACTACTTGCCTGTGATATCGATGATTTTGCAACTGTGGAATAGTTCTCTGCCTGTAATTCTCAGGACACAAAAGGGCCAAGTATATATGTCTTGGGCATTCTCCTAGGAGGAGAGTAACACTCCTAAGATCTTGCTACATTATGTTTCAGGCTGGCAACTGTGTGCACTGCACAAAAATTGAAAGATGCAGTACAGATTTCGTCAGAGAATTAGGAAGGGACAAGACTGAGGATAAGGTGGTCTATTAGTATTTTTAGAAGCATTGCTGTGCCTCATGGAGACAGGATGGGTCCAAGGAAACAAAAACAAAATGGTTAGGCTAGGCCACTCCTATTCCTGGCTAACAATCAGAACACACTTATAGTTTACCAATGATCAAGACACCTTAGATCCATCCAACTCGATCAAATGATCTTTAAAAATCGGATCTGCAAAAACATGTTTTTAGATATGAAATCAGAGGGAAAAACCAATGCATTACTAGATGTCTAAAATTACAAAAGGTAAATCCTTGCATTTACAACAGATTTTATGAAAGATAAATTCATATCATTTGTTACAGAATTTAGAAAATTATTTAGGAGAAACTAAGGTAGCTAGACCCTGAAAAAAATATATACAATAAAAGTTCAGGAAGAAAAATGAAATTTAAATAAATAAGATTGTAATTATGTCAGCTGATTATTTTAAATAACACTCAAATCAGGTTATAAAAACTTATGAAAGAAGGATATTATCTACTTAGATAAAAGGTAATAATACAATTACTATTCCTTGGAATCAAGTTCTTAGAATATGACCAGGAGATATTGTCATTAATGAATACTTCAGACATTAGAATAAACCAACCCTTCATTTTCAAAGAACAAAGACAGAAAGTAAATATCTGCATGGTACAAACTCTCAAGATTCTAGAGGGTGAAGTAATATTACTTCTAAGGTAAATCTGATTTTGAATAAGGGTTAAAAATAGAAGGCAAAATGCCCAAATCCATATTTCACTGACCAAAGAGTTAGAGAGTATTATGAAGAATAAGCTTGCTTTCCTGGGCAGGCTATTTAAAAATCAAGCAGCAAGAATAAAAAAATCTTCCTGTAATTCAATGTAAATGAGAACCTCACATCTCAAATGTACTCTAGTATGTCAGTACTATGTTACTTCAGTCAACTAGGTTACCTCAATCAACACATTTTTCTTGACTTCTAATTTCTGTGTTCCATTCCTTTTATTTCCTCAAAACTCAAATATTTCCTTATTTTCACCAGGGTAACAAGAGATCAGTAGGGAACTAACTTCTACTGTTAAATTGTTAAATACTGTTAAATTATGAACTTACCTGTAAAATGTGTGCATGTGTTTCATATGAAGATATACTTGTGTGCACACACACCCTCTTACACCTCGTGTCCAAAAGTAACCGACTGCAATTAATCTCATTCCCTTTTCTCACTTAAGGACTTATGGTTCAAGCTATTATCCTGCAATAACTCATCTCCCTATTGTTAAAATCTGTACTTTTCCTTAGCCTCCCTGTAAAACAGTTGTTTAGTTTTTTCTTCCTCATTTCCAACTAATTCAGAGACAGACTTCAGAAGATGGCAGGGAAAACAACTGCATTTTAATTTCACGAACCTCTATCAGAAATAATTTTCTTTAACTACACACAAAGCACCAAACTGATTTCAAAGGAATGATAAGGTTTACCTACAATAGTTATGATATGGAAAAATCTGATTTTATGATAACTTACACTTATCATTCCTTTGAAATCAGTTTTCCTTTCTCCTCTCACCCTCTTCCTGTTGTCTACCCAATCTCCTTCCCTTCCCTCCTGCCCTCTCTCACTTTCAAGATTTATTTATTTGAAAGACACAGCTATGGAGAGAGAGAGATCTTCCTCCACTGGTTGACTCCCCAACTCACCACAATGGTGGGGTTGGACCAGACTAACTGCATCCAGGTTTGCCATATGGTGACAGGGCCCCAAGTACTTGGACACCTCTATCTCTAACATACGCACAGTAGCAGGAAGCTTAATTAGAACTGGAACAACCAGGACTGGAATTGGGGTTCTTAAGGGATGAGGATGTTGCAAGCAGTGGCTTAATGTGCTGGACACAGTGATGACCTTGACAGTTCATTCGTTGAAACAATTTTAGCTATTAGACACATTATTATGTCATATGATCTCACCCATCCTATCTACAAATGCATATGTGAAGGAACTGGCAAATATCAGGTAACAGTTTTTGTCTAATCTTTCAGCCACCAAAATATGAAGTATGTGTACATTGATGAAAGTCAGCCATTTGTGTTGTTTTCCAATACATTCTAGTCCCACACTGCCTATATAAAAACACATTTTTATAAAGACTCATTTACTTTTATTTGGAAATTACATTACAGAGAGAGACAGACAGACAGAGACAGACAGAAATATCTTCATTCACTGGTTCACTCCCAAAATAGCTGTTATACTAGTGCTGGGCCAATCCAAAGCAGGGAACCAGGAGCTTCTGGGTCTCTCATGTGGGTTTAGTGTCCCATCCTCCACTGCTTTCCCGGGCCATTAGCAGAAACCTGACTCAAACTGGGGCATCTGGGATACCACCTTGTGCTTATATAGGATGCCACTGAGCTGGCCCTCAACAAGAATAGTTCAGGAACATCTATAAGCATTACTTTCAGACATTTAAAATATAGATAAAAATGAAATAAAGCAAGAAAAATATTCCTGGATCTTTTTGGTGTTTGATGAGAAAAGTCTACCTTTGAATTCATAAGTGTTTACAAACAGTTGCAACCTTCAAAACAAATAACCAAAATCAATGGGTCATCTATACGACATGCATATTGCCTATTCAATGAAAATTATATATTTTATATGGTTAGCATAAGTAACCAACAAAAGCTTTCCAAGTTTTCAAAAAAATTTAAAATGTTACAGATATAATTCTATACTTCTGCAGAGTTAAAATACCACCTATTTGCTACTCCAAATGCTTCTATGTAGTCCTGACATCTCCTGTCTCCAGACACAAAGGAAAGGAACCTACCTTCAGCTATACTTCTAGTAAGAAAATGCAGGATTCTTGACTTCCCTCCTCAGCACCCGTCATCAACAACATAAAACACAACAGCATTGTTAATCATAGTTTTTCAGGATATAAAACTAAAGTCATCTTTTAAGACCCAGAAACATGAAACACATGGAGTGCTCCTATACAACATGGACTGTTGGTAAAAACGTAAAATAAGATACATTCTGCAGAAAGAAACTTGGCAATCTTTTTTTTTTTTTTAAGATTTATTTTTATTATTTTTTTTATTGGAAAGGCGGATATACAGAGAGGAGAGACAGAGAGGAAGATCTTCCATCCGATGATTCACTCCCCAAGTGAGCGCAACGGGTCGATACTATGCCAATCCGAAGCCAGGAGCCTCTTCCGGGTCTCCCACATGGGTGCAGGATCCCAAAGCCTTGGGCCGTCCTCGACTTCCTTCCCGGGTCACAGGCAGGAAGCTGGAAGGGAAGCGGGGCTGCTGGGATAGAACCGGCGCCCATATGGGATCCTGGGCGTGCAAGGCGAGGACCTTAACCACTTGTGCCACCGCGCCAGGCCCGAAACTTGGCAATCTTAAAACAATTATGTATACATAAATTATATGACCATGCTATTCACTACTCTAGAGAAACGAAAACCAATATTCATACATACAGGTATATAAATGCTCACAATAGGACTCGGCATGGCAGCCTCGTGGCTAACGTCCTCGCCCTGCACACACTGGGACCCCATACGGGTGCTGGTTCTAATCCCAGCAGCCCCACTTCCCATCCAGCTCCCTGCTAGTGGCCTGGGAAATCAGTCCAGGATGGCCTAAAGCCTTGGGACCCTGTACCTGCATGGGAGACCTGGAAGAACTCCTCACTTCTGGCTTCAGATTGGCTCAGCACTGGCCGTTGCACTAATTTGGGGAGTGAATCATGGGATGCAAGATCTTCTCTCTCTCTCCTCCTTTCGGTATATATGACTTTGTAATGAAAACAAAATTAAATCTTAAAAAAAAAATAAAGTAATGAGTTAAAATTATCATATTAGTGACATAAAATTCTATTAGATGCCATAGCAGATAAAGGACAGATACTCATTTTTCCATGAGAGCTTCATAATTTAAATGAATAATAAATTAACATTTGAGCTAGTTTAGCAATAATTAAGAAACTGCATACATTATGAAAAAGATATAGAGGAAACTGCAAAGGATTTTAAAGATGAATAACACACACTCCTAGTCAGAAATACAGAAAATGACTTTTGGGAAGAGAAGCCATGTGAGATGGGTTGTAAAAGATGATTAGGATATGGTGATTAGGAGGAAGCGATTAGGAGGAAAACAGAAATTCTAAATTCAAGGAAGAATAGAGGCAGAGGGATAAGGACATAACTTGTACTCCAAGAAAACTGATCTTTATGAAGGACTAAGCGAGTAAAGTAGGAAAAGCCAATTGTTATTTTTAAATTCTTCTCTTTAGCCTTTCCTAACTAAAATTTGGGTTTGCTTTAAAGACAAGGTTACCCTGTGCCTTTTCCATATGCTGATACTGTTCTTTTTCTATTCCTGTGTAATATGGGCCTGGAAAAAGAGAAGATGTTTTTCTTGACCTTTACTGTCACTTTCAGATAATTCTCAATCCTTTTAATTTTTCTCTGAACCTCAGGCCACTAAACTCCATTATCCAATATTCCTTATTATTTCAGCTTCTGATAATCCCACTAATTGCTAATACTGATCTTTCTTCTAACGAATCTCATCTTCCCTGTCTTAACTACTTAATTAAGTGGACACAGTTCTGTCTATGAGAAAAAAAGTGGGGCAGTGCCTACCAATTCTACCTCCCTCCAAGGACAGCAAGTGATGTGTGGGAGCCGGTTTTTGATTTTGCTACTCTGAATGGAAAGCAAAGATGGCATCTGGAGGGTAAGGGCCATGTTTGGCACATATCCTGCCACACGGTTCTATGCACCTGCAATGCCAATTATACTTCTCAAGAAAATTACTGCTGCTGTAGCTATAACTTACTCCAACCATTTCTTCCATCCTGACATTGCTGTTTACCCAGCTTGGAGTCTACATCTCATCATTATCATCCCCACAGTCATGTCCTGCTGGATAATACACATCTGATAAAATCTTCATCTTATTTACCAAGCTCCCCATACATCACATTCATGGATGAGCAATAGCAGGAAAAAACCACATAACCTTATCACCTGGATTAGTTTTACATTAAGTATGATTGCCTCATGTAAGGGCAAAGGAGCTACTTGAAATAATATCTTTCCAATCTATACATTCTCTTAATTTACCAGATCTTTGCTTTCCCAATCATTACCTCTGCACTGAGCATCATCTATGAGCTTATAATAGATTCATAATTTCAGAAGCTGCTCTAAATCTACACCAGAATACTCATTAATACACACAATAAAGTTTATGAAGTAATGTTTTCCCACCTCTTACCCTCTACTGATTCTGCTTTGCATTTCACTGAGAAAACAAGCACAGAAAGCAACTCCAGAAGCTTCTATTTCATTTATTCACTTGCCTTTGTTCATGCTCATATAATATGCTTTCCTTGTTATCAGACGTCGAATGGCAGTTCTAAGTCCTTGACTTGTACAACAGATACCATCTATCTGCTCTGACTTGGTTAATTTGTCCAGCCATCCTCCATGATTACTTTTCTCACTTTTACTAGACTTACGTATTCTTTGCCTTTTCAACCTTAAAAATACTTGACACTGTTATCCTATTTTCTCTCTTGACCACTTGCTTTGCACCAAAACACTTCTTATTAATATCTTAAAGAGTTCTGTGTATTAACTGTCTCCAATTACTCGTCCCCCACTCTTTTAAAGTTACTTCCATCAGGCTTCGGTTCTTATTACTTTACCAAAAATGATTATTTATGCCAACATGTATGCTTTAAAAAACAACAACAACAACAACAAAAACCTCCTATGTCTGAAAAAAGTGGCTTTTTAAAGAGTCCAGACCTAAATGAGTCAAGTTATCAAACACTAGTATTTAAGTTTTTTGGAATAAATCCTGCAAACTAATTCTACCTAATTGCCCCTAACAATAATACTTTTTTTCTTAAAAAAAATAAGCTCTTCATTAATTTGTTATTAGTAATGCTTACCTGGTTGAACATGGGTGGCCTGCAAGAAGAATTTCAAAGCTCTCTCAAAGTTCTTTTCATTTTCCAGAGCATGACCTACATTATTCCATAATTTGGCATTATTTTTATTTACCTTAAATACAAGTACAGATAGAAATGAATTAGAATAAATAAATGGGCTTCAGTTCACAGACATTTATTGAGTAACCTGTTAGGAACAGTATATTCCTCTCAGATGTTCCAAAAGGTTAGGAAGGAGCCATATTTATTTTTCCTCCTACCCTATGAAATTAACAGTCTAATCACAACAGTCTAATTGCACATAATTTTTCTTTTTATACTAAAGGGTAAGGTTTAAAAAGATCATTTGAAACATTTACTTATTTTTGTTTTATCTAAAAAACAGGCAGATGAAAGTACACAGAAAAGCAGGAAGAGATCTTCCCTGCCTTTAATCATCAAATGCCCACAACAGCCAGAGTTAGGTTACAATGAAGGCAAGACCCGGAAACTCAATCCCTTTGTCTCACATGGGTAGAAAGGACCCATGTACTTGAGCCATCACCTGTATTCCTGCATGTACACCAGCAGGATGCTGGAATTGAGATCAGAAGCTGTGGACATCCCAAGTGGTTTAATCACTGAGACAAACACTCTGCTATTTAAACTGGATACCTTAATATTTTAATGCTTAGTACTTTGTGCTTTTTGAAACTCTTTTTCAGGGATAAGTGAAAGTAATAATGTGCATCTTAAGAATCCGTGTAGGGGGCAGCATTGTGGTGTAATGAGTAAAGCCATTGCCTGCAATGTTGGAATCTCATATGGACACCAGTTCAATTAACAGCTAACTCTTCTCCTGATCCAGCTCCCTATGACAGCACCTAGAAAAGCAGAAGATTGCTCAAGTCATCAGGCACCTGCACCCGAGTCCTGGCTGCAGGCTGAAGGTAGGCCCAGCCTTAGCCACTGAAGCCTGCAAGACCTCTCTGGCTGTCTCCCCAAAACCCTCTCTGTAGCTATGCCTTTCAAATAAGTAAAATAAATCTTAAAAGAAAAACCAAACTAAGAAAAAAATTTCTGGTATTCTGATTAAAACATTTTTTATCAATTTACACATTCAAACAAACATATAAGGCAGTGTTTAAAAATATCATAAAATATTGTGTATTATGAAAAATTGCACCAAATTAAGCATCCATTTTTCCATTTCTGAAGTCATTTTATAAAGTATTTAGGAAATTATTCATATACTTTGAACGCAGATAGAGCTTATGTTTGAATAAAATAGCAATTACTTTCATTAATGTTTGACTTTCATTAATGTTGACATTTAAGTGTCTAATTACAAATGCAGTGAGACAGCTTAAAACATCTATCAGAAATTACTGTGACACACTTTACTTCATTCTGAGTAATACTTCACCTTCAAGGCTGACATAAACAATGTATATTCAGATTCCCAGTCCCAATTTCTGTGAAGGGTTTTTAAGGCATGAGTGAGTATCACCACGGACAGAAAAACCCAGGAAAGCTTTTTAAATACACTGTAAGAGAAAAAAAAGCAAAACAAAACAAAAATCTACATTAAAAAAGTTACTTTTGTTCTCAAAAGTAAGAAATATATTAAATGTTCTTAAACATTAAGTCTGACTTATTTATTTTTGGAGTTTACTTTCTGCATAAATTTATTAGTATGCATTTACATAAGGAGATGTTCTGTACATATTCTAATTCATTTTAACAAGCATTCCAGTTTAATTGCAAATGAAAAGAATTCAGTAAGACCTTCAAATTTAGACTTGTGTTATATTATCAGGCAGAACCTTGGTATCTGTTGGAGACTGGTTACAGGACACCATGGAAATGCCAAAAACTGTTGATGCACAGGATGCTTATATAAAATGGTACAGTATTTCCAAATAATCTATTTGTATTCTGCTGTACCTTCCAAGTATGTCAGCAGATCATAACACCGCCTACAGGGTGAATGCTATGTAAAAAGCTGATTACTACTTACAGAACAAGAAAGCCTGTTAAGCTCAGTACATATTTTCTTTCTTTCTTTTTTTTTTTTTTTGTTCAATTTCTTAGAGAGACAGAAGGCTATCACGTGTTGGTTCATTGTTTAGATGCTCCTAATGGTCACAGCTCAGAAACTTAACCCAGGTCTCCTACATGAGTGACAATATCTTAATTACTAAGTCATCACCGATAGATCCAATTAACTACAACAAGAGTATGGATCAGAAAGTACTTGGCAATTAGATGCAGCCAGGCAAAAAATCTAAAACTGCTGATTACCGGCTGTGTGATCTTGGTAAACTGAGGTGACCTGTATAAGTTTCAACTTTCTTGTCAGCAATAGGCAGATAAGAAGCATAAAGGTTAATAGCCATTATGGCCCTTGATATTTGATAAGTGCTAAAAATGAACAGTGATTAAAATTGGATACATGGATAGTAAGAGAAAAGGTCTGGTAGACTGTGATAAAAATAGTAGGAAAGATATGATCTATGAAGCATATGCAATATGACAAATCAGGCTTTGAGTAAAACTGAAAAATACAAATATTCAATGGGAAGGTACAGGAAGAAAAATCAGCCAAAATAGACAGAAATAGAAACTGAATTAGAAGAGATACTTTATATGACATCAGGGAAATAAATTTCAAACAACAGTAACTGGATTTAGCTACTAGGAGGCAATTGTTACATGTGTTAGCACAGCAATGTAGAGAGAAATCAAAGCTCTGTGGATTGAAAGGGGACTACAAAATGAAAAAAAGTGAGATGTGATTATTTCCTTTAAAAATTGCAAACTAAATTTACTACATTTACATTAGTATTAATTGACCAATAAAATCTGGTCATTTTAGTACCACAGCAAAATCTGTACAATGAGAAAATACCTATTGCAATTTTAGTTTCTAAGAATACTGTTACATAATTATTAACTTATGGTAACTAAGATACAAACATTATGGGGAAGAATATTTTTGCCAGCAAGAAATTATAAATTGCTTAGAATACGCAGTTTTCATGCATTTATTCCCCATGACTCACTTATGTAGGATGACTATCATTTCACTGCATATAGAACTGGTAATGGTCGTTTGTGAATTCACTCTTAAAAATAAAGTTATTTTTATATGGGTCTGACTCAAAGTTTGTTCTGCTTCAGGCTGTAAAGTAAAATTACATAAACAGGAGAAAGAACATAGGATGAATAGGTGCTGTGGAAGTTTCTTAATCTAAATTAGAGACAAATCAGAATCAGGATGAAAACCCAACAGATACAGAAGTATGACTTATGAAACTGAAATAAGAATGGATGTAAAATCCCTAGTGTCAGATTTAGTTTTTTGTTAGTAAGCATCACAGAACGTAATATCTTGATTCACCTTTTGTTTGAAATTTTCTGCCATCCATGTGCTACCAAAATACAGAATCCCATGCTTGGAACATATAATACTCGCTCAGCAACAACAAATCCTACTGGAAAAAAAAGGTTCGATGCAGGAATAAATGGTAATGCCATGAAAGAAAGTGCCTAGAAAGAAAACAGACAGTTGAACGAATTAAAAAATACAAGGACATTCAACACTGAAATCCAAACATTTTATAATTTCATTTGGATAATCTGGATGAAATCACATTCAACACCTTGAGGAATAGTAATTAACACAAATAAGGTTATTTATGGATGTTAATATACATAAAGACCATCACTAAGAGGCAAACACATAGTAAAAAAACAAAAAGAAAAAAAAAAACTAACCAAAAAACCCCAGAATACAATTTTTAAAAAGCCTTTTTAGTAATTAAACTGAGGTCTCAGATCACAGGGCTTAGGAAGCAGCGGCATCTTCAATAATGAGAAGTATGACACTACTCTGTGGCCGAGAAGCAAGTGAGGGTACAACATGGTTCACTGCTTCAGAAGGTTTAAAATCCAGAGACAGGCTCAATCTTGGATCAAGATAAAAAAAAAATAAAGAAAACGAAGACAAAAGAAATGCTTCATGATTTCAGAGTTTCTACCAAATAAGGGAAACACTAATCACACTGATTTTACATGCAGAATGTATTCATCAAATTATACCTAAAAATTAAGTTCTGACACATTTCATGATTACCTAAATAAACTTATCAATTTGAATGGTATGAACAAAACACATTTCTTTTACAAAGATTCTTTTGATGAATTAACTCTTGTTTAATCAGCCTAGATCTGAAGTTTCATACCATTAAAACAGTCTTAGAAGAATCACCAGGGTATCGGAGACTGAACACTCCCAAAGTCCCCAGAAGACAAAAGAATGCAAATGTGGCAAGATTTCGAATATCCAGGAATGACTCTATCAGTGGTATTGTCCCCATTGTCCAATCACAGCAAAGCTCTGAAGGATTTAACAGAAGCCAAGCATTCACAGGAAGGAGGTAGTTAAAAGTTAGCTGCCTTGTAGGAGTTGGGCTTACAGCAGCTGGGTTGTCAAACCTGCACAGGATATGAAAAAGAAACTAGTTAAAATACTTTTAAACACAAAATTGATAGTCACAAATAAATAGAACACTAAAGAATAGTAAAAGAGTAAGTATATGTATTTCATTAAAAAGGCCAAACATAAAGTATCCCTATCTCAGAATCTAGCTATACTTCAAAAATAACAGCTTTTATAATGAGGAACTCTTTGAAGGGCAAACACGTATTTGTGGTTTATCATCAGACTAATTCAGATGTATATACTATAAGGATTCAGCAGAATGACTCCACTAAATCATGAACTTTTGATAGGAAAAAAAATAAGCAACTAAAAGTAAATAACAGACTTAAAATAAAATGGTGTATAAGGCAGTGAGCAATATGGAACAGTGGGTTAATCGCCCCCTTGGGAAGTCTGCATTCCAACACAGTGCCTAAGATGAGGTGTCGCCTTTGGTTCTGATTCATCTTCTGCTAATGTGCGCCTTGGGTGCAAGCAGAAGACAGCCCAAGTATTTCTGTTCCTGCTACCATGTGGCAGCCCTGGATGGAGTTAACACTGCCTGGTTTAGCCTAGCCCAGCACCACTGGCTACAGGCATTCGGGGAAAAGCAGTGGATCTCTTTGTTTCTGCCTTTCAAATATTTATATACTTATATACATATATATATAATTTAAAAGATAGCAATAATTGGACCCAGAGGGCCCATCCCAACCTAGTCTTAATTGATCAGATGGGCAAAAGCCATTTTTGATAATTCTACATGTTTATATACTAATAAGAGAGCATCAAAGCACATGAAACAAAATTGATTTAGCTGCAAGGAAAAACAGACAAAACTGCAATTAAGATTAGCTCTCACATACTTAATAGAACAAGTAGACAAAAATCATTAAGATTCAAGTATATAAAAGTTAAAATATATGCTTATTTTTTTTCAGATAATATGTACTTCCCATGAACTTTTTTTTTAAAGATTTAGTTTATTTTTATTGGAAGGATAAACTTAAAAGAGAAGACAGACCAAGACAAAGACCTTCTGCTCACTGATTCACTCCCCAAGTAAAAGTAGCCTCAAAGGCTGGAGCTGAGCTGGTCCAAAGCCAGGAGCCCACAGCTTCCTATAGTTTTCCCACATGGGAGCAGGGTTCTAAGGCTTTGGGCCATCTCCTGTTGCTTTCCCAGGTCACAAGCAGGGAGCTGGACGAGAAGTAGGGCAGCAGGGACTGAACCAGCACCCATAGGTGAGCCTGGCACTTGCAAGGCGAGAATTAACCCTTGAGCCATTGCACAGGGCCCATCTAACCAACTTTAAAACTCCCAACATCAAAATCAACTTTTTAAAAAATTGCATGTTACACGAACTTTTTCAAGTACTCTTATACATGCATGCCAAAACCTACTAATTTGTATATTTTAAATATATGTCCTTTAAAAATATCTATTGATTGCACTTAAAATCCAAAGTTAAAAACACAAAATAAAAAAATAAAAAAAGAGCCAGAATTTCATACCTTGTGAATACTGGAAGTTGGGACTGAATAACCTGGACTCGAACCACAACAAGTAACAATGTACTGAACATCAGGACAATGAGTTTGATTAGTGTCTGCAGCATAGACAGCGGAATGCTACTCTTTCCTCGGAGAAACTGGCCAGCAGTAGTACACAATAATGGCAAAGTATACTGAAAAGAAAGAATAAAAGTCTTAAACAAGTAACAGTACAGTATTCAAAATTTTGAATAATGTGGTATATGCCAAATACAAGAGTATAAAATGACTATAATTACAAAATAATATGAAATCACTCACAGAACTGATAACCAACAAAACAGCTTAATAACCTAATCCAATGATTTATAACCTCATATTATTACATACTTTTCCAAAATTGGACAACTCTATTATTGAAACTGGAAAAGAATTATTAAATATTAAAGATGTCTTAAAATGACAAGTTAGCAATTCTCAGTGGGTACTAGAAAAATATACCTATGTCTAGAAGCTCTTTGGCATCTTGAATGGTAAGAAAACTGATTTCTGTAATGTTACATTTAGAACATAAATTTATGAAAATCGGATTCAAGTGTGACAAAAGACAGGAACAAGAAAATGCTTTCCCTTACCCCCTGGGCGATAAACACTTCATACACACAGCAAATCCCCACCACTGTTATTCCTTGTTCTTTACACAGTGTTGCAACAGCCACTAAAAACACTGTCAATGCAATAGGAGTCCACACTGCAATTGAAGGAGAGAAATAAAGCTAGAAATAAATACAGCATGAAAAACAATCTTATAATATGATAAAAGGTATGTTACACCTTACTTGTAATTCCATATCTACACTGTTGTTTTCCTTTCTGTTAACACTTTCAACTTTAAGATGCATTTAAATTTTCCAAGCAAATATTGCCTTCTCTAGGTGAAACATTAAGATATACAATATGCACTCAACCTCTCGTGCAGCTAAAGTGTAACTAACCAAGCATTAACTTTTACTACACTTGATCTTAGCCAGAAGTCCGAGAGGCAATACCAAACACATAACTTTTAAAACAAAGGCAGGGTGTTGAATGTGGTGATAAAAAGAAGTATATGAATGAGACAACTATGTGATGGTTTAAAGAAAGAAAATTCAAGAGAAAAAAGTAAATGCAGCTGGCTGAGAACAGTAAGAAGGTTTGGATTATTCGGTTATAATGAAACAAAGTATGGAAAAAATGACAGGGGACATGGCTAGATAAGTACATGGGCCTGATCATGGTACTGACAGGCACATTAGCTTTCAAGTTACCACTTATGCTTTGCTTAGGATGGTACCTACAGAAGCTATTGTCTCTTTCAATTCCTTACCAGTTACTGGCTTGCCTGTAACATCTTTAGGGACTCTTACTACATTTTTTATAAATAAACTAAAGCATGGAGAGATAATTAATTTGTCTAAGGCAATATGTGGAGCTAGTAAGTGAACAATAGGGCTGGAATTTGAAACTAGAATCTAGAGTTCAGGTTGTTAATCACTATTCTATGCTCAAACTCTTAAAGTATAAAGCATATAGCAACAAATGGCAAGATTATTCATATAACAACTCTAAGAAATACTAAATTATTTGGTTGAGCTACTTATTTTTTTAAAACTTCAGAATGCAGGCATATAAAAATAGATATATTACAAGTTCTTTCACACAACAGTGAAAAGCTACCAACAATTTAGGAAGAAAAAACTGGGAGTAAAGTTTAGAAATAACCTAATGTTCAGGTTATTATGTGAAGTTCCTTCAGCGATCACTAGGCCCACAAAAAAATCTTTTTTTTTTTTTTTTTTGCCTGGAATTATTTAATAAGATTTTTATGACCTGCCACAGTAGCCTAAGGGCTAAGTCCTTGCCTTACATGTGCTGGGATCCCATATGAGTGCCGGTTCTAATCCCGGCAGCCCCAACTCCCATCCAGCTCCCTGCTTGTGGTGTGGAAAAACAGTCAAGGATGGCCCAAAGCCTTGGGGCCCTGCACTCACGTGGGAGACTGGGAGAGGCTCTGGGCTCCTGGCTTTGGATCAGCGCAGCTATGGCCACTGTAGCCACTTGGGGAGTGAATCATCAGACAAAAGCTCTTCCTCTCTGTCTCTCCTCCTTTCTGTTTATCTAACTTTCGAATAAAAATAAATCTTTTTTAAAAAATAAGATTTTTAAATTTATTTACTTTTTAAAAAAAGTATGAAGAGGTACACATTTATGTGTTCCCCTGTCTCAGTTCCAAGAAGACAATCCCGATTCCCCTGCTTCTCTTCTATTTCTTCCTTCTCTCCTTTCTTAACAGCTTTTGCTAAGACATGATTTTATCTACTCAACATTCACAGGCTTAAGTTTTCAAAAATCTTAACTTTGAACAAGTAAAAAGTAGTAAGACTCCAGTTCCAAAGGAGTATTAAGAAGCCCTAAAAATGAGTATAAACAAGGGCTACTGATGACAATCACCCCCCAAGAAACCACTCGGCTAACATACATTTTTTTTGGCAGTCTACCTTAACTGACATATATCAGAGAAAATATGTGATATTTGTGTCTTTCAGTCTGGCTTATTTCACTTTACATGATGGTTTCCCATTGTTTCCATTTTGTTTTCTGGCCATGTCAGGCTTCATTAGGATGAATGAAATCATGCATACAAAGCACTTTCCAGGGTAGGCACACAGTAGGAGTTCAGTAAATAGCTGAACTACTATCAACATATGAGAAAAGTTACACTCCAGCAGGATTTTAACTTTGCCTAAGCAATACCACAGCCTACCTGCGTTATTGTTGAAACAAAGACAACTGAAGTGCTAAATCTAGTATCACTACAGATTAACAGTAGATGGAGCCGGGACTGACTCCAAAACACTTGCACCCAAGGGCTATCTGGTCCTTCAAATCAAATTATGAGGAGCCTCAAAAACACCATGGAAAATGAAATTAAAAATTACATTTATTCTGGTGCAAAAAATGTCTGAAATGCATGCAGATTTTTCATAATATGCAGTTAAAATAGAAATTACACAAAGCTTTAAAGATACTGATGGCAGATTACTTTGTATTTCCATACATGGCAAAAAAAATATAAAATCTAGGTATAGTAGATAGTATTCTATAAGAAGAATATGAAATAAATAAAAATTTACAAGATTTACAGCTATCAAATCAAATGTTGGACATTTACCTATGGAGTTGTCTGGTCCTTTTGATTTGGTGTATGACAAAAATGCAGCTAGAAAAAAGATAGATGACAAAAGTTCTGCTCTTCCCACAACGCCTGTTACCTAGAAACCAAAACGGGGCGGAAGGGGAAGCTGACATTATTGAAAGCATCGTGTAAACTTAAACATAATTTCAGAGCAATTCATTTTAGCAACCAAATAATGTAACTCTTTAAGGAATATTTTTTGCATTTTAAGTATTCTTTGGGTACCCTCAGGTCATGATTTTGTGTATTTCCACACAGAAACTTAGTAAGTTCTTATGTTATTTCGAAATAGTGTAGACTCAAAGGAAATTACAAACATGTACAAAGAATTCTTGTAAATTACCATTTTGTTCAATGATGTACATTATATAATTAATATAAGTCTCCAGAATACTTCATAACTTAAAAAGTGCTTCAAGTTCATTTTCTAAAAAAAGGCAAGCACTCTTAAAAATAGACTTTGTACGATATATCTTACAATAAATCTATAAATCCAAGTATAAGAAGACAATAAAATTTAAAAGATCATTGTAAATCACAAAAGCTTACATACAAAACTCCAAACCATGGCAAAGTGGCTCAACAGGTTAATACTCTGCCTGGCAGCACCAGCATTCCATTTGGGTGCTAGTTTTAGTGCCAGTTGCTCCACTTCCTCTCCAGCTCCCTGCTTATGCACTGGGGATCACCAGGGAATGACTCAAGCCCTTGGCCTCTCCACCCACATGGGAGACCCAGAGGGAGGTGTGGACTGGCTTTGGACCAGTTCAACTATGGTCATTGCAGCCATTTGGGCAGCGAACTAGCAGATGTAGAGAAGATCTCTCATTTTCTCTTTTTCTCTGTCTCTCCTCTCTGTACATCTGCATTTCAAATAAAAGTAAATGTTGTTAAAAAAATAAACATGAAACTCCCAAACTTCTCCTTTTAAAGTGTTTTAAATAGTGGCATGGTAGCCTACTGGCTAAAGTCCTTGCCTTGCTAGGATCCCAAATGGACACTGGTTTGTATCCCAGCTGTTCCACTTCCCTTCCAGCTCCCTGCTTGTGGCCTAGGAAAGCAATTGAGGATGGTCCAAGGCCTTGGGACCCTACACTCGCCAGGGAGACCTGGAAGAAGCTTCTGGCTCCTGGCTTCAGATTTATTCAGCTCTGGTTGTTGTGGCCACTTGGGGAGTGAACCAGCAGATGGAAGATCTTGCTCTTCGAATATCCTACTTTCTGTAAATGTCCCTTCCCAATAAAAATAAATAAATCTTAAAAAAAAAAAACTGCTTTAAAAAGTAAAAAAAAAAGTGTTTTAAATTTATGGCAAAAGTTCTAAAATCCTACTATTGTTGTAATATATGGAAAATGCCTCCTGAGCTACACAACAAAAGACTCAGTCAGTTAGTGAGAAAGAGACAAAATTTCCTCAAAATACACACATTCACATTTTACTTAAAACTGACAGCCAGCAACCAAGCAACTGAAAGCTCTTCCTGGGAGTTTTGGAGTTTTGAGATTATCAAGAGAAAATAATGTTAAGATATCTTGTTACACTTGCACATACTTTGATATATTTTCATTTTTAAATGTTCCTGGTTATTTTTTATCCTTTAAAAGACAAACACTGGCAGATCTGCAGATAATATTTGAAATCTAAATCAATAAAAAATTTGAAAACATTCTTATATAGTTAAGTCTAATAGATTACTTGTATCTTACATTCTTGAATGATTAAATATTTAGTTTTCAAAAACTTAAATTTAAAAACTATGTGATACAAGATGAAGCTCTATAAAGTTTAGATTTATTGTACCAATGTAAGAGTGTAAATAATTGCATTATCACAGTTAAGGTTTCTTTCATATATGTTATAGTCGTTACAACAATACCACTCTAGAGTTTTACTTACTGCTTCTGTGTGTATTGGGTGCACTGTAAAAAGCAGAGCAGCAATCACACTACTCCGGTTGTCCAGAAAAAGCTTGCAGACTTTCAGGAATATCACACTAACAATAGCATGAAAAATCATATTTAGGAGATGATATGACATTGGTTTGAGCTCACTAAACAGGTAATTTAAGCGAAATGTCAACACTGTTAAGGGACGGTAAGACTTGTGACTTCTTTCCTAAAAGGAAATACAATCAATCATTAGTAAACTACCTTGATCCTTCAGAAGATAAAAAGTAATCACAGCATTTGTTATCCCTGCTGGACATTTGACTAATAACAACAAAGTAAAGAATCAGCCCAGGAATTAGAAATGTAAGACCCTTTCATTATATTGTTCTCTCCTTCCTGAGTCCTAAAGCAGAGTGATTTCTTGACTGATAGATACAAATAGGGTGGAGAGAGAAGAGCAGAGGAAGAAGGTTAGACTATTAATTCATCTTCCACACAGACTGTTTTGAAGAATGGTTAGGATAATGGCGGTACTGGTCAAGTTAGGGCAGTGTAGCTTGTGTCTCCACAGCTTGCCTTCCTACCTCTTGCACCTTACACTAAGGCAAAAGTACTATACATAGTTTCTGGATAGATCTTCAACAGGAAACATCAAAACAGAACGTTTATCAGTTTCCTTCAAACTGAGATAACCTAAAAAGTTACTCACTAGTTGGTGTATAAAAACTTCATATTATGTATTACCTCTTTGGCACAAAGGTAGACTTTAAAGTCACACCAATTTACTGGGGAACATTAGGAAATAAAAGACGCAAGCATCACTAAGATTCTAAGAGCACCTAAATATTTCTATTGATACTGATTACATACACTAAGCACTTAGATTGTCCTCATCTGACAAATTTCTGTACAACCTTAAAATTCTGGGCTCAACACAGTAGCCTAGTGGTTAAAGTCGTCACCTTGGATGCACTAGCATTCCATACAGGAACCAGTTCCAATCCTGGCAGCCCCGCTTCCCATCCAGCTCCCTGCTTGTGACCTGGAAAAGCAGTGGAGGACAGCCCAAAGCCTTGGGACCCTGCACCTGTGAGGGAAACCTGGAAAGAAGCTGCTGGCTCCTGGCTTTGGATCGGCACAGCTGTGGCCATTGCAGCAGCTTGGGGAGTGAACCAACAGATGAAAGATCTGTCTCTGTCTCCTCTCTGTATATCTGACTTTCCAATAAAAATAAAATAAAATCTTTTTATAAAAAAGATGACCTACCAAAGTATTTAGTTCTCATAAATAAATGGCATATATGAGGCATTCAGTAAATATTCTAAATACATTACTAAACTCATATAAAATCTACTGTTGGCATTCTACAACTGCTTATTAAATAAAGTATTACTCAATATTCAGTTTTCTATAAAAGAACACATTCTTTTCATTGCAGCCTGGGCCTCCACCTGTGGTGCTCATTTGTATCCTGGTTGATCCACCTCTCATCAGCTCCCTGTTTGTGGCCTGGGAAAGCAGTGGAGGATGGCCTGAAGTCCTGGGACCCTGCACCTGCAAGGGAGACCAAGAAGGGGCTCCTGACTTTGGATTGGCTCAGTTCTAGCAATCGTGGCCACTTGGGGAGTGAACCAGCAGATAGAAAATCTTTCTCTCAGTCTGTCTCTTTCAGAGCTCTTTCCTGTAAAAAAAATTAAAAAATCAAAAGTTTATCTGGTATTTGTGAATCAGCTATATCCCTACCAAATTTGGAGAAAAAATGGAAAAAAGGAAAAAAGATGATAGGAAAAAAGATGATAAATTGAGAAGTTAACTATTACAGAGTTTTAATAACAATTTACTAAACATCTAAGTGGCAGATGTTGTAAACAAATAATTGACATTTATCCTAAAGGTATTATTCTCTTATATGCATCAGGCAAATCACCCGATATCTAACATTTTTCTCTGCATCACATGGATATGTGATACCATACTTTATATGATAGAATTAAACTTATAACCTAACCTGTGTGCCCCAGGTTCACGTTGGCTTCCTCCAAAACATTTTTTCTTTTAAGGATTTCTTTTTATTGGAAAGCCATATTTACAGACAAATAGAGACAAAGATCTCCAGTCTGCTGCTTCTTTCCCTAATTGTAACAACAGCCAGAAGACCTGAGCAGATGCGAAGCCAGGAGCCAGGAGATTAATGCGGGTCTCCCACACAAGTGCAGGAACCCAAGAGTTTGGCCTATCTTCTGCTGCTTTCCCAGGCCCCAAGCAGGGAGCGGGATGGGAAGTAGGGCAGTTAGTGCACAAAGTGGTATCTATTTGGGATCCTTGTGCTCACAAGGCAAGGATTTAGTCACTTACACATAAGACTGGGGTACTATGAAACATCTTGTTTTAAAGATGTATTTTATTTTTTATTGCAAATTCAGATATACAGAGGAGGAGACATAGAAAGGAAGAGCTTCCATCACTCTCCAACTGACTGTAATGGCCAGAGCTGTGCCAATCTAAAGCCAGGAGTCCAGAGCTTTTCCAGGTCTCCCACGCTGGCACAGGAACCCAAGGCTTTGGTCCATCCTTGACTATTTTCCCAGGCCACAGGCAGGGAACCAGATGGGAAGCAGAGCCACCAGGACTAGAACCAGCACCCATATGGGATCCCAGCACATTCAAGGTGAGGACTTTAGCCACTAGGCCACCATGCCGGGCTAACCATTTTAACACCAACCTTCAAAACAGTTACTGCAAGAGTAAAAGCATCCTTCTGAAGAAGAACTAAACTTTTGGATTCTAAATATCAAATCAAAACAACTGTTAGGTAAATTTAAAAAATTAACTTGATAGTCATTTTTTCCTACAGAGAAATGGCAATAGGACTTACTTTTCACTTTTACCGCGAAGGCCTATTTATACTAATGCTACTACAATAAAAACAGTCAAAAATATCACAGTCAGCTCTTTTGTCTGACTCACAAATTAGAAAGAATAAAAATAGCCAATGAGCAAAGATACTTTTTTTTATTCTATTGCTCTCCCTACAAATTTGGTCTTTACATAATATACTTCTTTTAATGAAAGAAAGCCAAAGTACATAGCCAAGGGAATACTCAAGTCCTGCTTTAAAGAAGATAATCAAATTTTCAACTTTTCTTCCAAACAAGTTATTTATCACTTTTATTTTTGGCAAGGGGAATCGCTTAACTGTTATAACAATGTTGATAAATAAAGAATTTAGAGTAACAAACTACCTGAATATATTAAAATCGAATACTTAGAAGTAATACATAAAGACATACCTCAGACATAGGAGTTCCCCAGAAATCATTCTGAAATAATGTTTTTAGGGGCGTAGATGGATGTAAGTCTTTATTATCCAGGATCGCTGAAACATCATCAAAAACGAATCCACAGAAGAGGCTGTTCCAATAACAGGCAGTAACCACACCTACTATTAAGGTTATTTCTTTGAGGTTAATGTAAGCCATCTTTTTCAGAAGTTCTTGTGGATAAACACTGGAAATAAAAATCACATAAGACAGATGAATTAAGCAACACTTTTTTTCCCATTTACCATTTTAGTATTGATAGAAAAAAAGAAGAAGACTGTACTGTAATTCTGTCGGAGAAAACTGCAGCTCGCATACTATCCACCTTTGAGGAGTATCACCTGATTACCTCTCACAGTCTAACCTAAGGCAGAACTGTTCTTCAAGTACAGTTTCTGACCTCTAATACAGTCCTTTAGTTCAACAATGCCCTTTTGGACCAGTCTTCTGCACATTTATCTATACTTTACACCTTCACAATTGAGTACAAGTGCACACACATACTGTAATGGGGGAAAAAAACAGCAACTCAAGGTATCCATCATTAGTAATATGCAAACATACAGTCCTGAGTGGGTTAGAAACCTCTTTTCCATAAATAACCTCATGTCCCTTACCTGGTAAACCAATTCAGTTGTGGTGACAAACTACAGTTTGGTTAACTGTTCCACCCACAGAATAGTTTAAAAACAACAGAAAAGAATCTGATGTATTGGAGACACTGATATATTTGCTTCATAACTGTAATTTAAAATACAGTATTATATATTGATATTTTATAACTACACACAATCATTATTGACAATGCAATTTTTGGATTCGGCCTTTTTAGTTGAAAAGTATAAGAATTTAGTTTTGTTTATAAATAGTAACAGAATTTTTTTTCCCAAGAATTTGAGAGTTGATGCAACTTTGACTTACTAGCTTTGTAAGAGTTGTTAAGTATCGAGAAGGGCCTGCCTATTAGGTCAAGTATCTGGATAAAATTAAAAATTTCTTATTCTACTTTTTAAGGTTTATTTAAAAGGTGAGTTTATCACACGTACACATGGAGCACGTTCAGGGTTGGTGAAGATCTGAAGGAGAAAAGTTTCTGCCCTCCTTTCTGTGTCCACAGGAAGAAAGAAGGCCCTTCTGCAGCGCCAGTCTTCATTCTTGGGGAGTGGTTTCACGATAGGCCCTCAGATCTCAGATGACAAGTACAGAATAGGAGAGGGTCACTGACTGACAGGCAGGTGGGATTTACAAAACACTGGGCGAGTGTGGCTTCTAACTAGTGACCCTAAGCTAACTACCCACCACTCAGTCTCATTCTTCCCTCAAGAGATTTTTGACCTGAGGCTGCTGAAGTCACATCTTCTCTAGTTAGCTCCTGCTGATTAGGGATGTAGGGTCTGCCTGTCCTGGTTTGAAACCCTGTCTCATTTAATGGCTCCCTCTCACAAGCTGGGGAATGTTCACTCAGTATCAATGGCTATGGTCCCCACATCTTCATGGTTACTGTGAGATGCTGTTGGTTTCTCTGCATGGAGGTCAGCAATGTAGGTGGTCTAATGGTGCAACCTGCACGCAGAGTCTAGACCACATATCCAGAGGCTCTGATCCTTGAGACAAGAAACCCTGACATGTTTGAGTCCATCATGAGATGACAAAATGTGCTACTTCCAAAGCTTTAGTACCCTGCACTCACGTAGGAGACCCAGAGGCAGCTCTTGGCTTCTGGCTTTGGATCAGCTCAGCTCCGGCCATTGCAGTCACTTGGGGAGTGAATCAACACCTGGAAGATTTTTCTCTCTGTTTCTCCTCTCTGTAAAGCTGCCCTTCCAATATAAATACTTTAAAACTACATTTATACATTGAGATCTGGGGTTGGGTGTACTCCCCAGGCCATGTCACTATACTCAGTGGCTTGCTGGCAAGTGCTGAGGCAACAGGTGGGCTGGCACCAGGGGCCTCCTAAGAGGTGTCAGAGCCAGGGTTCCAGGCACGGTGGGGGTTGCAGCATAGCTGTACCAATGCCAGAAGCTGGTACATTACAGAGCTGAAGTCATGCTCTGGGACAAGAAGATATGGAAAGCTGGGCCTCCCAAGGCCAGGGACCTAAGGTTTTGGGCCATTCTGTGTTGTGTTTCCGGCCACAAGCAGCGAGTTGGATGGGAAGTAGAGCAGCCAAGACATGAACCTGTACTCATAAGGGATGAAAGTGCTTGCAAAGGGAAGATTAACCAATTGAGCCATCACACTGGGTCCAACAGATGCGGTTTTAAATCAGGGCAATCTGGGGTTAGCACTACAGCAGAGCAGGTTAAACTGTTCTTTGGAATGGCAGCATCTCCTATCAAAGTGCAGCTGGAGTCCCAGCTGCCTGGCACCAACCCAGCTCCCTGTTAATGGGTCAGGAAGGCAGCAGACAATGGCTCAGGTACATGGGCCCTTGCAATCGAAATGGGTGACCTGGATGGAGTTCTGCACTCATAGCTGCTACAAGATCACACCCAGCCATTTGCACGTAGATGGTCTCCTGCTGTCAAATATATAATTTCTTTTTTAAAAAAAAAAAGGCAATTTAAACAGATTTTAAATGTGGCTAATTTCAAAGCGAATTGTTATACAGAAAAAATGGTACGTCACTTTGTAAACAGATTATTCAAATGTTAAAGGTTGAAGGAATATAAGACCATAAAATACTAGTTCAGTAAGACATAATTTCCAATTGTTGGTGGTGCTATTGTTTGAATATGGTTTCAGTATGTCCCCAAAAAACATCACATGCTAGAAGCTTGGTTCTCTGTGTAGAGGTATAAAGGTGATAAAAGTCTAAGAGTGGAGGCTTGTGGAAGATAGGCAGGTCACTGGAAATGGAACACAGCTTCTGAGAAAGGATCTAGCCTGAGATTGTTTTGCTACAGAAAATGGACTAAAGCAGTCAAGACACACACACACACACACACACACACACACACACACATTTACGTAAACATATGAATAGTCACTTTAGGTTGCAAATAGCTTCATTTTGGTAACTGATATGCTAGGTTCTAAGGTAATTATCAAAGATCTGAACTTGATTTAATGTGGAATGTCCTCTATGCCTGGTTTGAACTCATTGTAAATGAAATACTTCTTATTATGGAATGGGAATATGAACCATTCTTTCTTCAAACGGGAGCAGTACTTTAAGTTCCTGTCACATAGTTTTGGACTCTATTACATTAGAACAGAACGAAGAGAAAGAAGGGAGCAAAAAAGTGCTGGCTTGACCACTGTGTTGGGGGGGAGGGGTTTTCAAAGTTCTCTGGGGAAAAACAAAATAAAACCAATCAAAAAGCCATCCCACTGGAGGCTGTCGCCAAGTACCCTTTATCTAGCTTTTACCCTTACTCCTCTGGAATGGGCCAGTCAATGGTTTTCATTACTGCCTTGTGTTTCTCACCATCATCTCTCTCTGAGTTGGATCCCTGGGGGGGCTACCCTGCGAGAACTGCAGAGTCCTGTGCTTTGAGCTCCTGCACGCACCCCAGAAGCTGCACTCTTTTCCTTCCTCTCATATTAGAATCCTTTAAAATTCTACCCTATTTCCTCTTTATAGGCTCTGAATTACTAATGAGTTTAAGAAACATCAAGTCAGTTTATCAATGAGGTGCTGACCTTCTTTGGTTATCCCTGCACAATGTTATTTACTTTGGAGAAGCTTTATATGTGAACTCGGGTAGGTTACAATATTCAATTAAACATTAACATAGGCATTGATATAAAAGCAACTACCACACGCTAACTTTAACAGTAGCTTCCTTAATGTGGACAGACATTCCTTAATGTGGAATCAATCACCTGAATCCCTTTAAGAGCAAATCTGAGGTTTCAGTGAGAACCTTAAAATTGCAGCATCAGATCCTGTTGGACAGTTTCTAGCCTGCCATCCCTCTCTGCAGATCTGGAATCGTCTGTCCTATAACCCTTGATATTAATTACTGATCACAATGCTGCTCCCCCCAAAAATTTTTTAAAACATTCCCAGGGAGTGAGGAAAAAAAGGAAGAGCAAGGTTGTTCTGTTGCATGCCAGTAGTTCTGTTATGGAGCCATGTTAAACCCTTAGCCAAAAGACTCATCTTTAGGGTAGAGGTTGGAAAGATATAGAAGGATTAGACCAGGATAAAGAGAGAAGCAGACATGATTCATTAAGGGGCATTACTGTAACAATCTAACACTGCTGCTAGTTGTAGGAACTTACAACTTCTTTCCTAGGCACAAAAGCATACTCAAAGTTTGAGAGAATGAAGAACTCATTTATGAGGCTTGGCGTGGATAACAGAGGAGCTAAAGTCCTCACCTTAAAGGTGCCAAGATTCCATATGGGCGTCGGTTCTGGTTCTAATCCTTGCAGCCCTGCTTCCCATCCGGCTCCCTGCTTGTAGCCTGGGAAAGCAGTGGAAGACTGCCCAAGCCTTGGGAACCTGCACCCACGTGGGAGACCAAGAGGAAGCTCCTGGCTCCTGGCTTCAGACTGGCTCAGCTCCAGCCACTGTGGCTGCTTGGGGAGTGAACCATTGGATGGAAGATCTGCCTTTCCAATAAAAATAAATAAATCTTAAAAAAAAATTCTACTACAATTAAAATCACTCATGCGCTACAACAAAGAGACACAAAATTTAATTCCTTAAACAAAACTCTACTGAGAATTTACTTTTTGTAATGACTGAATAGTGCACTTGTGAAAAAGTTAAACCTATAAGAAAAATGTATACAATCTTTTTGAAATTTAATCCAGAAAGTTCTCTCAAGGGAAAACTAGCAAATATCTTCTAATTTCATTTCTATATTATCTTACACATTAAGAGCGGCTTATTATCACTATTGTAAACTATGTAAAAGTTGGTCTGCCCCGCAATTTGCAACCCTGTATTAAGGCTGACTCAGTCTCCTGGCAGTGAACCAAGGCAAGTCCCTGCTTGTTTCACACTGCTGGTAGCCAGGAGAGCAAGGACAAACAAAACTCAATTATGCACTGTGGATACTAAGTGTCTCACCGCCTGGCGAAGAGTAAGGTATCATTCATTTGCCCAACAAGGAGTGGAAATAACTCTTCAGGAACATATATCTATTGACTATTAGAAAAAAAAACAAAAACAGAGGTAGCACCTGCAACAGGTAAGGTTTCTACCTGATTTTGGTTAGACATAGCCACTCCTAAAAGTCAAGCAGAAAGGCTGCAAGTCCAGACAAGTGTTTCAGTACAAATAAGGCCAATTATAAAATTCTTAGAGAATCCCGTTCATTGGTGAGAACTGAGACAGAAAATTTAATGAAAATAATGGTGGGTAATAATATCTTAAGCAAGATTTTGCTTTTAATCAAGACTGAGACCTAGCTTCCATGAACTTTTTTTTTTTTTTTTTTTTTTTAAAGATTTATTTTTATTATTTTTTTTATTGGAAAGGTGGATATACAGAGAGGAGATACAGAGAGGAAGATCTTCCATCCGATGATTCACTCCCCAAGTGAGCCGCAACGGGTCGATACTATGCCGATCCGAAGCCAGGAGCCTCTTCCGGGTCTCCCACGCGGGTGCAGGTTCCCAAAGCTTTGGGCCGTCCTCTGCTGCTTTCCCAGGCCACAGGCAGGGAGCTGGAAGGGAAGCGGGGCTGCCGGGATTAGAACCGGCGCCCATATGGGATCCCGGGCGTGCAAGGCGAGGACTTAACCACTTGCGCCACCGCGCCGGGCCCGAGACCTAGCTTCAATCATTTGGAAATTATTTTCTCTGAAACCAGACTTGAGGCTGGAGCTGTGGCATAGTAAGTTAAGCCCCAGTCTACAGTGCTGACATTGTGTACAGGTTCAGATTTTAGTCCGGGCTGTTCTACTCCCAATCCAGACCCCTGCTAAAGCTCCTGGAAAAGCAGTGGGAGCTGCAGCAAGTCCAGGGGCCTTGCACCCATGTGGGAGACCCAGAAGCTCCAGGTTCCTGGTATCAGACTGGTTCAGCTCTAGGAACTGGGGCCACTTGGAGAGTGAATTAGCAGACAGAAGATCTAGTTCTCTCTCCTCCTCGGTAAATACTTCAAATAAGAATAAATCAATAAATCTCCAAAAGGAGGACAAGTAAATGATTAAAAATAATAGTTGCAATGAATGGAAAAATGAAAACCAGGGTACATCAGTGAAAATCACAGGTTCTTATTATGAAAATCAGTACGTAGTATTAAGAGTACTGTATAACGTGAAGGTATTTCAAAAAACTCAGGGCAAGTAGAATCAGCTTATTTTGATGCTTAATACGAAAAGTGACTCTTTCTAATATACATATTCCATGTATTTTTGAAGATCCTGCCAATGTATTCAATAAATACCACATTTCACCTCTGCCATTCTCTATTAAATTGTAAATTAGGAACACTACACATGAACAGTTCCGATTCGGAAGTAAGCCAAGGTCCAGGATTAGAATGATAACGAATAAAAATAGCTAGCGCAAACAACCAGGCCCCCACACAAGCTGGCCCTCAGCGGCCTGAGAACATGTCCTCCATCTGTGCCTCCTCACACCACAGCATTTAAGTTCGGGCACAGAACTTCGCCTCTCCCAGCCGCAGTTTAAGTGGAGAATGCTGACACCTGAACCTGTTTGGCCTGCTGCGAAGACGGAGATAACAAATGGTATTTGGCATAAAATTCTTCTTAAAAGAACCCCAAAACTGTTACTTCCACAAATCTAACAAACGCTTCTAAATGTATCCCAAACAACTGGTTTGTAAGAAATCTAATTCTAGGAGAAGACGCCCCCCAGTCCCCAAGGTAAAGATAAAGATACATCTTATTTATTTTCAAATGTGGAAAACTTAGCAATCAGTATAGCAAGCAACACAAAACAAGAGCCTAAACAACAACAACAACAACGGGTGGCGAAGGGAGGCCACCAGGCCCTAGGAGCTGGAAATGTCAAACAGATTCCAAGTCTACAGGTGAAGTTATCCGAGGCTGACCCACTCTGCAGGAGGGCTGAGAGCGGCAGCAGCAGCACCGTTTGCACGGTTAGCAGCGGCAAAGCACCTGCCAAGTCACTTTCACGGAACGGCACCCTCCGTGACCAAGCAAGGGGCAGCGCAGGACCTTCGCCTGCTCCCCGCGGTGGCCGTGCTCGCCGGAGCCGTCCTCCTCGACACCACACCGCCTCGAAACCCCGCCAATGCGCGGGAGGAATGCGAGGATGCCACCGCAGGCCAGCGGGACCGAGGGCTGGGGAGGCCAGTGCTGTCCTCGCCGCGACCCTCGCCTTGGCCCCCAGACCGTCCTCCCGACCGCCCTCCGCCCCACCAGGGTCCCAGGCAAGCGAACGCCGGTGTTTTCCGGAGAGAAACGCCCTGCAACACCGCCCGAGTCGGAGGTGAGGGTTATCCCAGCCCTGCAGACTCCGGCCCAGCCCTTCCGCCCGTTCCCATCCCGCCCGGGTCCGCGCCCCTCAACTCGTCCCCAGCCTCACCTGGGAGCGGCTCCACCACAGCGGCGGCTCAGGGAAGGCTCAGGAAGCGCGGCCCAAGCAGGGAGGCCGCCGAGCCTCAGCCATGGCTCACCTCGCTCCGGGAGGGTGCCGCGGGTTCAGCTCGGCCACCACGGCTCCCGCCTCCCGCTCCGGCCTCCGCCTCCCCGCCGCACGGCACGCCGGGAGGCGTCCAGGCAGCACTGCATTCTGGGAATTGAAGTCCTTCCCTTGGACCTTCACCCTTGAGTTCAGGGGAATCTGGCGGGGGAAGTCTAAACGTAAAGCATGCCCCCTCACCGTCGTGAAATGTAGGCTTGTTTGCATCCGGGGTCTTGCGTGGGTCTTGGCCTGGGGGATCCTGTCGCCTAGGAGCCGACGCCGCTGTGACTTGGCGGGAACCGGACTCTGGGCTGTAAGGCGGTGGGCAGCGATCCCGAGCCCGTGTGGGGCCCACCGCTGGTCTGGGTGGAAGGATCAGTGTATTCGGAGCAGCATCTCTGCGCTAGCAGGTTCTTTACCCTCAGGGCCCGTAAGCAACGCCCTGGTTCCCCCGTTCCTTCCGAGCTGCGGTCCCCCAGTCCTCTTGCTGCCCTCTCCCTGCTCCAGTCCCCGTTTCCGTGACACAGCTTTTACTCTTTCCAGCCGTTTATTTCTGCACTCGTTAACCCCCAGAATCTGGGAGTCGGTTTCAGCTTTGCAAAAAGCTGGGTGCTGCCATGGTGGTGAAGGGCTTGGAGGAGGGGACCCAGATCAGTGTCTGAGCTAGATTAGGCTTAGCAATGTGGCTGTCATGTTTTGTTTTGCCGGTACAGTGTCTGATGCAAAGCGCTGACTGCAGTCCTTTAAATCAAGGCTATTTTGTCGACTTGTTTTGAGTTTAAGGAGCCACAGTTACAATGATGCAATCTGTAAACACTGTAAGTTACTGTATAAACACTAATGCTGTTAACCATGAAAATGCTAACACCTCCTGTTTTGTTACAGAAGGTGGAACAACACAGGGAAAGATTTCAGGATGCCACCTAACATAAACTGGAAAGAAATAATGAAAGTCGATCCAGATGACCTTCCTCGGCAAGAAGAACTTGCAGATCATTTATTGGTCTCCTTGTCCAAGGTGCTTACCTAATAAATATCACATAGCTAGTCCACAATGCACCCAACTACGATGAATTTAAGTTGTCCCTAAAATGGTTGAATTTTACAGCTGGAAGAGTTCTTGTGGCTGAAAGCTGATAAAATGGTTGCTTTTCTGTTTGTTTAGGTGGAAGTAAATGAGCTAAAAAGTGAAAGTCAGGAAAATGTGGTACACCTTTTCCGGATTACTCAGTCATTAATGAAGGTTTGTATGGAGTAGTTTTTAACAGCAGCTGGGCCTGTTAGAGGAGATTGCAGAACCTTAGATAATCTCCGTGAAAGTCTGTGGCAGTGTCTGGATAGCCACTCCAGGATGACAGCCTCAAATGAGAATGGAATGTAAGCAGAGTAGAAGATTTGGGAGTTTTACTCCACAATGCCTAGAAGGAAGAGTAGGCAAAACAGAAACAGTATGGTTAAATGAATGTAACATCACAAAGGAGTTTACCTGGAAAATTATGAGTTAGAATAATAATAATTGGAACAGCAAAAAGGAAACAATGGAAAAGATTGCAAAAATTGAAGTTATAATACTAGCTATAAAGCTTGAGGGAAGAGAAAAAAATAAAAGCATTTCAAATTTTAAAATTATAGGCTTAAGTAAGAGATTCATTGGTTTGTTCATTCAACAAGAATATACTGAATGTGTTCAAGTCTGACTCACAGTAGTTGTTAGGGATTAAGACAGTGAATTAGATAAAGCCTTTATTCTCAAGGTTTGAATCCTGGCATATTCAAATGGTGTTGTTTCTTTAGATGAAAGCTCAAGAAGCAGAACTAGCTTTGGAAGAGGTTGAAAAAGCCGGAGAAGAACAAGCAAAATTTGGTCAGTGCCTTACAATGTTTAGTATAGTGTGAAAGTATTCTACGTATTCATTAAATAGTGTAAAATTAAATTTAATGTGTAAAGTGTTATTTATTTCGAGAGACATTTCTAAAAGCCCTGTATGGGTCTATTAAATGATATTCACTTTTTCCTCCATTAGCTTAAAATCATGGTGGGGCTGTTAAAAGAATTTATTTTATTGGGATCCATTTATTTGTTTGAGATCAGTCTGATTAATTGAAACACTTCTATTTTTTTTCATAGAAAATCAATTAAAAACTAAAGTAATGAAACTGGAAAATGAATTGGAGGTATGTTTTTTTTTTTTTTTTGGATTCCCTGGGGGTTAATTGTCGTGTTACTTGATTATATTTGGGTGATTTTTGGCTGGAAAAATTATAAAGATCACCTTGTTCTCATTTCTGTTTAATATGGATTCTGTGTGCCTTTTATGTACCTTAAGCTCTTATAAGGATTAAGGAACTAATTGTGACCCAATAGTATTAGTTGGATGGAGCTTAGAATCTGAAGAAATATGCAGAAGGTATATTTGAGGGACAGAAATGGTGGAGATTTGACAAATGATTATATAGGGATATTATAGAAAACATAGTTTTTGCCAAAGCCAGGCTCCAAAAATGAGTATTGTTGGAAGTAGTAAATATATTGAGATCCTGGAGCATATAGGAAGGAATGTTGTATGAATCTGTTCCTTTGAATGGAGAAAGGTCGTCTTCGTGTTGGGACGGGAGGACGAGTGGTTGTATAGAGAATTTTTACATGGGTAGGTTTGGTAGCTGGAAGAAGTTGGAAACAAGGTTCTATGCTAAAAGTAAGAATGGGAAATGGGGTGGTTAGAGTTTAAAGGTCTCAGGAAAAGGTAGAAATACTTCAATACTGAAAAAAGAGCGAGAAAGTAGAACTCGAGTCAGATTTTGATTCTAGTCCTATTTCCTTATCATGTTGACTTTGTCAGCTTGGATGAGTTTTGTCTTATCTTCTGCTGTATATGTAGCTTCAAGAAAATGCCTTTGTAATAAATAGTTAGTAAGTGAATAAACTATGGATTAATATTGAATTAGCATTTAGCTGGGCAGCTATTATGAAATAGAAGTCCAGGGCAGTTGAAATTACTAGTAGGAAAGTGTTTGTAAAATCTTACATGAATAGGAAAGAAAGCCAACATTGGAAGGATTTAAACTTGGGGACAAGAGATGTTAAGGGAGTATAGAAATGTGTGAGGTTAAAGGATATAATGGAAAGTCAGAGAGACAGAGAGCATGGTGTTGCATCTGCTGGTTAACTTCCCAAATGGCTGCAGTGGCAGAGCTGAGTCAGGCTAGGCTGGGATCTTCTTCTGTTTCCCCCATGTATGATAGGAGCCCAAGGACTTTGGCCATCTTCCATTGCTTTTCCCAATCTACAGTAGCTATCTGGATTAGAAGTGAGGCAGTGGGGCGCCAACGACCACCGAGCTGGGATGCTGGCATTGCAGGCAGTGGCTCTACCTCTGAGCCACAACACAGAGCCCCTGGGTGAGCTCTGGATGGAAGACCATGAACCACACACCTGCATTTTAAGACAAAAATCTTGGGAAGTTGTTTTATTGCTACCATAATTAGAGATGGAAAACCCAAATATTATGTGAGAGTGTCAACACTTTTAATGGATGCAGAAGAAAAAAAAATGGTTAAAGTAGATTGTAACTGACCTGTATGGTGAAGACTTAAATGAGTAGAGCCAGGTGAATAGATGATTTGACTTAAAAATTATATAGGGCCAGTACTGTGGCTCAATTGGCTAGTCATCTACCTTCAGGTGCCAGCATCCTATACTGGTGCCAGTTCATGTCCTAGCAGCTCCACTTCCAGTCCAGCTTCCTGCTTATGGCCTGGGGAAGCAGTAGAGGATGGACCCTGCATCTATGTGGGAGACCTAGAAGGGACTCCTGGCTCCTGGCTTTGGACTGGCTCAGCTTCAGCTGTTATGTCATTTGGAGAGTGAATCAGTGGTAAGAAGATCTTTCTTTCTGTAAATCTACATTTCCAATAAAATAAAGTTTTTAAAAAGTCTTAAAAAATTTAAAATCTTTTAAAAAGTGTATTTATTTGAAAGAGTTACAAAGACAGTGGAAGCTAGAGAGAAATTTCTACCTTCTGCTGATTCACTACCCAGAGGACCACACAGGCTGGAGCTGCACTAGGAGCTTGTTCCGGTGGCCAGTGTGAGTGCATTTGGGCCATGTACTGCTGCATTTTCCCAGACCATTAGTGGGAAGATGGATCGGAAGCGGAGCAGTCAGGACCTGAACCAGCACACATATGGGATGCCTACATTAAAGTGGCAGTTTTGCCCAGTGTGCCATAATGCCAGCCCTAGTTTGATGTTTCAAGCTGTAACCTGTGTTAACATAAATGTCAACCTAAATGAATTTAGTGGACTATCAGATGTTGCAGGTCATCTACATCTGTTTTGTCCAATGTGGTAGCATTAAGTGTTATGGTTATTTACATTGATAGTTTAAAAGTCTAAAATAAAAAAAAATTTAGTTCTTTAGTTCTCCTAGCCACATTTCAGGTGCTCAGTAGCTGCAGGTGGAGAGTAATGAGTGCTGCTGTGGACAGTGTGGAGAACATCTCCTGCCTCTGGAAGTTGTTGGATAATGATGATTTAAACAGTCCATGTGTGGCAGGCAGGGCAGGAAGAGCCTCAGGGTCAGCATCGAGGGCAGAACCTCTGACAGTTTGGAGCGTCAGGATTTGAGATTCAAGAACAACCTTGGTAATTCCTCCAAAACATTCTGTGTCCGTGCAGTCCAGCCCATAAAGCTGAAGCTGTGGCTCAGCAAGCAGAACAGACCCTGAGTGGGTCACAGTCAGTGGTGTGTAGCCCGAGTGGCTTAAGAAAAGCTTAGCGGTTGTCAGGCTGTGAATTAAAGCTCAAATAAATTCAATCCTTTGAAAAATGGTCCTTCAGCTAATAGGCTTTGAAATATCTAGTGCTGAAGCATCGCGGAAATGTAAGGCCAGAGAGTTGTTATTTTTGTGGCTGTTAGTTGATTTGTACTTTGGTTGATTTGAGATGGCTCAGCAGTCTGCTGGTGGACGGGACACCCGGCTTCTACGTGATGAAATTCGCCAACTTGAAAAGCAACTGGAACAAAAAGACAGAGAACTAGAGGACATGGAGAAAGAACTGGAGAAGGAGAAGAAAGTCAATGAACAAGTAAGGCATATTTTTTTTTTTCAATGTGTATGAACTCATGCTATCCCAAGAATGACTGATTTTGCTTTTTATGGTTATTGGTAATATTATCAATTTCTATATTATGTTTCATGTTTAAGGAAAGACATATGCTCTTTAAGAATTTACATCACTGTTGTAACTACATGTCTAAAACTTAGTGAACCAGGTACTTACAGTATGATTCGGATATTAGTTCTTTATATTTGGAAGAATGTTTTTCTTGGGACATTAAAATTACATACATAAAATCGATGGTTTGTCTTGAATATTGGTATGACGTTTAGTAATTACTTATAAATGAATGATTTTCTTACTACCATCGTTTGAATAAAAAGCTATGTCTGTATTAATGTTCTTACGTTAGCAGTTGGTTTGGAAAGCACTCTTTGATTGATGCTTTCAATATGGTTAATTTCCCCTTTTATGTAAGATACATGCTCTTGAAAGTTTGTGTTAATGCCAGCATTTTCTAAATCAACTCATATTTATAATCATTTTGGAGTATTTGTTATTACCCCTTTTTTAAATTAAAAATCATGCAATTTTTAATATTCCAAAAAAAACCCCAGTGGTTTGCAGAAAAATTTTATTTTGTCAGAAAATGGGAAGTTTCTTGCTTTGTCTCAGCTCTGCAGTCTTTCCCTAGGTCCTGCAGACTTGGTGTTTTGGGGTGGGAGCTGTCCCATCTCTCCTGCCCAGAAACATTCCCTCCTTCTGTGTCCTTGAGAGAGTTATTGTTGTGTTATGTTGTCATATCCTGCTTTGTGACTCTGAGAAGCAGAGTTATAATTTTTAAGTAAATGGTAACGACAGTGAAGTAATACTGATATTTAAGACATATTTCACAAATTAGTTTGTAACAGAAACTCTATTCCTAATATAACTAGTGTGATTTAGAAGAGTCGTTTAAGGGTTAGTAAGGGTTAGATATCAGTACAATTTTTTTTTTTTTTAATGGAAGAGAAAGTATGGTTTGCTGCATCTCAAAATAAACTCTTTGAGAATTATATGTTTTGTGACTCAGCAAAACATAACAGACTTATGGACTTCTTAGTAATCATAAAGAATCCGATCTGTGATATTGACTAGTACAGTTGCTTAGGGGATCTCTTACTGTATGGTTTTCTAAACTTGTGTTGTGTCTAGCACGTTTATCATTGGATTTATTCATACCATAAATTCTTAGCTAAACCATTGCTTTGTCATTATTATCTTAGATTATTCATTTTATTCATATCTTAGATTTATATCATTCTGTGGAACATATGGCATACTCTATTCTCTAGTTTCCTTGGGATAGAATTTATTGTTCTTTTTTTTTTTTAAGATTTATTTATTGGAAAGTCAGATATACAGAGAGGAGGAGAGACAGAGAGGAAGATCTTCCATCCGATGATTCACTCCCCAAGTGAGCGCAACGGCTGATGCTATGCCGATCTGAAGCCAGGATCCAGGAACTTCTTCCAGGTCTCCCACACAGGTGCAGGTTCCCAAGACTCTGGGCCGTCCTCGACTGCTTTCCCAGGCCACAAGCAGGGAGCTGGATGGGAAGTGGAGCCACCGGGGCTAGAGCAAGCGCCCATATGGGATTCTGGGGCGTTCAAGGCAAGGACTTTAGCCGCTAGGCCACTCCGCCGGGCCCAGAATTTCGATATCCATTACTTTGGCAGTTCCTTCTCTTGCCTGAACTACTTGTTCAGTCCTATCAAGTATTTAGATCATGCCCAAGACGGTGATGGTCGCTAGGAATGTAGTAAGGAGCTAATTATTCTCGTTCCAAAGGATATGTAGTTGGCATAACCTAGTCATTACTTGATGCTTTGGGGAGGAATAAACATACATGAATATGTGTGGTTACTCTGGGCATTCCTGTTATTGATCTTTATACACACTGACATAATTACCATAGTTGCTCCTTTACTTTTGCTGAGTCATCTGAGAATTATTTGCAGATATTAAGACATGCAGCAATGAAATATTTCAGTATATCCTTCCTGAAAGTCATTGTCTTACATAATCCCAATACAATTAACATGACCAAATTTTTTTAATGGATTCAAAAATGTCATCTAATCTTGTGCATTATCAGATCTCTTTTATCCCAGTAGTTTTCTAGTGGTAATTAGCAAGGTTTCATTAAAAATCACATTTTTTCTCAAGATTTATTTTTTATTGGAAAGCCAGATATACAGAGAGGAGGAGAGACAGAAAGATCTTCCGTCTGATGATTCACTCCCCAAGTGAGCTGCATTAGCCAGTGCTGTGCCAATCCAAAGCCCGAAGCCAGGGACCTTATTTTGGATCTCCCAGGTGAATTCAGTGCCCCAAGGCTTTGGGCCATCCTTGATTGCTTCTCCAGGCCACAAGCAGGGAGCTGGATGGGAAGTGGAGCTGCTGGGATTAGAACCAGCACCCATATGGGATCCTGGTGCATTCAAGGCGAGGACTTTAGGCACCAGGCCACGCCGCCAGAACAAAGATCACATACTGACTTTGATTCTTTGTTACGGACTTTTAGTTGCATAGCACTGTGTTTTCTCTTATTTTTGAGTAAAGGGTGAAAAATCAGAAAAATGAAAGTTTGTGAATGAGATGGGTTTTAGGGAATAGATTAAAAAATCAAAAATAGTCCCATATTGCAATAACAAGAGAATTACAAAGTCAATTATGCATATAGAACAGAGCAGACTATTTTTTCTGTTATATTCATTGGTCCTTGTGCTAAGAAATTTATGTACTTCTTATTTATTTCTGTTTCGACATATGTGTGGAATAGCTGGATCTAATAGATGAATTGAACTTTTGAATATTTTACTAGAAATGCGTCTGTAGTCTGGTTTCGTATGACTTCTACTAATTATTATGTTGAAGCACTTCATATTTCTAATTTAATATTCACTAAGGGCAAAGAAGATTCTAGCCATGAGACAGAAGAATAGTGAAATATAAAAATCTTGAACAGAAAGCCACACATGTTAGTATTTTTGGAGAGGATTTGGAGAAAATAATCTTTCTGTATCTTTTAATTAATTTTTTCTCAAAGATGTACTTATTTATCTATTTGAAAGGTAGAGACCAGAGACACAGGGAGGAGGAAGGGAAGGAGATAGTCTTCCTTCATTGGCTCTTCCCCACCCATGGTTACACTGGACAGGCGTGGGCCAGGCTGAAGCCAGGGGCCAGGACCGTTGTCCAGGTCCTCCATGTGGGGAACAGGCTGAGTTCCTGGCTGCCCCTGCACTGCTCTGCTTTCCCATTCATCACAGGGAGACTTCTGAACTGGAGCAGCCCACTGGCTCTCACCTTTCTTTCTATGGATTTTTCTTTTCATCTGTTTATCCTTCCTGGTCTTTCATTTCCAAAAATGTTGACTTGCTATTTATATCTTACATTGCTAGGGTTCCCTAGCAGCTAAATGTTCTGTACTTTTGCGGAAAGGATTTGGGATATACACTGGCTTTATACTGATTTGCTGCCACTCTTTTCTTATTTACTTATTTATGTTTTTACTATTTTAGTTGGCTCTTCGCAATGAGGAAGCAGAAAATGAAAACAGCAAACTGAGAAGAGAGGTTGGTGAAAACCTGGTGGCTCCACCTGTACTTGTTTTTAAAAAATGTAATGTACATTTACACTGTAACCAGAACTAGAATCTTCTAAGTGATGCTTTCAAACTCAGTGATTTTTGATAATGAGTTTGTCTCAAGGAATTAGGGACTAAAATGTGAGACTATTCAGTGTTATATTTGGCTTATAAATCTGTATGAATTAATCTTTTCTAATTATAAGCATTTTTTGCCTGTTTTCTAATTGAATATAGACTGAATTTCTGTTCTTACTTCTGCTATAAGATCTTTAGAAATTTAATTATGTTATGGTTCTTCAGAGCTTAATATTGTTTAGACATTTTTTGTCCTGATTCTTATAATATTAAAGTATTTACTTTTAAAATAATATACATGTGTTTTGTTCTGGATGATAATAAGATTACTTTTTTGGCCATCTAAAATAATACATTTCATTTCCACAAATTTATGTGTTTGTTTTTCTGTAATTTCTCTTGTTCTTTTTAGTTTTGTATTGCTTTTCTCATTTCTCATCACTTTTTTTCTGTTCTTGTCTGGAGAACAAACGTCTAAAGAAAAAGGTGAGACATTGTGGGTAGTAAGCCATTGGGACTGTGAAAGTACATCCTCAGAGCACTAGGCTAGTTAGAGGATAACGTTTGCGTCCAGTGGTTTCCTGATACAGTGTTATGCTTGATTTGCCTTCAGAATGAACAGCTCCGGCAGGATATTATCGACTACCAAAAACAGATAGACTCACAGAAAGAAACACTTTTGTCAAGAAGAGGAGAAGACAGTGATTATCGGTCACAGTTGTCAAAAAAAAACTATGAACTTGTCCAGTATCTGGATGAAATTCAGGTAAAATGGGTAGAAGTCACTTCAAGAAATGACTGTGAAAACTTCCATCTTACTGTTCTGTGATTCCACTCTTTAGGCCTATATTTAAATTCTATAGTTTAAACCTGCAACTATGTACTTGTTAAAACTTATTCATCTCTCTTGGAAATTACAGTTCTTAATTTATTTGTATGTGTCATGATATTAGCATTGAAATGAATATATATATATATATATTTGTTTATGTAATTTCCTTGTTATTAGTTTGACTTCATTGGTCAATGTCAATTTTCACTTAAGATCTGTAGTATTTTTTCCCCACTGGACACATAGGGCTCTGTTTAATGAAGTTTTTACATTTAACTTTTTTAGACTTTAACTGAAGCTAATGAGAAAATTGAAGTTCAGAATCAAGAAATGCGAAAAAATCTAGAAGAATCAGTGCAGGAAATGGAGAAAATGACTGATGAATATAATAGGATGAAAGCTATTGTACATCAGACAGATAATATAATAGACCAGTTAAAAAAAGAAAATGAACATTATCGACTTCAAGTAAGAATTATTGTCAGATTGACTTACTGCACAAGCTTCTATTGTCTTATTGTCACATTACTATGTATTTGAAATTAGAAAGTGGTTTAATTTTCTAGGATGTCTCCTGTGTTAATATTATATATACTATATTATTATTAATACTGTAAAATGTTATACAATACTGATGTATAGGTCTGTATGTGTTTCTGTGGTCACCTCATAGATACCTTGTAATTTTTGATATTTAGGGTTTATGCAAACGATGTTTGCATGAGGATGTACACAGCAGTTCTGCATAACGTTCCTGGGTATTTCCTGTTAAAGACTCATGAAAGTGCTGTGGATTCCAAAGTTGAATTTATATCTTCAAGTAAAATGTTATAAGTGTGAGAAACCAATATGTTACTCACTATTTAAATGGCAAGAATAATATTTTTAAAGTAGTATACAGGTTAAAATATATAGGTCTTTGGTTCACATAGGTAAATTGTATATGAAGATGAGGAAGCCTGTGTCACGTTTAGCTGTAGAACTGTCATCAATGTGCGTCATCTATGTTTGTAAAAAGTGTAGGTTTCTATGTGTATATGTAAATATGTTCATGCAATAACTACATTTATGTTATACCCGTATGCAGTAATTGTTGAAATAATCATTGCTTTTAGGTGCAAGAGCTTACAGATCATCTGAAAGCAAAAAATGAGGAAGATGATCCTGTCATGGTAGCTGTCAGTGCAAAAGTAGAAGAATGGAAGGTGCTTTTCTTAATTAGTGTAATAACTTTTTCATTTGTATTTTAGATTTAAACATTAGGATTGTTTAAAGTTCTTATACCTTTTGGCAACTAGTATGAGTTTGGTTTTTTTTTTTAAGAGTTTTTTTTTAATTGTTACATGTCTTACTGAGAAAAGGTCTAAAGCTGTGCCATAGGTAATCCTCTTCCCTATTTGTTCTTGAATCTTCCAAATCTACGTATTTGTAATTTAAAAACTTAATTTTTTCCCCGTCACTTACAATTGCTGTGTCTTCCTATCTATGTGTAAGTTCTGGGTTTACTTAGTTTTGCTGTCTCTGATTTTTCATGTCAGATTAACCTTTGAGAATTTCAGTAGAGAAAGGTTGACCAGAGGAAGCAGAGTCTGTGAAATTACATTCATTATCCAAGCTCCATTTATTGATGATTTTTCTCCTTTTTCTTCAGAAATAGAGTTTGTTTTTTTTACATGTAGACATTCTGTTGAATTTGAGTTGATTTTTCAATTGTTTTATTAAATTTAATTACCTATTTCTTAACTATGTATACTTTAATTGTTGTGTTTCATGATTTGAAAAAGCTGTTTTTTTGTTTTGTTTTTCAGATTTTTTTTGAACATGTATTTTTCAAAATTTTTTTAAAAATTTTTAAATTTTTTGGGCCGGCGGTGGGCAAGTGATCTCGCCTTGCACCCGGATCCGGCGCGTCTAATCCGCAGCCCGCTCCTTCAGCCCTGCTGTGGCCTGGAAAGCACGGGACGCCAAAGCTTGGGCTGCACCCGTGGGAGACCGAGAGGCTCTGCTGGATCGCATAGTATCGCCGTTGCGTCACTTGGGAGTGAATCATCGGGAAGATCTTCCTCTCTGTCTCTCCCTGTATATCCGCCTTCAAGAAAAAAATAAAAATAATCTTTAAAAAAAAAATTTTTTTTAATTTTTTTAGATTTATTTTTATTGGAAAGTCAGATATACACAGAGAGGAGAGACAGAGAGGAAGATCTTCAGTCCGATGATTCACTCCCCAAGTGAGCACAACAGCTGATGCTATGTCGATCTGAAGCCAGGATCCAGGAACTTCTTCCAGGTCTCCCACACGGGTATAGGTTCCCAAGGCTCTGGGCCATCCTCAACTGCTTTCCCAGGCTACAAGCAGGGAGCTGGATGGGAAGTAGAGCCCCCAGGGCTAGAGCCAGCACCCATATGGGATTCCGGGGCGTTCAAGGTTAGGACTTTAGCCGCTAGGCCACTCCGCCGGGCCCGGAATTTTATTTTTTTCTTGGAGGGACAGAGAAATAGACAGACACATATGTACACATGGAGAGAGCACGCATCATCCGGCTCACTTCCCTGATGTCCTTTTGGTGGCCCAAGCTGGGCTAGGACAGTACTGGGAACAAGAACTCAATTCAGTCTCGTTTGGGTGACAGGCGCCTAATGACAGGAGCTGTCACTTGCTCCTTCTCTGAATGCGCATTAGCAGGAAGCCAGGAGTAGGAACAGAGCTGCTATTTGAAACTAATCACTCTGACAGTGCCAGCAGGCTGGGAAGCACCCAGCCAGTGGCTAAAATTCAAAGGCAAATGTCTATCCTTCTTATGAACCTTTTTACACAAATTTTAGGAATAATTTGTCTAATTCTTTAAAAAAAAAGTGTGTGTGTAATAAAGTTGCAACTTGATTTATAGGTGGATAACATATTTGTGCTTTATGATCTCCCATCTTTGTGGTCGGTGGCTTCAGCTGCCTCCTTTGACACCAGCGTCCTAGATGATGCTGGTTTAAATTCCAGTTACTTCAGTTATCATCCAGGCCCTTGCCTGAGAAAGCAGTGGAAAATGGCCCACGTGTTTGCGCATTTCTCCCCAGGTGGAAGACCCTGAGGGATTCCAAGCTCCTGAATCAGCCTAGCGGTTATGACTGGGAAGTGAACCACTGGTTGGTTCTCACCTCTTCCCTTCTCTATCCACGGATCTGCTTTTCAATTAAATTACAAAGAGAAAAAAAATAGGCTTTTCAAAAAGAAAAGGTTAATCTATGCTTCTCACTAGTATTTTGATGTTTAATAAAAATCAGTCACACAAAGGTGGTTTATTTATTTATTTATTTTGAAGATTTTTTTTTTTTTTATTGGAAAGTCAGATACACATAGAGGAGTAGGGAAAAAGAAAGTTCTTTCGTTCACTGATTCACGCCCCAAGTGGCCACAAGAGCTGGAGCTGAGTTGATCCGAAGCCAGAAGCCAGGAACTTCCTCCTTGTCTTGCACGAGGTTGCAGAGTCCCAAGGTTTTGGGCCATCCTAGACTGCCTTCCCAAGCAGGGAGCTGGATGGGAAGTGGAACAGCCAGAACACAAGCTGGCCCCCATATGCGATCATGGCATGTGTAAGGAAAAGACTTTAGTGCTAGGCTACTGCCCCGGGCCTCAAAGATTTTGCAATTGTATGAGAATACATGAAACATTCTGTATTAGAAATACCTTTTTGAAATCTTAAGTTTTTTTTAAAGATAGAATTTGAAGAAAGATAAAATTTAATGTATATTTTGAATGCTTTTTTAGGTGAACTTCAGATTATGTTTGCTAAAACAAAAAACAAACACAAACCCCACATTATACCAACAATTGCTGATACTTCATTTCAAAAACTATTTTACATATTTTGTTAAATCTCCCCATGGCATATGCTGTGTAGTATACATGAGGAGGAGTTTGTTGACTTTCCTTTTATGTAACCAATTGTGGATTCTCTGTTTCTAGTCAATTTTGTCTTCTAAAGATGATGAGATTATTGGATATCAGCATATGTTATATAACCTCAACGAGAAACTTAAAAATGCCCAGCTGGATGCTGATAAAAGTAATGTCATGGCTCTACAGCAGGTAAAACATTTTCAGAATTTGGCTTATTGACCAGTTTTGTTAAAGTTGCAACTCTGCTGTGTCTTATTGCTTCACCTCCCCTAATTTCATGGTATGTACTCTGATAAGGCCTTCTGAACTTCCTCAGACCATCCAGTCCCAGTAAAACAAACGCAAGTTTAAAGTTAGGGTTAGAGTCAGGAAGATAATTAGCTCATCTGGGTAATACATTATTTTGGTTAGTAATGAATAAGAGAATCCTACAAACAGAATTTGAAATATCACAATATGCTATCATTAAAGCATGTCAGTAAACAAGCTCTCGGAACTTGCCATTGGTCAATGCCCACCTCGCAGCAGCCTGGCTTTATCAGGGGGCATGGCCGCAGGCTCGTCTTTGCTAACCACAGACTTGGCCATGCAGTGTCACTCTGGGAAGCTTCCATCCAAGATTGCCAGTTTGCTTCCTTCTCACTCCACCTCAAGCTGCATGATTGTTTTTCTGATGACCTTGGGCAGATATGTGCAAATAGTGAAATAATTTTACCCAAATGAAATGTGTTCTACAATTTTTTTTGAAATAAACCAGATTTACTCTTTTTTCTAACCATTCTATATTAATATTCAACAAGAAATATGTAATATTTAAAAATATTTTTTAGGGGATTCAGGAACGAGATAGTCAAATTAAGATGCTAACAGAACAAGTGGAACAGTATACGAAAGAAATGGAGAAGAATACTTTTGTTATTGAAGATTTGAAAAGTGAACTCCAAAGAAACAAAGGTAATTTAATCTTTTATAGATATATAAATTATATTAAATTTTTTTATTAAGATGAAATACAAGTACGTTATCGAGTTTCAAATTTCTGTTTTATTGTGCTTAAAAATTGTACATGATGTTTTTGGTTGCCATATATTTAGATGTATTTTGTAGCATTTTTGTCCTTTGAAGAACATTGCATGGCATGAGTAGTTGTATGAAATAAACAATACGTGGTGATATAATACAGCGCCTTCATTTAGCATTCTTTTTACAGTTTTCAAAGCATGAGGAACTTTGACTATGGCAGCAGCAGTAGCAGCCAGTTTGCAGACACACTGACTCCCACGTGTTAGGTTTCCATAGCACTGCCTGGTGTGATTTCACCAGAGCACACTAAATTATTCTTGATAATTTCTTGGACATTTTCTTCTGAAAATTCCTGAAGATTAAAAAGCAGGCATGAATAGGATGGAGAGCATCTTTGTGTGTATTTTTAAGTGTTATGATGGTAGCAGTGTTGGAGAAAGAGATTTAGATTATGAGGCAAAGGCTTAACTGAGGAGATAATTGAGCAAGAACTTAAAGGGAATGAGGGAGTGAAATGTGTCAATAGCTCTAGGCAGTGGGAATGAATTCAAAGAAAGTGAAGCAGGAATGTGAACCAGCTGGAATCTGTGAGCAAATGGGACAGTAAAAGGAAATCACTTGTAGGACAGTCGTAAGGAAAAGGTGGGGAGGTGTAAAGAACTATTTTAATAATCACAGAGAGATGTTGATGACTTAGAGCATGATGGTAACAATGAAATTATTAGTTACGAGTTCTGGGTACATTAAGAAGATAACCAAGAGTTGATTCTGTTTGTTGGATGTGGGACGAAGTTTCCAGTACCTTTGGTTGTGATAAATACTGGATAGTGTTGTAGTATAATCAGATTTAGAGGTAACCAGGTACTTTAGTTTTAGACATATTAATTTTCAGATGCTTGTTAGATACCCAAATCTGGATGCTGAGTTGACACTTACATACAAAATCCTGGAGTTCAGAAGCATGAACTAACCTCAAGATAAAATTTGGGAACCATCTTCATGAGGGTGGTATTTGATGTCATGAGGCTGGATAAGATCATCAAAGAAATGAATGTAGGCTAAAAAAAATGTAGAGTCAGTCTTAGACTGCATCTTGGGGGGCTAGGGAGATGAAGAAGAACCAGAGCAGACCACAAAGGAGTGGCACAGACACGGGAGGGAAGCAGGAGCAAAGAGAGTGCTGAACATCACAAAAGCAGTGTCATCCAGGAAGAATCAACAGCCATGGGAGCTGTGTCCATCGCTGCTTGTTTCTCTGGAGGAGTTGAGAGGGAGTGGAGAGAGGAAATACGGAGATCTTCTTAGGACTCTGCACAAAGGGAAAGGGAAATTTTTTCCCCTCTCTATAAGATGTAAGAAACAACTCATGCATCTGGGTCAATGGGAAGGCTCCATTAAGTGAAAAACCAATGGATTAATTAATGAAGCAGTTTCCAAAGGAAAGAGTTTGGGAACGATGCGCTAGAGAAGGCAGTGTGCTGGAACCTTGTGTACCAGTGGACAAGTTTGTCTCAACAACACAGTTTATCCATAGTTACAGGAAGGAAGACGGAGGTGTAGAGTTCTGGGTGTACATTATGTCGGTGCTGGCTTGTAGAGGTTCTCTTCTGGTTGCTGTTGGGTTTTAGTAAAGAAAGAAACAGAGTTCTAGGCTGAATGTGAGGATGTGGCTTAGAGAAAGATATAGAATGGTCGGGGTGAAGACGTAGGTAATATGTATGTTATAATCAGTGTCAAGAACCAGCTTGATCTCCATATTTTTCTATTTGTGCTTATTGTATTTGTTAGAATACATTGGCAGTAGTTTAAACTGCTTTAAAAGACTGATTAACGTTTCTCACATTCCAGTCATCAGGAGAAGTACCAGTTAATTTCTGCTGTCAAATAAGGAAGAGGTCCTATGTAATGATACTTCAGTCTGTCTGTCCATAATGATCACTTAATCCCTAAAGCTCGCAGGTGTGTGTGCTAGACTGTGTTCGATAATTCCAGAGCATGGATTTAACTTTTAAACCCAGGTTAGATTTAGATGGCACATACAGAGATCTGGAGAATAGTGGAGAAATCAAGATGCAAATTTATTTCTCACTTGTGTTATGCTCTAGAATTAGGCAGTCTAACTTCATCTACCCCATCCCAAGTGGAATTTTAGAGGAAGAGTGGGCAAGAAGCAAAGAGCATATGGCAGGCGAGTGTAGTGTTGCTTGTGGAGTTCTACGTAAGAAGGGGAGAATAGACCTTGGGGAGTATCTCAGCCTTTGCACAGCTGTGGTGTTAGTTCCAGAGAGCAGGGTTAATTTCTTAGAAAATGTATATGATCTCACATTTTTACTTGAGTGCATCTAGTGTAAATGCATGCTGTCTACATGTTTGTTATGTATGTGAGAGAGGATATTAAGAGATTTTGAACTAACAGAAATGCTGTATTTTAAACTGGCAACACTTTAGGGATAAAAAACAACTAGAGATTTAGGGATTTTGTTGTTGTTAGGGTTATATTCACTTGTAAATGATAGGGAAAAAAAAGCAAAATTGAAACAACTAGTTGAACAGTGTAACGGCTGTATAAATAGCAAGTTTTAGTGGCACCCTACGTTATGATTTTACCTACCTCAACAGTGTGGTTTCCATCTGATGTCCTAAAAGGAATGATTGATAGCTTTCATACCCATATTCAAACTAGCAGGAAGAAAGAAAGAGAAACATTCCCTCTCCTTTAAAAAAAAATATTTTCTGGGCAATGTTATTGTGGTATAGTGGCTTAAGCTGCCCCCGTGCTGCTGCTCATCCATATGGGTGCCAGTTCAAATCCCTGCTGCTCCACTTGAGACCCAGGTCCCTGCTAATGCGACTGAGAAAGCAGTGGAAGGTGACCCGTATATTTGGGCCTCTGCCATCCCCATGGAAGGCCCAGATGAAGCTCTTAGGGCTTTACTTAAGACTGACTAAACCCTGGCCACTGTGGTCACTTGGGAAGTGAACCAGCAGAAGAAAGATCTCCGTCTCTTCTCCCTGTCCCTCTTCCTCTTTTTCTTTCCTTCCTATCTTTGTGTGTAACTCTGCCCTTTAAATAAGATAAAGAAATCCTTTTTTTAAAAAAAAACATTTGTTTTTATTGCAAAATCAGACATACAGAGAGGAAGATCTTCAGTTTGATGATTCACTCCCCAAGCGACCGCAATGGCTGGTGCTACTCTGATCCGAAGCCAGGAGCCAGGAACTTCCTCCAGGTCTCTCATGTGGATGCAGAGTTCCAAGGCTTTGGGCCGTCCTCCACTGTTTTCCCAGGTCACAAGCAGGGAGCTGGAGGGGAAGTGAGGCTGCCGGGGTTAGAAGCGGTGCCCATATGGAAATCTTTAAGAGATCTTTTTTTTCCTTCTGGCATTTTGGTGTGGTATATTAAGCCACCTCTTAGGGAAATGACATCCTGGAAGTGCTGATTGAGTCCCAGCTGCTCTGCTTCTGACACAGCTCCCTGCTTATGAGCCTGGGAAAGTGACAGATGTTTATCAACCACATAGGAGCCCAGGATGGGGTTCCTGCCTCCTGACTTCAGCATGGCTCAGATGCAGCTGCAGCAACTATTTGGGATGTGCACAATGGATTGAAGATCTCTGAGTCTGTTTCACCTTCTCTGTCTCTGCAGCTCTGCTTTTAGATCAATAAGATCTTCCTGAAATTTGCACATGACCTTTGTATCTATAGTTTGCAGCTGCTGGAGCGTACTTGGAAATTTTGTGTCTATTTCAAGAGGCCATATGTCTTGCTAAGATTCCATAGCTCTATTACAGTGGAGAACAGGGAATCTCAGCATCAGGAGTAGCAGTCAGTGCCCTCAATTATCAGTCATCACACGGCCGTGTTTCACAGCCTTCTGGAATCCTTGCCGCTTCAGCTAAGATAACTTTACCAAGCTTCGCTTTTTAATTTTCTTAATAAAACCAAAAGAAACATTTGTTTTAAAAATATAAAATGGTAACGTTAAGGATGCTCTGTTAGTACCTTGCTATGCCTCTCCTTATATCGGATTTACTTCCTTCAGCGAATGCAGTCAGTAGAGTTAATCCGTTAATTTTGTTTTACCCTGTAGGTGCTTCTACTCTTTATCATCAGACTCATTATATGAAAATTCAATCAAAGCTACAGATTTTAGAAGAGAAAATGAAGGAGGCTGAGAGAACAGCTGAGCTGGCTGAGGCTGATGCTAGGGAAAAGGATAAAGAATTAGTTGAGGCTTTGAAGCGATTAAAAGATTATGAATCGGTATGTATTTTTATCCTGTCAATCAAGGATCTTAGAGGATGATTCTGGCTGCTCACAGGCTGTTCGGTGCTCTTAACTGAGTACCATTTTAGGAACGTTACTTAACTTAAAATAAGGGTTATCCTAATTAATTTGTTCAAGGCATTTCCCCCAGATCATCAGCTTTGGTGAGGCAGCAGGATTTGAGCCTTTGTTTTGTGTCCATTGTACCACCACTTAGATGTGACTCCACTTGATATTTTGACAAAATTGATGACAGACAATTGTGTTGCCTACTGTTATTGCAAACTGCTTCTTGCTTATTATATTTATGATTACAACCAAATAATCCACTAATTTACATGTTCTGTTGGTGTTGTTGGTATGTTCTTTTGCAGCATTTTGTTACGAGTTTTGTATGGAACTTTCTGAATCAGTTTGCTGTTAGTATGTTACATTGAGAAGTTTCAACTGTTCCGTCTACCTGTATTATTATTATTACTGGATATACTTTATAAAAGTGCTAGAAAAAATAGTGATAGATATCCCAGATGTTGTATTTTTCTTATTAGACTTATGAACCTAAATTACTTCAAATTACCATGCTATGTTTAAAATAGTTTGAATATTTTTTAGGGAATATATGGTTTAGAAGAAGCTGTTGCTGAAATAAAGAATTGTAAAAATCAAATTAAAATAAGAGATCGAGAGATTGAAGAATTGACAAAGGAAATAAATAAACTTGAATTGAAGATCAATGACATCTTGGATGAAAATGAGGCCCTTAGAGAGCGACTGGGTAAGCTGGCTTCTCTGATTGTTTTCTCAGCCTTAATTGTCAAGGTTTTTTTTTTTTTAATTTCTTTAGTATTATTTTCAACTTCTTTAATTTTTTTGAAATATATATTTCTAGAAAAATATTTAAAGTGAAAGAAAATGTATCTTCTGATTGAAATGGAATAGAGATTTCATTGGTTTGGATGGTAGGCGGGTAGGCCTTAACACTTGCTTTATTAATTCTAATGTCTTCTCAATAATTACAGATTGTTTAATAAGTGAAAGCCTATGTGTTACTACGTGTAAGAACTTAGAGACTGTTTTTGAACGAAAGTAGCAATTGTATAGCCCAGCTGAATTTGCAAATGCTATTGTTCCAGATGAATTCATGAGACCATTCAGCAGTAGAAGTACAAGAGAAATCTTTTAAGACTTGCAGCTTCTGACAGTTGTTGAGGCTGCTTTAAGTTTCACTTTGGTTGAGTACAGGCTCTACATTCATCCTAAAAAATAATTCATAAATATAACTCAGAAGTATGATTTTATAGTAATTCATTAGTGAATATTACTAATTTGAGTGGTAACTTTTATTGTTCAATCTAAATTCCTTCTTTGAAAAAATAAAAATTGGGCCTGGTAGAGTGACCTAGTGTCTAAAGTCCTCACCTTGCAGTCGCCAGGATCCCATATGGACGCCGCTTTGTATCCCGGCTGCTCCACTTTGAGCTCCCTGCCTGTGGCATGGGAAAGCAGTGGAGGACAGCCCAAAGCCTTGCAACCTTGCACTCATGTGGGAAACCCAGAAGAGGCTTGTGGCTCCTGGTTTTGGATCAGCTCACCTCTGGTCATTATGGTCACTTGAGGAGTGAACCCCGAGATGGAAGATTTTTCTCTCTGTAAATCTACCTTTCTGATAAGAATAAATAAAATCTTTTTAAAAATTAAAAAAAAAAAATAAAACCCTACATATTAAATTCATTATAATTACTAAATATCAAGTCATGCTTTCTTAGAGTTAAAATGACTGTTTGGAAAACTTTTCTATAAAGCAAGGAAAAGAAAATATTTTATACATATGATTTGTGAAAAGTATCTGATAATTGGTTTATTGTATTGGGAGTGTACATTAAATGTCACTTGAAATTGACCTTTCAGGGGACATCTAGGAATCTGCAGTTGACTTCTCAATAGCAGTATTCAAAAATACCAGAAATATTTTTTCAAAAGATCCTAAGATTTGGTTTGTAATCACATATATTAGACCTTTTTAATAGGTGGTTTTTACAGTATAGCTGTTTAATGATAGCAGGTTAGGCAACAGCCACACTATAAAACTCATAATCAATAAAATTGATTTTTAAATTAATATTTATATCTATATTATATATTTTTTCAATAATAGATTCTGTTACAGAATATTTAAAATAGCATCACATGGTGAAAAATATCCTGGGAATGTTTTTCTCGGGATTTTCATTAATAATTTTAATAGCTTTTTAACTTCATTTACATGGCAAGAAGAATCTTGCACAGCGAGTTTTCTGTTATTCTATAATACTGGCTTAATGACTGGTATCTAGTTGCTTGGTGGTGTGCAACGTTTTTGCATTGCATTTGAATATTTTATTAAACCTTTAATTCTGTCGCTTTGTATTTTAGGTCTTGAACCAAAGACAATGATTGATTTAACAGAATTTAGAAACAGTAAGAGGTTAAAACAGCAGCAGTATAGAGCTGAAAACCAGATTCTTTTGAAAGAGGCAAGTGTTGTATTTAATTGAGTGTATTATTGGTTAAATTAAGGAGGAATACTAATAATTTGCACTTTTCAGATTGAAAGTCTAGAGGAAGAACGACTTGATCTGAAAAAAAAAATCCGTCAAATGGCTCAAGAAAGAGGAAAAAGAAGTGTAACTTCAGGTACCCTCAGTTATTCCAGACCATTAGAAACTTATTCAGGAATGAGTTCCCTGAAGCTGAAATTTCTATATATTAGAAATATTTCTGCTATATTATCAGGATTAATAAATTGAAGTAGTAGCAGTTTGAAAATAGGAATAATGTGTGTTTGTTCAAGCTTGAGTCTGAAATAATATCTTAAAAAAAGAGAAAGTGAAAAAAGTAAGTGAACAAAGCCATCCTCCTTGGAATCACAGACGTTGAGTTTGTAATGCTGTAGTTGATATAGTTTCTAGATACGTCACCGTGTTCTTATAATTAGACCTCACAAGCTGATGTCTTGGTGTTTTCCCTTTTCCTTAAAAGCTAGGTATCAAAAACACTTTTGGCAAATTATCCTAAACTAAATGAAAGTAATTTATAGGATATCACCTGTTGCTTTAAATTTTTTTTCTTCCTTAATTTAAACAGAGCAGATAAGCTATATAATAGCCCTTGTAGTGTTTGTTTTGTAAAAGGACTAGGAGAAGGAATTTATTTTTTTCACATGGCCCGCGTCCACTGATACATATATATGAACAGTAGGAGATGATATTTTTAGCATTGTGGTTTCCACTATATATCAAAAATGTTCTAGAAAAGTGAAATTTACAGTCTGTTATGGCAATAACCAATTTGCTTATTATTAGCGGTTAGCATTTACTTGGCTTATGTACCATTGACAATTTTGATGTAGAATGTACAAAGAAAATAAAATTCAGATGAACTTTTCATATTACTACTGCATTCTTAAAAGTGAGATGAACCAGAAGAGTGTATTTGCTACACGAAGATCAAAGACTTGGGAAACCGTTATTCTACCTTTTGTTTTGATCCCAACCTTGATCCCAATTTTAAGAATTTAAAACTGATTTAAAATTTTTTTTTTCTTAAATTTTTTTAATGTAGGGTTAACCACTGAAGACTTGAACCTATCTGAAAGCTTTCCCCAAGAATATAGAATAGGGGAAAGAAAATTGGATTTCACAAGCCTTAGAAGTATGGGTGAAATGCAGTCAAAGGTAAACAATAAAATATCACTATTACAAAGACACAAATTTTTTGATGCTTTCATTTCTTTCTCCGTTATGTTATTTTGAACATGTTTGCAGTTAAGTAAGCAGGAAAAAATGTCTTTTTTACTTTCAATGACCTGTTGATGCCAAGGTTGATTAATGAGACATTATTTACTCTAAATACAAATTAGGAGTTCAGATCCAATAGAGATGCTGCGTAGGAGACTGTCATTCAGCATTCCACAGTCAAATCAGAGTGAGCCAGAGGAAAATAAGTCTCTAGGATCTGAGTCAAGGTCGTCTGAAACTCATCATAATATAGGAAGTGGAGTGGATCATTTCATGTCTTTAACTAGACATCCTTCATGCATGCGAGCAAAAGATAATAATGTAACTGCAGAAACTATTACAGTAAGAGAGATTTTCAAAGCACTGCATCTGCAACCTTTGAAAACTCTAGAATCATGAGTGCCATTCGTAGGGAGAGCCAAGGAGAAATAGACGACTATTCATATTCTCTTTCTGATGAGCGTGTGAAGAAAGGTTCACGAAATCATCAAGCCCGAGAGAAGACTAAGTGGAAACAGAAAACGATCCATCTTTTCAAGCCCCATCAACAGCTTCAGATTTAACAAGAAAGTTATCACTTAGGAAAAGATCTGCAATATTTTGTCAGCCAATTAGTGATGATGTAGCAGACACTGAGGAGTCAGAAAGTAGTGGCATCAGAAGATGAACAGGTTCACACCCAAGCAAAGTAAGTTGATGTCAGCTTGAAAGAGGGTGTAAGAAAAAGTAAAATACCCACACAAACAGGAATTGTAAAAAAGTGAACGTGAAGTTAACCTTCCAGATCCTGGGCCGATTACTATAACTGCACAAAGTTAACTCAGGTAGATCGACCTGACAAGCTTACAGAACAGCCGCAGGAGAGCTAGTGTTTCTTAGACCTCAGGTGACCTTTCCTCCTAGTGACTTTTCCTTTTTTGTTTTTCTTCTCCTTCTAATTATTATTATCATTTCTAGAATTCCATTATTGCAACTTTGCTAACAATGTTTTACTAAAAAATGAGATTTTTTTTGTACTCTATTTTACACACATTCTGTTTTTTTTTCATCCAAAAATGCAATATATTTGATGTAGGTTTTATGAATTTGCCTAATTTATTGAATGTTTCTTCAGAAAGAAGTCATAGCACAGGATTTATTCATCAAAGAAGCAGAGAGTAGAAATGTAGAAATAGAGCTTGAACGGTGCAGAAGCCAGGCAGAGCAGGTAGTGTCAAGGCAGACGACTGAACGATTCCTGTCACACTGAAGGCCCGTCCAGTGCCTCCCTTTGGCTGCGGAGGTTGGGGAGGGAGCAGGAGGGAGGATCACCACCATGTGCTGTGCCTTTATGCTTGTGTTCTTCTATGTCTCTGTAGCTTTTTAAATTGTATTATTTCTTACTGGATCAAATTTTTTTTTAAACCGGAAAAGTATACACTGTGGTCATATTTATTTTCAAAAAATCATTTCTATTCTCTGTGTGTTGTTCAGAATGAATTGCTGTCAAGAGAACTCATCGAAAAGGAAAGAGATTTGGAAAGATGTAGGACAGTCATAGGCAAGTTTCAGAATAAATGTAAGTGTCTTTTGTTTCTTATTTCTGATCTATACCTCTATACCTTTTTGAATTCCTGTATTTAAACTTATGGATCAGAAAAGTTTGAAAGTTTTTAAATCTGTTCTAATTCCTTCTGTTATCTGTATACTTAATTGTCTCATCCAGTTGATTTGCTTTGCTAGTTCATTGTCACAAACTGGTAGTCAATTTTTTTTTTTTTGAAGATCTATATCTGGGTTTTATTTGTTGGCCTCTAAAGTGGTTAGGTATTCACATTTAAAAGATTGCTAACATTCAGTAAGTTTTAAGTTATGGAACAGATATGCTTACAGTGTATTTCAGCTGTGAGACACTAACTAGATCTGTTCATGTTAGCTTTATAGATGAATTTTTTTTCTTCATTTAAATTTTTCTGGTGGTAATTTTTTCTCTGTGTAAATTGTTCATCATCTTTGTGTCATGGTGTGAATTGTGAAAAAGATCATCCAATCAGAAAAATCTTTAATTGCAGTAAAACAGTTAGTTGAAGAAAATAAGCAACTTGAAGAAGGCATGAAAGAAATACTGCAAGCCATTAAGGAAATGCAGAAAGATCCTGATGTTACTGGAGGAGAGGCATCTCTGATCATCCCAAGTCTGGAGAGACTAGTTAATGTAAGTCATTTTTTTCATGCTAATCACCTCCCGTCCCTTCAGCACTTTAAGGATGTGTACTGGTCTCCATGGTTTCTGATGAGGTACCTGCAGTTGGTTGAAATGTTGTCATGTCTGCAATGTGTAATTTTTCTCTGGCTGTTTTCAATACTTTCTCTTCATGTTTGATCTTCACCTGATTTTGTCTGTTCGTGTGTATCTCTTTCTTTTTCTTTCTTTTATTTTGGAGATTTGCTGAATGTCTAAAATCTTCACTTTTACTATTTGCTGGGAAGTTAAACACAGTTCTGAGTAGATTAGTTTTGCTTTTGCTTCAATTGCCTTATTTGTATCCTATATTCCTTTTTCTGTGTTTATTTTATACTTAACAGTTGTCTTCGATGCATTTCTTGGGGAGTATGACTATGTCTAAGTATGTGTATGTGTGTGTGTGAGATATAGGTACATATTTATGCTGTTATTGGAGAATTAGAGATCATGAAGCAAATGTGGTATACAATTTGATTTTCTCTGCTTTTATCATATTTCCGATACATAAAAACACTAGGCTATAGAATCAAAGAGTGCAGAAGGAATCTTTGATGCCAGTCTGCATTTGAAAGCCCAAGTTGATCAACTTACTGGAAGGAATGAAGAATTAAGACAGGAGCTCAGACAGTCTCGGAAAGAGGCTATAAATTATTCTCAACAGTTGGCAAAAGCAAATTTAAAGGTAAGGATTTGGGGAAATAAAAAAATGCTAACCCTAAGAATGGTGATGGGAAACTTTTAATATGGGTTTAGAGACTGTTGTGAGAAAATGTCTTTGGAGTTAATTATGTTAGCTCTAAGGAAACGGGATTTTGCTTATGACATTAATTAGAAACTTAATTGCTTTTAATGTTAAACAGATACAGGAGTTTGAAGGCATTTCTAAATAGAAAAGTATAAGTAATTTTTGGCAGGGCAGCCACATTTGTATCTTGTGAAAAGTATGCACTAGGAAAATCATGAAATGTAAATTGCTGCATTTTAGTTTGTCTTTCTTTGGATTTCACAGTTGTGAGCCGGATTCTGAATTTTTTGTTTACAGATAGATCATCTTGAAAAAGAAACCAGTCTACTACAACAGTCCAAAAGTTCCAATGTGGTTTTTAAAGGAGTAGACTTACCTGAGGGGATAGCGCCATCTAGTGCCAATATCATCAATTCTCAGAATGAATATTTAATACATCTTTTACAGGTACTGTTTTACATGTGAATATCAAAACTCCTGGGTAGTATGTTTTTTAATTTACTCTTTATGTATTCCTTTTGCTCCTCAGACTATTAATGCTGGATATATTTTAAAATTTTGATATAAGGGAAGATATATATAAACAGTTTTTACCATTGGTTCGTATGAGAGTCAGTTTCATATGCCCTGCATGCACGCGTGTCATTTGTTTGAAATGTGACTGACGTGTGAAGCAACAAGCAGGTACTCTGAAAAACTGAAACGCAAATCAGATGGACAATTTTATTTATTGCTTTTTTGAAAAGAGTTCTGAGAGACTAAAGCAGTCAGAATTTTTAACATTGTGAGTAGAGTTGTTCCATTTATGTGTGTTAACTGCAGGAAAAAACTTTTACATAAACGTGCCTAATTTTCTTTCCTTAATGCTGTAAAATGTCCTTTAATGTATCTGCGTGTTACAAAGTATGCCCTTCATCTTGCCCTGTGTTGGTGTCTCTGCTTTGTTCTCTGAATCATGGCCATTTTTGAACAGCCCCCATTAAGGATGTTTTTCATTTTGTTATTTCATGTTTGAATACCTATGATTTCACCATTTCCTACTCCTAGTTGATTCATTGGTGAATTGATTGGTTCATGAGCGGATTATCAAAAATTGTCTTATATTTGGTAATTAGATTATCTTTTAATGATTATTGGAATTTCTGTGCTATCCAGGTAAGGTAGGGACAACTTGAGTCAGTTATCAGAACATTGTAATGTGTGTTGTAATAACACTGCTTTTAAATGTCTAATTTTAGCACTCTGAAATTCTCTAGGTCTCTTACAGGATAGGGCTGCTTTTAGCAAGTAATGGCCTTTTCACATTGCCATTTTATATTTATCCATCCTGTAATAAAAAATAAGAGAAGCATTATGGTTGATTAGTGTGTACTCCTGGGAAATGTGAAGACTTGTCTAAAGTGACCAATAGGCACTCGGATTCTGTGCTAAAGCAGCAGAAAGGGGTGGAGGGAGCAAGGCTTTTGGAGTCCGACAACATGTGCTGGTTCTGCGTAAATGAAAGGCGCTCGGCGTATGTGCTTGGTGTAACATTGCCTTGGATCAATTAGTGAGTTCTAATGGATGCTGTGTAAGTTATTTAATTATTTTAAGTTTCAATTTCTTCATCTTCAAACACTTTAAAAGGATCATTTGAACGGAGGTGTATGAAATTATATTTTCACAAATGGGAGTGTATCTGAGTGATTGGAGGTAAGTTTGTAACTCTGGTTTATTTCATACAGGTTTGTTTTTATGTGATAAATGCTTGCTGATGGTTTGTGTGTTTGCACTGCTAATATGGAAACAATGAGTTTCTCTGTGGGATAGTACTTCCTGTTCATGCGCATTACCTTATTCCATATGCCTAAAACTAAAATGCTCAGAAGTCATGGAAATGTCAGTGCTACTTAAAAATTGTATGATTTTTCTCTTTTATTTCTATTTTTATAATTTTATAATATGAATTTATATGTCCAAATTAAAAGTATGTGCTGATGATTTTTAAGTTTTTACATCTAAAACAATTTTTAGGAACTTGAAAATAAAGAATGCAAGTTGAAGAATTTAGAAGATTCTCTGGAAGACTATAATAGAAAATTTGCAGTAATTCGTCACCAGCAAAGCTTATTGTATAAAGAATACTTAAGGTACTGAGGTATAGATGTTTGCAAAACTGTACAAATGTATTTGACCATATTGAAAATAACTTGAGAATTCAGATATTTTGGCTTGTTCCTTCCTCTTTCCCTGTTTTTTTAACCCATAAAAATGTATTCACTTATTTTGAAAGTCAGCAATTTTCAAGTATGCAATATATTATTATTAGCTCTAGTCACTATGATTTACAACATATCTCTCACTCGTTCTTTCTAATTGAAATTCTATGTCCTTTAAAAACCTGTTTTATTTATCTGTATTATAAAGGTTATATATGTGACAGGTGGAGTTGCAGAGAGAGAAAAAGAAGTACCTAGAGAGAAAGAGACAGAGATTTTACATTCACTGTTTCACTCCCCAGCATGGATGCAACAGCTGGGACTAGGCCAGTCCATAGCCAGGAGCCAGGAGATTCTTCTAGATCTCTCACTGCTTTTCCTAGGCCGTTAACAGGGAGCTGAATTGTGGGGGCTTCAGCACCTGGATGGGATGCTAGGGTTGCAGATGGCAGCTTTACTTGTTATGCCACAATGCCAGTGCTAAAATCTTAAAAAAAAAAACCTGTAGATTTGTATCATCTGAAATTGTCAGTTGGTTAGGCATTTTGTGCTTATTTTTATTGTCTTTATCTTCTGTTGGTTTTGTTTTAGTGAAAAGGAGACCTGGAAAACAGAATCTGAAGCAATTAAAGAAGAAAAGAAAAAACTCGAGGATCAAATTCAACAAGATGCTATAAAAGTAAAAGAATATAATGTGAGTATAACACTTTCAGTAGTTACATATAATGCATAAACCAGGATGGCTAGAGTCAATAAAGAATATTTTTTTGTATGTACAGAATTTACTGAATGCTCTTCAGATGGATTCAGATGAAATGAAGAAAACACTTTCAGAAAATAGTAGAAAGCTCACAGTCTTACAAGTAAATGAAAAGTCACTCATAAGGCAGTACACAACATTAGTAGAAATGGAACGGCAACTTAGAAAAGAAAACAGCAAACAAAAGAATGAATTGATGTCAATGGAAGCTGAAGTTTGCGAAAAAATTGGATGTTTGCAAAGATTTAAGGTACATCTGGCTTTTGTTTTTGACTCTAAAAGTTTTCAAGTGTGTAAGAAGTTGAATATCAACCTCGTCACATAGATTAGTCATTCAGTGTGTATGTGTGCATGTATATTATTTTTCTCTATGAGATTTTTTTCTCAGATTTACGTGCACAGCATTAAAAGGGGACACTGGCCTTTGCAGACAGCAGCCCAGAGGTCACACCAGTCCTCCCGTCCTCCAGATAAAGCCCGCATCGCAGAGCCTTCCTGAGGGACTGGGTGGCTGTCAGGGGAGCCTGAGCAGGAGCTGAGACTGTAGTTGCAGGTGCAGACAGCCTAGGCCTCGGTGTGGACAGGAGCCTTGGGCTGCTTTGGGCCTAGGGCCTTGCCTTACTTTCAGTCAGAATTGTACCCTTGATTTGAGCACTGAGTCAGTCTTGGTCTTTGCCTTAATCTTTGGCTAGGACAGCCTAAGACCCTTGACAATGTAGGCACAGGCATACTTCCTAAGTTTGTGGTGGACAATGTAGGCAACTTGGCCAAGCTTGACTGTGACAGTCTGAGTTTGTAGGCTTAACTTTCTTAGATTGGACCATGGCCTTGGGAGCTTCGGCATGTGCACTCACTGTCCTGGCACTGTTGGCCTACATGTTGTTTGGCTCAGAAACTGGAGTCTGTCACCCCAAATGATTGGTATTTGGATGATTGGGCTTTCTTAATGTTTCTGTGCCATTTTTGGAACTAGCTGTGTGTGATGTGGCTTTTAAGATTTATTTATTTTCATTAGAAATGCAGATTTACAGAGAGAAGAAGAGACAGAATAATCTTCCATCCACTGGTTCACTCCCCAGTGACTTCAATGATGGAGCTGAGCAGATCAGAATGCAGGAGTCTCCTTCGAGTCTCCCATGTGGATGCAGGATCCCAAGGACTTGGGCCATCCTCCACTGCTTTGCCAGGCCACATGCAAGGATCTAGATAGGAAATATAGCAGCCCAGGACATGAGCCTGCGCCCATATATGATGCCATGCTTGAAGGGGGAGGATTAGCCAGTTGAGCCATTACACCAGCCCCAAGACTAAAGTTATTGTTAGTCACCACCGTGAAATGTTCAGAGATAGGCAGTAGTGAAAGAGTTTGAACAGAAATAAAAAATTCAAAATATGGGAAGGATATTGATACTGTTCATTACACTCTCTCAAATTGAATTTTTTTTTACAATGACATAAATTATAAAAATATTCACCTTTAATAATTCCAGTACTATTTTTTCTGTTTTTTTCTTAGGTGGTACCTCTTATATATTTTAATTGTTCTAAAATCTGCTTTGCTTTCAGTTGCGTTTTCATGTGCAATCTCCTCAAAAGTGGCTCTTGCTTCACCTGAAATAAATTCACCATTGTAATCCAATATATCCTATTCATGCAGGAAATGGCCATTTTCAAGATTGCAGCTCTCCAAAAAGTTCTAGACAACAGTGTTTCTTTATCTGAACTAGAACTGGCCAATAAGCAATACAATGAGCTGACTGCCAAGTACAGGGACATCTTACAGAAGGACAATATGCTTGTTCAAAGAGCAAGTAACTTGGAACAGCTAGAGGTAAGTTTGTCTAATTCTTGATCTTTGAACATCAGTAATTTTTCTTTGATGATCATGTGGGAGAATTTTTGCTGATTTTAATTTATTTCAGTTTGCCTCTGTTTATGTACATTGTAGTTATAACTTAAAATTTAAACATTTAGGATTTGAATATCAGTATGATTGCTCTGATCATTGGTGTAGAATAGAATGATTTCACCTAGGCCATTTTCTAATGTTCTTGCATGTTATAAGTGAGATGAATCTCTTTTATTTTGAGGTAGATATAAATGACTTGATTTTCGTAGATGAGGCCATAATTTTTCCTTTCCTTAAAGACTGAAGAATTGATTGATTGATTTGAAAGGCAGAGATACAGAGATAGAGGGAAAGATCTTCAGTTTGCTGGTTTACTCCCAATAACTCTCATGGCCTGCGTCGAGCGTAGGCTGTCTTCTGCTCCTTTCCCAGGTACGTCAGCAGGAAGCGAGATCAGAAGCAGACCAGCTGGGAGTTGAACCTGCGCCCGTATTGGTTGCTAGTGTTGCAGGTTTCTTAACTTGCTTTACCATAAGGCTTGCTTCCAATTCATTTTAATCAGTCTCTTTAAAAGGAGCATGGGGCAACTATAAGTCCTCATTGTTTAAAGTGTAGTAATTTACGTTTTATTGTGTTAGTATGTCCGTATCTTTCAAATATAGTTCTGTTGTAGCCACTGGACTCTGTGCAGTCTGCTGATCCTCCCAATGTGCTCTTGTTTTATGGCATCTGGGTTCATCAAAGAATCAGCTCTTCCCCATGTCTGATTTCCTGCTGAGATTAGCTCCCCCTCAGTCCCTAAGTGTCAATTAAGCACCCCCTTTTTGGTGGTAAAGACCTTCTTCAGCGACTTTTTCTAGATTTATCTCCTTTTATTATTCTCGTCCTTTGGGACAGTTTGCCCTGTTTTTGTTTTTGCTTTGTTTTGTTTTGTTTTGTTTTGTTTCTTTCTGTATCTTGACATTTTCAACTTTTTTATAATTGTTCCACAAGAGCTGCCTTCCTTATCCTCTGCAGCTCCTTTCACATACATGTAAACACAAAGACACTAAATAATGAGGTTTAGGGAGGCCAGGATGCTGTGTTTGTCCTTCCACCACGGACACCCTGTACCTGTCACCAATGAGATGCTGAGAATGGTCAGTCATGATGTAAGCACTCGTACGTGAAGGTTGTTAACCTTACAGTTTGACCAAAATGAACTTATTACTTACTGTTTCATTTGGCAGTAGCTGAACTCAAAAGCTTAGGGCCACATATTACATACTTTTGATTGTTTAAAAATAATTATATACATCATATACCATGTATGTATGTTACAAATTAGGTCCTAATTGTGTAGACAGCTAGATTACGAGTTTTAGGAGACATTTCTTACAGTTAAGATAATGTGACTCTTGCATTATTAGTCTGAATTGCAGTGTAGTTTCACAATGATGTTTTTCTTTTATTCAGTGTGAAAACGCGTCTTTAAAAGAACAAATGGAGTTTCTAAATAAAGAACTGGAAATTACCAAGGAAAAATTTCATACCATTGAACAAGCCTGGGAACAAGAAACTAAATTAGGTAAATCTTTGGACTTTCTCTGTTAAAATGACTAGTACATAATAATGAGTATTCTTCATTGAAGTTCTGTTTCTAAATCAAATGAAAGTGAAATATTAAAAAAGAAAGTGAAATATTGATTTAAAAAGGAACTCCTAATAGTTTAAGTTGATAAGAAGTTGTTTGAAAATATCCCATGTACTGATTCCTGCAAAAATGTAGTTTTGGATCCGGCACAGTGGCCTAGCAGCTAAAGCCCTTGCCTCGAACACACTGATATCCCATATGGGCGCCGGTTCTAATCCCATCTGTCCCGCTTCCCATCCAGCTCTCTGCTTGTGACCTGGGAAAGCATATGGGGATGGCCTACAGCCCCGTGGCCCTGCACCCGCTTGGGAGACCCAGAAGAGGCTTCGGGCTCCTGGCTTCAGACAGGCACAGCTCCAGCTGTTGCGGTCACTTGGGGAGTGAATCATCTGATGAAAGATCTTCCTCTCTGTCTCTGCTCTTCTCTGAATATCTGACTTTGCGATAAAAATAAATTTTTTTGATGTAGTTTTTAGTTCTTAGATTTGTTTCTAAAGAAATCACATTTGTTATTGTAAGTAACCTTTAACTATAGAACCACTTAATAGTCAAAATTGATAAGTTTTGAAAGTTCTGTATTTTAAAAAATGTATATATGTATGTGTAGGTGTTTATATGTATTTAAATAACTCCTTGAAAGGCGGAGAAATAAGGGGAGAGACAGAGCTGTAGATCCTCCATTTCTTGTTTTACTCCCCACTGCATGCAATAATTAGGGTTGGGCAAGGTGGAAGCCAGGAGCTGGGAACTTGGCCCTAATCTCCTACCTGGCCACAGGCACCCAGCTCCTTGAGCTGCTCCCAGTGTGCACAAAAACAGGAAAAATACAAGATAGAGACAGAGAAACAAAAATCTTGCATCTGAGGTTCACTCCACAAATGGTTGCAACAGTCAGGGCTGGGTCAGTCCACATCCAGGGCCAGGAGCTCCGTCCTGGTTTCTCTGGTTTCTCACGTGGGTCATCTTCTGCTGTCCTCGCTGCACATCAGCAGGAAGCCGGCTCTGACATGGGGTGCCCACACCACAGATCTTCAGCCACCACAGCCTGATGCCGGCCCCTCAATGAATGTATAGTACTCTGAGAAGACTTATTTATAAAACTTCAACCTACAAAGCTGAAGAAATAGGAGGGATAATTATTGATGTTATAAAGTAATTACAAACAGCCATACCTTAGATTCTTTAAACAATTGGCTACCCCAAATGTATGAGTTTTAATTGTGTCTCTAAAAGACAGCTGCCATTCTTTTATTCTGAATTATGCCTTTATAAAAAAACAAATGTATAAGATTTCTCAAAAAATGAGCAAGTGATACTGTATACCATCTCATAACTTTTTCTAACAAATCAGAGCTTTTTGATTTAACAGTAGTTTTTTTTTATATTTTTTTCCAAGGACAGATAACTAATATGTGTACAATTAAGATATAACAGCTAAAAAGTATATAAAACATTTGATCTTAGATGTGCACAGATGCCAGACAATGCCCATGGTGTGAAATAATTTTTGATAAAATGTCAGAATCAGACAGTATTGGATTATTTTTACCTTGGCTTTGTGAGATTTAACAAAGTCACTGCACTGAAATTCACAAGGTCACATTGCTTCATTGAATTGCACCTCATGCAGTCAGTCCCACTCTGTAAATATACTTATTTACCATTCTAACATTCTTTTTTTACTTTGTGACACTCTGCACTGAGTTCTTTACATTGTTATTTCATCAGTCTTATGGGAAATACTTTTTCATTATTATTTGATTGATGAGGAACATAAGCGCCAGGGAGAGTAAATGGGGTAGACATCAGATAGGTGGAAATTACGGAGCTGAGATACAATCCAGGTGTGTCATTCAACACTATGAACAACATTCCTTATGAAAAGCATCTGCAGTACGTGAGATGTGACTGTTACAAACAGCAAGAGGTTAACTTCAATATTGTTGAATTTAGGAAACGAAGCTAACATGGACAAAGCAAAGAAGTCAATAACCAACAGTGAAATTGTTTCTATTTCCAAAAAAATCACCATGTTGGAAATGAAGGAATTAAACGAGAGGCAGCGAGCTGAACATTGTCAAAAAATGTATGAACACCTCAGGACTTCATTGAAACAGATGGAAGAACGTAATTTTGAATTGGAATCCAAATTTGCTGAGGTTTGGTATTTTTAGTCATATAACTGGAGAGTAAACAAGTGTCTTGGTAGGCATTATATTCTTGCTAAAAAGGGTGGTTTGTTCAAAGTTGAATATTAATATGTTGCTGATATTTCATGTCATGAATAAATAAAAGACTTATTTTTAGATCTGAGTTGTTAAAACTAAAGCAAGCTATGTTTGAGTTTTTATTCCTATCAGGGTTACATTATTAGATTTTTAAGAAATTTTATTTGAAAGGCAGAGTTCCATAGCAAGGAATCGAAAGAGAAAGAGCACCCCTGTGTGTTCAGTCAGTATTCACATGGCTGGGACTTGAGGTGTGGGCCAGAAGGAAGCCAGGTGCCAAGAGCATATTAGATTTTATTGGTAGATGATATAGTTGAAATTCAGTTGTATTCCAGACAAATGAAGAATGTCAGTAGTTTAGGTATTATGAGGTATTAGCTTGCCCAGAACCAGTGGCTGCTGGTAAATGGTTTAACCGAATGAACCTGTGTTCCTCTCTCCCTTCTTGCCCTCTTTAATCTGCTCTTAACACTACATAACTCTATTTAGATTAGGACAAAACAAAAGAGGCTCGCAAAACTCTAAGATTAAATGTAAAGGGAAAACCTAATCAAACTGATGTATCTGAACATTTTTTCTTAGCTTACCAAAATCAACTTAGATGCGCAGAAGGTGGAACAGACGTTAAGAGATGAATTAGCTGATAGTGTGAGCAAGGCAGTGAGTGATGCTGATAGACAACGGATTCTAGAGTTAGAGAAGAATGAAATGGAACTAAAAGTTGAAGTGTCAAAGTAAGTGCATACAAGCATTTTAGTCTCTTGATTAGATGTGGTTGCTCTAATTTGTTTTGTGAGAAAATGATAGGTATATGGGATGCATTCTTACTGAAAATTGATACTGATGTCTTTTTGTAAGAACAAGGTCAGTAACAATACGAATACTAATTTGCAACAAAACTAAACAAAAATTTTGAAGAGAAAATGAGCTCTCATACATTTTCGATATTGTTGCAGAAAGTACTGCTTTGGAATCAAGACCTCGAGGTCTACTTGTACTTGCTGGTTTTGGGGGAGAGGGGAGACAGGGGGAAGGGTCATTTAATGCCTTTCAGCTTAGGTTTCTTCACCGTAATCAGTGAGTTACAGTATTGCTTCGATTTCATGAAGTTGCTTTAAAAAATAATGAAAAGTTCAGAATTTAATTTACATTTATTTGTCATCTGCTGTGTACTAGGCACGGTGCAAGGTGTTAAACATGTGTTAACTTGTATGATAATACTTAATAGCTCTGAGCTACCATTTTTATTTGACTTGAGGACACAGGCCCAGCTAATACAGGACACAAAAATCTGTGTCATAGTAAATATGTGGCGAGTAGAGGTTGTGTTCACACTCTCTTTTGTGATGAGATAGAACTTTAGTAGAAAAGATTGTCAAGCTCAAATAGCCAGTAAACATATATTTATAGTATAATCATAAAATTAAAGCCAGTTTTGGAGCTTGACAGTTCTGCTGGGGTATCATTTATAGCCAGCATTTTTGTTCTGAAGAACTTCCTCGTGCATCTTCGCTTTTGAAATAAATTATATATATTCATCTTATCTAATTCTAATAGTAAAAACCAATAGCACTGGCACTGCTGCTCAGTGTGAAGAAGCTTGGTTAACTGTTACAATGAACTAAAATCATTCTAGCACAAAGGAAAGAAACTTTTACTTTGCTTCTATTGTTTATCACAGTTGTCATAAGAGACATTGGAGACTTTGAAGCCATCAAGCATTGCTGTTTTATTTTGATGTTAGTAAATGCATGCTTTCTGAAATATTGTAAATTAAAACAAAGTGAAACATACGGTAACCCATCTGCAAAACCTAGGAATATTGAGTTTCTGCATTCTTAACTATGTGATAAAACCGGGTTGAAAACTTACGTCAAAAACACCTATCCTTAGATCACCCAAATTAAGCAAATAAACATCTTATAAAAAAGATATGTCAACAGGGGTTATTTGTCCATATACATCTGGAAGGTACAACCTGAAAATTATTCAAAAATTCATGGAAAATGCAATTACGGTGTCAGCTTTTGATGCAAAGGCAGTTCTGAAGTCTGTACATAGTCTTTTGTAATATGAGTTTTCCATTTTTTTGTTGCCTCCAAATAATCTCATAACTATTGCTCATGACCTTTTTGAAATACCATTGTGTATTAAGTACAGTGAGATAATTATTTGCAGTAGACCCCCTAAGGCCATGTGACCCTGTGTCCTGCAGTTCCAAAAGGCAGGACTATGAGGAATGGAGTGTTGGATAGCCTGCCTGTTAACCTCTCATGGAACTTCCTGCATTTTACATGAAGAACAGATGTGGGACAACAGTGGCTTTTCTGGAAAAAGGTGTAAGAACTTTGATTTTTTTGTACTACTTAGATAATGAAGTTACTCATTTTTGAAATATCTTACCATCTTTTAGATTAAGAGAAATTTCTGATATTGCCAAAAGGCAAGTTGAAATTTTGAACACACAACAACAGTCCAGGGAAAGGGAAGTCGATTCTCTCAGAATGCAACTAGTGGACTACCAGGTACGTGCGCTGTGGGCTCCTCTACATAGAACCGGCTGGTTGTTTTTTTTTTACTGAATTCACTTTAGATATTGATGCAATATTATAGCTGTAATAAAAAGACATCTCAAGCAAAAGTTCTTGTTTTTGTTTTGGTTGCTTTTGAAGTGACATTCATAATCCAGAAAGACATTTAATTGCCTGCAAATGTGTTATGCTAACTGGCAATGAATTAGGGTACTGATAATATTTAATCTTGTGTTTCTATCTAGCTTTCCACATATTCACACGTTTTAAATTGTGGGACTGAAAAAAAAGCACATCCATTGCTTGCATTAGTATTATACCAATGCTATTGTTTAAATGCAGAAGTTTTGAATTTAAGCTTTTTGATTGTAAGGTTTTTCTCTTATCCTTTTTTTAAAAAAAAAATGTATATAATTTTGTTAGAAGTCAGACATACAGAGGGGAGGAGAGACATAGAGGAAAATGATCAGTCATTGATTCACTTCCCAACGGTCACAACGGCCTAAGCTGCATCTATCCAAAGCCGGGAGCCAGGAGCCCCCTCTGGGTCTCCCACAAGGGTGCAGGATCTCAGTCTTTGGGACATTCTTGACTGCTTTCCCAGGCCACAAGCAGGGAGCTGGACGGAAACCAGGGCTGCCGGAATTAGAACTGGCACGTATATGGGATCCCAGAATGTGCAAGGCCAGGACCTTATCCACTAGGCTACCGCAGTGGGCCCTTCTCTTACAAGTCTTTTGTAAACATTTGTAGTAAATAAAAAATAGGTTTTTAAGTGATCCATGCACTCTACTCTGATAGCTTTTTTTTTAGTAAAGTTTTGGTTTTAAATCTGTGAATTTCACTGAAGGAACTTGAAGCATACAACAGATGTGTATTCTTTTTTCTTAGGCACAGTCTGATGAAAAAGCACTAATTGCCAAGTTGCACCAACACATTGTTTCTCTTCAAATTAGTGAAGCTGCTGCTCTTCGGAAGTTGGAGTCAGTTACGTCCAAACTGCAGAAGATCCAGGCCTGCAATTTGCGGTTGGAGCAGAAACTTGATGAGAAAGAACAGGCTCTCTATCATGCTCGTCTGGAGGGGAGGAACAGAGCCAAACATCTGCGCCAGACCGTGCAGGCCCTGCGCCGCCAGTTCAGCGGGGCCTTACCGCTGGCGCAGCAGGAGAAGTTCTCCAGAACAATGATTCAGCTTCAGAACGACAAACTCAGGATAATGCAAGAGATGAAAACTTCTCAACAAGAACGTAGAAATATGGAGAACAAAACATTGGAGATGGAATTAAAGCTAAAGGGGCTAGAGGAGTTAATAAGCACTTTAAAGGATGCCAGGGGAGCCCAAAAGGTAAACAGTGATTTTTCAGATTTCCAAGAGATGCATAATAATTTCAAGTGTTTGACATGTTCCTATGTGAAACATGCCTGAGCTACGGCAAAAATCCCAAGTGCATTCGTGAATCTAGATTTTGTATAGCAGGAGTTTGGGCTGTTTGACTAGTTATGCCTTGTAAAAACAGAGACTTCGAGGCAGAAATTTTAGTAGAAATCCTTCGTGTGATAGCAAAGAAATTTAAACATTGTAGAAAAGACCATATACTGATTAAATATTAGTCATAATGAGCGTTTTAGTGCGACTGTTTAATTCGGTTCATCGTTATTGTTTGTTTAAAATTGTTTGCAATAATATGTTTTTGTTTACTTTTTAAAAAATGATGTAAATTTTACTGATATTTGGCAGGACTCAAACTAGCAATAATTGTCTTGCCAATGAATGATTTCTGTAAACTCTAAGTCTATTTTATTTCCATTTTTTTAACACAATACCAAATTTTCAGCCACATGCTTACAGTAAGGACTCAATTGAAATAGTGAATTAATAAATGAAAATGGTGTTGGTAAAATTCATTCCACTGTAATTTGGAGAATGTTTTGTTTTAATTCTCCATGTGTTCTTGGAAAGTCTGTGGAAATCGCAAGTGAATTCCCATGTAGCTCAACCCAGGAGATGACTTTATCCCTTGTCTTATTACAGGATGTCCAATAATTTCAACTAAAATTATGATGTGACAGAGACTATTTGTAAAACATTTGCTTTTACATGTACAATTTATATGTCTTAGGTAATCAATTGGCATGTAAAAATAGAAGAACTTCGCCTTCAAGAACTTAAGCTAAATAGAGAATTAGTCAAGGATAAAGAAGAGATAAAATATTTGAATAATATAATCTCTGAATATGAGCAAACAATCAGCAGTTTGGAGGAGGAAATCGTGCAGCAAAACAAGGTTTTATTTATTTTTGCTGTTTTTTGTTGTTGTTTTGTTTTTGCTGAGATTTTAAGCTAAGAACATTACTTGAGTGACTGTTATTCTCCTAGTTGAAATTAGCGCTGATTAATATTGGATTATAAAATGATCTGTGCTTATTTTTAAGTTATTCTAAAAATACACATATATTTCGTTTTGATGGTAATGTCCAACTAACAGGAACAATCTCCAGGTAGATTTCCTTGATATGTTAGCTTTCATTTTCATATTGGTTGTTTGATTTTTTTTTAAGGTAAGTTTTTCTTGGTTCTTACTGATGAGGAAGTCGGTATAGACTAAAGCACATTGTTAAACAGACAGACCGTTTTCATTAAACACAAGCTTGCCTCGTGGACTTTGTTATTTTCCCTGCCTCAGTTGCTCTTATTCGAGATGCCTGTGATGGTTGGACTTTCAGATCTTAACTTAAATACCTTGCCTGATCAGTACAGCCTTCTGGTGCATTCTCCCGGTGCACTTTGTCATTTGGTTATCACTGACACTCCTCCCCTCACCAGAGTCGACATTCTGTAGTGAAGAGGACTTTATTTTGTTCATTGCAGCGAGGATTCCCTAGAATAGTCTTTAGCAGACTCTATGCTTGTTTTTCACCAAGTAAGGAGGGGTAGATGATGGGTGAATAGATTAGAATCTTAACTTCATGTCTGCCTCTGTTTTCTGGGCAAGTTCTTTCACCTCTGTGTGTGTGTATCCTTTTCTACAAAATGGGAATGATATCAGTGACTACAAAAAATTGTTGTGAGATGAAATAAGATGCATGAAAAATACCTGTTAAAATGCCTGGGGTGTGTGTGTGTGTGTGTGTAATTGTGACTGTCAGTGTGTGACACAAATTATACTTTTTCAGTTTCATGAGGAAAGACAGATGGCCTGGGACCAAAGAGAGGTTGAGCTGGAACGTCAGTTGGATGCTTTTGATCGACAGCAAAATGAAATACTCAGCGCAGCACAAAAGGTATGCACGATTAGTCCTGCTTCCTCAGCAGCCTGGTCCAGAGTGTTAAATGACAGAAATAGTTCTAAATCAAAAGTAATTTTAGTTGGTAATACCTTTTTATGTTTAAAATATAAGTGGAGTTTAACCTCTTTTAAATTATAAAGTTGTATAATACTGGTATTCTCAGTGCTGTAACTATTTTTCCAAAACCTTTATATTTATTAATAGTTTGAAGCAGCTACAGGACCAGTGCCAGATCCCAGTTTACCCCTTTCTAATCAACTGGAGATTGCTCTAAGAAAAATTAAAGAAAATGTTCGGATAATCCTAGAAACACAGGCAACTTGCAAATCACTAGAAGAGGTAATTAGAAGAATTTGCATGTTGATTAGAGTATTATTGGTTATGCTTGTTGAATTCTAAGTGATGTTTGTTAATATTCATGATGATGTCACATAAAACATTGAATCTATTTCTTATTCTATTGTCTTTCCTTTTCTTTTATTAAATTTCTAATAGTTAACAGTGGATACCAGATGCAGCGAATTTGTTCCAATTTTAGTGTATGTGCTGCTGAAGAGAGCCCAGATGCGGATAATTTGAATTCACTTTTGATGTAACTAGCACTCATAACTAATTACATTCTGTTTTAGTAAGAGTGGGCGTGAAAGGAAACAAACTGAACATTTAACTTAGTTTTATGGACAGTATATTACTTTCTGTTGTATGACCATCTCATACTTGTTTTTATGTGTTATTTTGAAATATGTATTGCATACTCTGGATCAATTTTTGGCTCATTTTTATGAGTGATGTAACAGTTGAAACCTCAGTAGAAATTATATATTTAATCTAAGTTTTAAATGATTAGTAAATTCAAATGTCTTTATTAAACTATTCATATACTATGTATTGCAGGCTACAATTTATTACGATCTTTCAAGTATACTGTGATTTTTTAATCGTTTAAGAAAATTAGATTGTCTTCAGTATTTATGAGATTTGCTATTTATGTGAATATTTGACTTTCTTGATTTTAAATGTTTGCCTTAATCAGATTCTGCTTTAACTAGATTTCATAATAGTGATTCATGAGCATGCGCTTCTAAAGTTCTAGTATTGTATCAGTTGACTTTTGTTTTGAGGTTTATTTATTTATTGGAAAAGCAAAGTTATAGGGAGAGGAGGAGGGGGAGATCTTCCGTCTGATGGTTTACTTTAGAAATGGTTACAGTGACCGTGGCTGGGCCAGGCTGAAGTCAGGAGCCAGTAGCTTCTTCCAGGTTTCCCATGTAGGTGCAGGAGCCAGGGACTCGGACCATCTTCTTTCCAAGGCACATTAGTAGGGAGCTGAACTGGAAGTGGAGCACCCAGGACTTGAACTGTTCCCATGAATATAATCAATTTCATATTAATATCAGATGGCTATCAAATGGAAGTCAGAAAATCTATTCTAAAGGCAATAATGCAAGTTAATAATTTACTGTTTTTTGATTACAGAAACTAAAAGAAAAGGAATCTGCTTTACGGTTAGCAGAGCAAAATATTCTGTCAAGAGACAAAGTTATCAATGAACTAAGGCTTCGCTTGCCTGCTACGGCAGAACGAGAAAAACTTATAACCGAATTAAGCAGAAAAGAGGTGGAACCAAAGTCTCAGCACACTTTGAAAATTGCACACCAAACCATTGCAAATATGCAAGCAAGGCTAAATCAGAAGGAGGAAGTACTAAAGAAATACCAGCATCTTCTAGAAAAAGCCAGAGAGGTGCCTTATCTAATTATACTATGCTATTGTATTTATTAATGTGATTTTTTTAAGCCAAATGCCAAATGTTATTCTGTCCTAAAGCAGTAGTTCATTTCTTACTTTCAGATGATTCTCCTTAGGACTTGTTAACTTTCATGCATGGTAGTTTGTGTGTGAATATCTTTCTCTTAAGAATTAACTAAATCAGGAATATATATTGTGGTGAAATCATGTGATTTTGAAAAAATATGTTTATAGGTGAGGACTGAGGAAAGAAGCTGGAATCAAACCTGTCTACACAACTCATACTATAACTGTCAAACTTTAAAACGAATCAGATTTGACTTTTAAAGACAAATTTACAGAGAGAAGCGGTGAGAGAGAGATCTTTTGTCAGCTGGTTCTTCCCCCAGACTGCCTCAATGGCCAGAGCTGGGCTGGTCTGAAGCCAGGAGCCAGGAGCTTCTTCCAGGTCTCCCATGTGAGTGCAGCAGCCCAAGGCCTTGAACCAACATCCACTGCTTTCCATAGAACATTAGCAGAGAGCTGAACAACCAGGACTCAAACCAGTGCGTGTGTGGGATGCTAGTACTGCAGGCAGAGGCTTAACCTCCTGTACCTCCCCAAATGTTTTAAACCAGTGAAAATTATATTACAATTTTGACACAAAAAATAACATTTAAAATTTTTTCTAAAAAACAGGTTGAAAGATGACAGATATGTGTTATCCTTTTTAAAAATTATGTATTTGTTTATTCCAAAGGCAGAGGCCCAGATAGAGAGGGAGAGATGATCTGCTTGTTCATGCCCCAGTTGTTGGCAACAACCAAAACTAGTTTTGTTGAAACCAAGAGCGAGAATTTGCATGTTGCTCTCACATGTGCGTGTCAGAAACAGTGATTGGCGCTTCCTTCTGCCGTCTTCCTATGTACATAAATAAGGAAGCTGATAGGAATTCTGGTACTCAACCTGGCCCTGCAATACCGGGTGAGGCATTGTTAGTGGCACTTTAAAGTACTGCACTGTAACGCTAGGGCAAGTTTTTCCAGTGTAATATGATCTAAGGCTGTTTGTCAACTTGTCAATATACATACTGGTCAACATGTGTACGTGCAAAACTTGTGTCTTTCATACTTCAGAGAGATTTTAAAACACTGAAAATAAATCAAATGTGTAAGATCTTTGAAATGCAAATCTGAATCACTGTAGAAGTGTTCCTTTTGAATGTTTGCCAAACAGGAACAAAGAGAGCTTGTGAAGAAACACGAAGAAGATCTGCATATTCTTCATCATAAATTAGAGCTACAGGCTGATAGTTCCCTCAATAAATTCAAACAAACAGCTTGGGTAAGATTCTAAGAACTTTGTCGCCCTATTTACTGGTTTTTGTGATGATGTAATTTGAAATTTAGCTTTTTTTTTTTTTAAAGAATAAATATTTCCTCTTCATCTTATTGCCAGGCTAATCTGGAAACATACCTCCAATTATTTCTGTTTCCTCATCCAAGTCTCCCTGTATACTCACTGCTGCTCACAAAATCATGATTGTACTCCACATCCATGGGCCTAAAGTCTTCCATGATCTGACCAAAGTCCGTCTTTGCAAGTTGTGTTAATTAGAAATTTGCCTACCTAAGTGCTTTCCATATTCTAAATGCATGTCATAATTGATGCTTTGGATCATTTTGTGTATATGAAATGAATTGACTCTTAACATGCAGCCCTATCATCCTTGAGCTTTACCTCATTAAACCAAGTCAACGTTTATTCATGCTTTATAACATACAGCCACTTGGCAGGATACTAGCGATACAACAAATAAGACAAGTGTTTCCTGTCTTTAAAAGCCTTCATCCTATTTAACTGTTCAATTTTGTATTAGGTAATATTTTTTCTTAGCATTTGAGAAGCTGAATAAAACTATAGAATGTTTCTGACATTGAATTATATTTGTCTACTGCTAATATGTTCATATTTCATAGGATTTAATACACCAGTCTCCTACTCCAGTTCCTACCAACAAGCATTTCACTCGTCTGGCTGAGATGGAACAGATGGTAGCAGAACAGGACAACTCACTTTCTTCACTTTTGGCCAAACTGAAGAAAGTGTCACAGGAGTTAGAGAGACAAAAGGAAATCACTGAGTTAAAAATCAAAGAATTTGAAAGTGTCAAATCACAGTAAGTCTGAGAAATATTATTTTCAAAATAAGTGTGATAATGATATAATGAAGCTATTATTACTTGTTTATGGTGTGACCTGTGCTAAGTTGTTTATGCATGGTGTCTCAGGCTTTTCCTTGGGACTGCTGACCCCATGTTATTGTTGTTATTGTTTTCCCCGTTGTCCAGACAGGAAGCTAAGCTCAGGCATACTCAGTAATATGCCCAGCAAGTAGGAAAGCTGTAATCATCAATCTGATTCAAGAGCCTATCAAGGGTCTCTTCCAGAATCTTTGTTTTCACCTGTTTGAGTGTTAGTGATACCATTTTTAAAACAACAATACTCACCCTAGCCCTTTCAAGGTGGTTGTATGAAGACCTAATGGCATTTCTTTATTTTTCATTGGAAAGTCAGATTTACCAAGAGAAGAGGAGATAGAGAAAAAGATCTTCACTGGCTGATGTTCACTCCCCAAGTGGCCACAATAGCTGGAGCTGAGCCAGTCCAAAGCCAGTAGCCAGGAGCCTCTTCCAGGTCTCCCATGCTTGTGCAGGGTCCCAAGGCTTTGGGCCATCCTCTACTGCTTTCCTAGGCCACAGGCAGGGAGCTGGAAGGAAAGTGGAATAGCTGCGATGTGAACTGGTATCCATATGACATCCCGGCACATGCCATGTGAGGAGGTTAGCCACCAGGCTATTGTGTCGAGCCAGCCCAATGGCAGTTCTATAAAGTAATTCTATATTCTCTTTTCTGAAGCAGACAAGAAGGTGGACCTGCTTGATTTGTAATTGCATTTCAGTACGGAAGCCCTTAATGTGCCTTTTGGTTATTTACGGCTTATCCAAGATGCCTCTGAGAAAATTAACATAAGAAATCACCATTCTTTCCCAAAAGAAAATTAAATTAGCAGTAGCACATGGTATATTTTTAGTTGAATGCTTTCCTACTCAAGACTCAGGCATTAGTTGTTTTTGGAATGCTAATTTTATATCCTGTTTTTGACTATAAATTTTTTTCTACATCTAATTCCTAAGTATAAATATAATCATCTTTTGGTACACTTCATGCATTTAAGTTCTTGTCACATGAAATATTTGAAGTAACATGACTGTGTAAAATGTATATCAATTGAAGCATTAATTTTAGTACTCTATTAAACAAAAGCTTATTTACATCAGGCTTCAAGAAACCCATGCTGATGAAGTGAAAAAGATGAAAGCCGAAGTGGAGGAGTTAAGGGGTCTCCTGACCAAGTCACAGAAAGAGTCACAGAGCTTAAAGTCTGAACTTCAGGCTCAGAAGGAAGCAAATTCAAGAGCTCCAACAACTACAATGAAAAACCTAGTAGAAAGACTAAAGAGCCAGCTAGCTCTGAAAGAGAAACAACAAAAAGCAAGTGGAACGGTTTTTTATTTTTTTGTATTTTGTTATGCAATAAGGGCAAATCTTAGTTATATTTTAGGTTTGGACAATTTATCATTTGAATGATTTAAAGGGCAAAGAGGGAGATCTGATAATAGAAAGAAGGAGAAATGTATGAGGCCCAGAGGTGATTTGGTGGAGAGAAGTTGGTCAATGGACTGTCTGTTAGGGTTCAATAAGCTCAGATTAGATATACTGACTACGTTTTAGAAGGTATGGTAATTATATTTTGCTAACTGGTAAAATTTACAGGCAAATTTAAGATTTTTCTACTCCTATAACTTTCCTTGTGTACCTAAATTCAATTAATTTCACATGGAAGGGAGTTCAAAGTGTATGGTTAAGATCAATAATGAAAACAAAACATGGCCTGGGTTTTGTGAGAAAAGTGGCTTCATTTAAATCTGGGTTCTCAAAATCATTGTGCAGACTTTGAACTCTGCAACTCAATTTGTGAACAATTAAGTCTATTACTGAGGGGAATATATTTGAAAAATTCTAGTGTGAATTGTGCTCGACTGAATACAGTGTATTTTATAAAAGCAATAAGGCTCATTTGTTTCTTGTGCTCTATATTGTTTTTTAAAAGAGCAGTTTCCCTTTAAAAACTTGTAGGTGATGTTAACTTTTAGGCACTGAGTCGAGCTCTTTTGGAACTCCGGGCAGAAATGACAGCAGCCGCTGAAGAACATATCATTTCTGTAACTTCTCAGAAAGAGGCAAACCTCAACGTTCAACAAGTTGTGGATCGTCATACCAGAGAGCTAAAGGTGAATGTCAGGGTTAGCTAATGTAACAAATATAACTACATTGTTGACACTTCCCTTTCGAAGACCATTCACACTGATATATGGCATTTTGATTATTGGAAATTTACAATAAAGATAACGGTCCCATATACGTAGCACTCACATCCACGTTGGGCAATAAATGTTTTTTTCTCCGACCCCACCTCCCCCAGAATAAGTGTTTTTATGATACTCTTGTACTGATTGCCATCTTGAGAAATAGAAAAGACGAGGGCATTATGAAGTCTTCTTCCTAATGATAGAATTAAATTTAAGAAATATTTACTTAATAACTTTTTTTCTTTTAGTCTGCTTTTTTTTTTTTCCTTTTTAGAGCAGTTTAGGTTCACAGGAAAATGGAGATGAAGGTACAGAGATTACCCGGATATATCCCTTGCCATAATACATGAATAGCTGTTTTTCTGTTATGGCAGTGTCCGACCAGGGTAGCATGTTTGTTTCAAGTAACGAGTCAACATCGTGATCAACCCGTACGTGGATTTATGTTAGACTTTTCTCTTGGTATTGAATACTCTATTGGTTTAGACAAATCTCTAATGACATGTATCTGTCAATTTAGATTAATCATGCCATAGAGATCCTCTCTTTGTTTATTTCTCTCTACTCACTGCCAAATGTGAGAACCACTCATCTTTTTCTGTCTCCACAGCTTTACTATTTCTGTAACTTCTTACTCTTAGAATCATTGACTTTGTCACTTTGTGATGTGTTTCTTTTTAGCACTGACTGTCCTGCCCTCTGGATGTATCATTGTGCTGTGAGATGCAGGTGTTGCTAAGTGGTGGTCTAACCTGCTTTGCTACAGTGTTGGCCCCTCAAGCGCTTTGAATCTCTGTACATATCAGAGATTATGGTCATTGTTGACAGTGAAAATCCATTGAGCAAATAAGTATATGGATAAAAAATATCTTTGTGTTGGTATCTGTTTCAGTACCTTTCTTTCCCTTGGCCTTAAATGTCATCTCCTTTGAATTCTTTTTCTCAAAACCTTTTCTGACTTCTCTAGGAATGCTGAACCTTTCTTCTAACAACATTATAATGGTACTAATTTCTTATTAGTATTACCCGAAATTCTGTTTGTCCTATAATGGTTTATTCAACAAAATTCATATGTATGCATGAGTGTGTACTGCTGAGCTGGATTCATCTATTGAATTAATTAAGCAATCATGAAATATTGATCACCAAGGTTTTTTTTTTTTGCCTCAAAATGAACATGATTCATTTGCTGCGAACATGGAAAAATATTTATAGTTTTAATTTTTTTTCCTTGTGTACTATAATTAGAGCTTATATTCTTTTTAATAAGGATTAGGGTATGCTTTCTGTTTGGTGTTGGTTTTGGCATTGATACTTGAAGAAGATTCAGGACCTTTTTTAACTCAAGACCTTTTTTTAATTTCTCATTAGTCAAAAATTGAAGATTTAAATGAAAATCTTTCAAAATTGAAAGAATCTCTTAAAACAAGTAAAAACAGAGAAAACTCACTAAACGATAATTTGAATGAGCTAAACAACGAACTACAAAAAAAGCAAAAAGCTTATCTTAAGATACTTAGAGAGAAGGATGAAATTGATCAAGAGAATGAGGAACTCAAAAGGCAAATTAAACGATTAGCCAGTGGACTACAGGTAATTTTATATTGAATTATGATCATTTCTTTGGTTATAATTTATAGCTAGCAATATAGTCACACATTTTAATTTTATTGATAATATTTGCCAAAACAGGCTTTTCAATCATTTTTGTTATGTTTGTTCACTCTAGTCCTTTCTAAAGTATTTACAGCTTTCGAGCATATATTATAAAGTACAGAAACAGCTGTCATGGTATAGTAACATATTAAGAGTGTCACTTAGACACATGATTAGTGATCGTCCCCTGAAGTTTCGATAGTGGGAATATTTATTGTATATCTTGTTAGATATTTACTTGTAGAATGTGATTTTTCATCTTATTTTCTCAGAGCAAATGTCTGGTAGATAATAAGCAAAATTTAATTGAAGAACTTCAAAAGAAAGTTAAAAAACTGGAAAGCCAATTGGAAAGAAAGGTGGATGAAGAAGAAATAAAACCTGTGAAAGAAAAGGTATGTAAAAATATACTAATTAATATACTTAAAGAAGTTCTGGGCTAAATCAAACATCAATTAAATGTGCTGTCATAATTTAAGGGTCTTATACCTACTGAAAGTGATACTGTTACTGGCTAATGTAGAGAAGAAGTATGCCAATTTTTTTTCTTTTTAAGGAATTTAGAGCTTACTTGAGAAAACACCTGCTGGTGTAACTTATGTAGAATTTACAACCTCGTGCAGGCAATATCAGTACCCCATCTGCTTGCAGATTGAGTATGCAATGTGAGATACATTGCTTACATTATTTTATAAATTAACACGTAAACTGTTTTGTCATAAATATAAATATAAATATTTATATAAATATAAATAACCTAAATAAAATCTAAAATTGACAAAAAGGCATTTAATTGAATTTTTTATGAACAGTGATCATCTGTAGTAGTTGCTGATATTAGTCAAATCTGTGCCCCAGAATTTTATCAATAGAGTATTTTCAGCCTGAGGAGCAGTTTGCCAATAAGTTGGCATGCTGTAATTTACATGCATTCTAAGTAAATTGCTATTAATAAATCTTTAAAATTTTTTTGATATAGTTTCATACGATCTGGGATTTCCCCTCCCCCTTCCCCAAGTCCCCTCTTTCCCCACTGATTCCCCCTATATTATTACAAAGTATAGTCCTGCATAAACAGCCATAAGTCCATCATTCCACTATTTAAGTGTATCCTGACACTGTAGGTATGGACAATGGCAGAGAGTCCAGCATCCTATTGTCAAGATAAATTTAACAGTTTCATTGGAAGTCCATCTTGGATTTGGAAGTAGAGATGCATGCTGCATTGTGTCTTCACATCTGGCTATTATAGTCTCTATTACATAGATACTATGCATCCCATTAAAAGAATGGCTATAAAACAAATCAATAACAGAAGAAAAATAGAAAATGTGTTGCAATATGAAGTTAAACAACATGCTGCAGAATGACCTATGTCATTGTGAAGACATGACAAAGAAAACCAAAAACCCTCCTGAAGAAAACAGTGCTACTCTGTGACTTACATGTCAATGAAGAAATTAATAAGAGGGAAAAAAAAGAAAAACAAATTTGAAGAAAAGATAATAAAAACAACATTATCGAAACCCATGCGATATAGCAAAGACAGTATTTCCAGGGACATTTATAATGTCAGGTACTTAGAAATAAAGTTTCTCAAATAAAAGATCTAATAATACATCTCAAGGACTTATTAAAAAATGAAATCAGCCATGCCCAAAAGGACAAATATCATGTTTGCTCTAATGTAAGATAGCCTCCATCAAAAATAGAAAACAAAACAAAACAAAACAAACTTAAATAAACACACACATGTAATCTCACAAAGGATGTAACAGAGACCAGAGTAGCAGGAATCAAAGAAAATTACCAAAATGCATCTCTACTACAGAATAAAAGACTGCCAATGACACTTCTATATATACCTAGACAGCAAAATATTAGACTTTCTGCCATTGCCTATGCAATAGTGTCATGACCTACGTAAAAAAACAAAGTTGGAGTCATTTCCTTTTCATCTCTAATTTTAGGTGTTTTTTTCTTGTGCTTTTCTTTGCTAGTATGGCTAAAAGTTTCTTTTGCTCATTTTATTAAAAAATTGGCTCTTTCTCATATTAATAAATCTTAAAGGAAATTAAAAACAATGTTGGTAATTTTCTAACTAATTTGTTGTCACTTACAGAGTACCAGAGAAGAATTAATTAGGTGGGAAGAAGGTAAAAAATGGCAAAATAAAATTGAAGGCATTCGAAATAAGTTAAAAGAGAAAGAGGGGGAAATCTACACTCTAACAAAGCAGTTAAACACTTTAAAGGACCTTTTTGCCAAGTGAGTTCAAATTTCAGTATAAAGTTATATATAAAATTTTGTATTGACCTGGAGGCTTAAATGGTTTTCTTACTTGGTAATATGAGAAATGTTCTAGTTTAAATTGTTTATTAGGATGATGTATATTTTATTTTCTTTTAAAATATGTTTTAAATATATTTTAACAACTTAAAAGTTTTAAATGTAATTTAAAAATATTTTTTAATTTAAAAAAAATTTTAAAGCAATTTAAAAATGCAGTCCCCTGTCTCTTTTGAAAATTGAGTCTACCAATTCAAGAATAGTATACTTATCCCGCATTTAATAATATGTGAGCAGAGGTTTTATAATTATCAAGCCAACCAATGAATGGCATATTTTTATGATTGTTCTTTAAATTCCACAGAGCTGATAAAGAGAAACTTACTTTGCAGAAGAAACTAAAATCAGCTGGCATAACTGTTGATCAGGTTTTAGGAGTGCGAGCTTTGGAGACAGAAAAAGAGTTGGAAGAATTGAAGAAGAGAAATCTTGACTTAAAAAATGACATACTGCATATGAGGTAATAAATTACACAGAAATGTGATACAATTGTAATTTTAAAAACTGGTTGATTCACAGAAATGAAAGAATATATGTTGTTTGAAGCGTGTATTGCATTATTTGTCCATCTTCAGCCATGTTGTTCTGATTGTATGCTCTGCAATTTTGGATTATATTCCTGTACTTTTTCATACATTATTATAAAACTTTGAGTCTTATATAAGTTATATGGAAAATGTGAATGTTTTTGTTTCGCATGCAGTTTTCAGTGTCTTCACATTTCCATTTCCATTTGTCCTGACTGCACACCTCCCATTGGACAGTCAGGTTCGGCGGGCTGTGTTAAAGGCTTATTCGTACTCTTTTCTCAGAGTCACTAGTATTCTGAGTAAGGTGTGAGAGTGAGCCGAGAAGCTCTTAAACAACTCTATCGTGTCCTTTTTGTGAGCTCTTCTCTGTGATGTGTCTGATACACTGTGCTTCCCTACAACTTATCATTTTGATGCTTTGGGCAGATATCTGGAGTTGTAGTTATCCAGTTTAAAAGGGAGGAGAAAAGAATGTGTTCACCTGTCTCTTAGTAACGCCTCTCTGCCAGTGTGGGAAGCTGAATCCGCTCCCTACAAAGTTTTACCCTCTGTGAATTCTCTCGGCCATTCTAGCATCACCAAATTGGAACTGCTTGAAGATATCCCGCAGGGGAGAATAAGGAGGTGCTGAGTGTGTTAGAAGTTAAGTTTTTACCTTATGTGTGCTATTCTAAAAGGCTTTCCTGAAGATCTCTTGCTCAGTACTGACACCTACTTTCAGATATCTAATAACAGTAACAGAAAGAAAGCTGAAAGCTGCATATGTACTGGTGTTCTTTTCTAGGCTGTTCTCCACTATTTAGTTTTCAAACTCCTTAAATAATTACTCCTTGCATTTGGCAAAGATGGAGTGTATTTATTGTACCTGGAGCTACCTCCCCCTACCCCACGCCATTTCTTAGTGTGGCCCTGAGATTTTTTTTTTAATGTTTTATTTTATGTTGTTTTTAAGATTTATTTATCAATTGCAAAGGTGGAGTTACAGAAAGTGGCTGGACATCTCCAGATCAAAGCCAAAAGTTCCATCCGTGTGTCTCCCATGTAAGATTAGGGCCTAAGCTATGTCACAGACTCACCTGTGGGAAGCTGGATCAGAAGAGGGGCAGCCAGCCACAGCAGCATCTGTATGGGATGCTGGCAGTACGTGTGGCACCCCTAGCCACAATGCCACAACTCTGGCCCCTTTGTTGTCTCCTTGTAAACTAATCTGACACAGAATTGTAAAATAAAATAGTGTCCTAACAATAATGAAAACCATTTCTTCCAAGATTAACATAGTTTTTTTTTGTTCATTTGTTTTATATAATTATTTTGTAAGTGTTTACAAATGATCTATATCATTGTTGAGATCTGGCATCTACCTGTAGTATTTAGATTTCCACATGAATGATTATTTGTTGCTGTGTAGGCTCTGTATTGTCAGGCAGCTAGCATTGAGAACCAGAGCCAGGAATCAAACCTGGGCGCCCTATCATGAAATATGGCTGCCTACCCAGAGTTTTAAACGGTAGGCCAAATATCCAGTCCTGTTCCTATCTTGTACTTACTCCTTCAAAACTTCTCTTGATAGCAAAGAAAATCGCAGTTGAGGACTTTTTTTGACATCTCTGTGAAGTTGCTGTGTGGTGGTCACAGCAGTGGATGCTCCCCATTCTTGTGTTTGGGAGTCTCGATGTACGCTTAAAAACAAAATTTCTAGTTTCTTGCTGCTTCGACAGGGATCAGATCATCTTCGTTTTGAAGCCTGATGTGGACGCTTTTTTTTTTTTTCTGATAGTGTGAAACTGGTGGGCTTTATAATTGGAGAAGATTTCATAGAAGACATTAAAATTGTCTTTTGTCAAAATTCAACACGTTTTGAACATCTAGATATCAAATCCAGAATTAAAAGGAGAACCTTAGCAGACACAGAGGAGGCTGAGTGTTTCATGTGTAAGAGGAGCTTTATTCTGAGTAAGCTGTACTCGCGGACAGCGGGCTGGGATAGATGTGGTTGTGCCCGATTGTCTTCCAGGCCAGGTTAGACGTGTTTAGTGTTTAAGTGCCAGATGACGAGCCTTAGCACGTTCTTGAACTTCGTAAGATAGCCATAGATAATATGTAATTTATATTATGTAACATTTTAAAATTAGAGGGCCTTTTACATGATTCCATATAAATAAATGGATATTTTTAAAAATGTTAATGCTGTTTCTATAGATCTAAATGTATCTTTTAACTTAGTTTAAATGAGCCCTTCATTGAATTCTCTATAGATGATTATTCTAAAACATAAGTTGTGTTCTCCTGCTTTATATAATATGAGGAAGTTTTGAGGGATTTAATACAGTGTTAGTGTTTTCCTTCCTTCTTTTTCTTTGTTTATTTTTTCCTTCTTTGTCTTCCTTTTCTTTCCTTCCTTCCTTCCTTTCTTCCTCTTCTGCTTCTATTTGTGCTGTCTTTCTCCTTTCCCTCCCTTTCCTTCTCTCCCCTGCTTGCCCTGCCCTGCGCTGCCCTCCTCTCCCCTCGCTGCCCTCTCCCTTCTCTGCTCCCCTTCCTTGCTCTCTCCAGTCCTCCTCCCTCCGTTCTTCATGCCATCCTACCTGTATTTTAATATAGTAAGACAGGAGAAGGTTGAGGTTTCAGTAGTAAAAGAGTGTGTGATGGTTGCTCATAGGACCCAGCAAGCTCTTCCCCGGGATTCTGTTATAGAAGATTTACGTTTACAAAACAAGTATCTCCAAGAAAAAATTCATGCTTTAGAAAAACAGCTTTCAAAAGATGCATATTCTGGGCCTTCAGTAAGTATACATCTTTTCCTCTTTCTGTTTTTAAATGAGTAAAAATGGAGCTAACTTCTTTATCTGGCCAAAGCCATTAGATTCTTCTCATTATTATGAATAGAGTGAATTCATCTTTTATTTTTGCTATAGAACGTTGTGTAATAGCTCTTTTTGTCCTTTCCCACATAACAGTAGTAAACTTAAGTTTCTGAAACTTTGCGTAAAGCCTGAACACAGTTATTTCAATAAGTTTAAGATATAATAAACATCATGAATTTTGTAATGCCTGCAGCACACAGTTAGGAAAATATGTTACTGTGCTATATTCAAATGTGTATGTTTCTAGTTTATAAAGACTTACTGATATTTAACATAAAATTGCTAGATTTTATGTTAAATAGCATGTGTATGCTATATTCAAATGTGTATGTTTCTAGTTTATAAAGACTTACTGATATTTAACATAAAATTGCTAGATTTTATGTTAAATAGCATATGATGCATATTTTCCCATCCTTTTAATGTAAGCAAAATGTACCTTTTAATGTAGCCTAGCTAATTGATAAAAAAAAAAACATAGTAACACTTATTTCTCTTTCAACTCTGACAACTCTCTCATGCGGCTTCTGGATATCTGTCTCCCCTGCTTGCCACATTGCCTTTGCTCCGTTTATTCTTAGTCCATCAGTACCCCAGTTCCCTTTTTTTTCCCCTGCAGGGACACTAGACACATTAGGATCGGTGTCCACCATGTCATCTCATTTTCAATTTATTAGTTCTATACTCCAAATAAAGTGAATAAATTCACATTCATTGTGAGGAATTAAGGCTTTCATATCTGAATTTGGGAGGAGGTGGGGAATCATTCATAATGAATAACAATCACAGCTTATTATGGACTAACAAAATCTAACTAATCTCTAAGTTAGTTTTAACCACTATGAGAGTATATACTAACACATTATTTACTTAAATGTTAAGAAATATTTGGTTTTGATTTGCTTTCTATTTTAATTAGAACAAATGGCATTACCTTTTCTCCTGTAAGTTTTGTATTCTAGCTTAATTGTTACTTAATATTTTTCAAACTCTCCAATTTTCTTACACTGTAAGGACAGAAGTTCCCTTTTGTCACAGTGTTTTCCTATCCAGTATGTCTTTTACAGCTGTTATTTATTTATCAACAACTTAGCATATTTCTAACTTCATTTTCTTGAAGACTTCAGTAGAGTCTGATGAACACTGCCAAAGAGAACAGGAGCTTCAGAAAGAAAACTTAAAGTTGTCAGCTGAAAATATTGAACTGAGATTTCAGCTGGAACAAGCAAATAAAGATTTGCCAAGACTAAAGGTAAAAATAATATTATTTATTACAACTAAGAAAGCTAATGTCTAAAGTCACCTTTTGGCAATTATAGCTTTTTAAATTTTTTTGTTGAAGATTTATTTATTTGTATTGTAAAGTCAGATATACATAGAGGAGGAGAAACAGAGAGAGGAAGATCTTCCATCCGATGATTCACTCTCCAAGTGAGCGCAACGGCTGGTGCTGCTCTGATCTGCAGCTGGGAACCAAGAATTTCTTCAGGGTCTCCCACACAGGTCGTTGGGCCGTCCTCAACTGCTTTCCCAGGCCGCAAGCAGGGAGCTGGATGGGAAGTGGAGCTGCCGGGATTAGAACCGGCGCCCATATGGGATCCCAGTGCGTTCAAGGCGAGGACTTTAGCTGCTAGGCCACACCACTGGGCCCTGGCAATTATATTTATGAAGTAAAGTAAAAATGCATATTCATGAAGTGTGATTGTGGTATTTTACACATTGGCTCGTGTAACTGTTATTTGTTGGTGGTCTACTTTTTAAATTAAAAAAAATTTTTTTTAAGATTTATTTATTTGTATTGGAAAGGCAGATTTACAGAGAGAGTAAGAGACAGATCTTCCATCTGCTGGTTCACTCCCCAAGTGGCTACAATGGCTGGAGCTGAGCTGATCTGAAGCCAGGAACCTGGAGATTCTTCTAGTGCAGGGTGCAGAGTCCTGAGGCTTTGGGAAATTCTCCACTGATTTCTCAGTCCATAAGCTGGATGGGAAGTGGAGCAGCCAGGAAACAAACCAGCCATGTGGGATGCTGGCACTTGCAAGGGGAGGATTAGCCAATGGAACTATTGCTCCAGGCCTCCGATTGCCTACTTTTTAAAAAAAGATTAATTTACTGGAAGAATTTATATAGGACAAACATACGAACACACACACACCCCAAGTTCTTCTATCCGCTTGTTTGTTACCCAGATGGACACAATGTCCAGGGCTGTACCGGGCCATGGACAGAAGCCAAGAGCTCCTTCCAGATCAGCCATGTGGGTGCTGGGGCCCAAACACTTGAATCATCCTTCACTGCCTTTCCCGGGTCATTAGCAGGGAGCTGGATTGGATTTGGAGCAGCTGGGGCAGAAACTGGCACATTTGAGATGCTGCTATTGCTTGCAGCATCTTTAACTGCTCTGCTACAATGCCAGTCCACGTTCTTGTCTTATTTTTTACCAAATACCCCAGTAGATACTTGGAAATAACAGGGGAAAAAAGTTAAAATAGAAGCAGGCCTGTGACCAGAAGGTTAATCTGCTGCTTGGAATGTGTACATCCCAGTCCAGGTGCTGGTTCTAGGCCTGGCTGCTCTGCTTCCCGTCCAGGTTCCTGCTAATGTATTCTGGGAGGCAGTAGATGGTGGCCCAGGTGCCTGGACCCCATCACCAACATGGGAGAACCAGATGGAATCCTAGCTTCCTGGCTTTGGCGTGGCCCAGCCACAGCTGTTACAGGCACTTGGGGAATGAAGTAGAGATGAGAGATCTCAGTCTTTGTCTTTCTCTGTGTCCTCCTTCTCTGCTGTTCCTCCCTCTAGTTTCCTTCTCTTACCACCACCATTCAATTTCCCTCACCACCTTTAGCTCTTATTTTCTGTCCTCTTTCTGTCACTAATTTCAAATAGATAATAATAAATAAATTTTGAAAAACAAAATAAAATGAGAAAAGCCTCCATACAGGGACAGAATGTATTTTCCAGTCTGGAAGATCAACAATAAACAATTTGATATGTCGACAGATATTAAGTACTAAGAAATAGTAAAACCTTATGTCACAGCCTGGTGACTTAAGCAGTTGGTTCCAGTCCCAACTGCTCCAATTCTTCCAAGCTGATGCATCTGATAAAACTGCAGAGGGTGGTCCAACTGACTGTCACCCAGTGGCTGGCCTGGAAGAAGCTCCTGGTTCAAGTTCTTGGCTTCAGGCCTGGTCCAGCCCTAGCTGTTGCAGCCAGCCAATTGGAGAATGAACCAGCAAATGAAAGACTCCCTTTGTCTATCTCTCTGTAACTCTGCCTTTCAAATAAATTAAATCTTCAATAAAGAAGAAAAGAATAAAAGAAGACTGGTATGATAGGTGGCTAGAAGGAAATAGGGTAGTAAGGAAAGGCTTGCTTATAAAATAATTCCAATCACAAAAACTAGGAACAGCATCCCAGAGGACACAAATAGTAAGTACAGATAGATGCTCTAGGGAAAGAGGATTCTTGTTGTGTTTTAAATTTTCAGTTCTTTTGCATCTTATATCTTAGGGCAGAGAGAGAGAAAGGCAGAGTCTTCCATCTGCTGGTTCACTCTCCAAAGGCATGCAACAGCCAGGTCTGAGACAGGCAAAAGACAGGAGCCCAGAACTTTCTGCAAGTTTTGTCAGTGGCTAGCAGGGCCCTAGGTTATCACCTGCTGCCTCTCACAGTGTGTTGGTAAGCGGCTGGCTTCAGAAGTGGAGCCAGAGTTTGATCCACACGTTCTGGTGCGGGACACAGGTATCCTAGGAGTCATAACCATTGCATCAAATACCCACCCTGCTGGATGTGTTTTGTGACATTCTCACACATTAAAATATAAGAGGTATTATTTCTTTTGGACATTTCACATTATTTTTTTTTCTAATGATATTAAGATTTTAGTATTTGATTTTTGTTTTCCAGATACTACTTTATTTATAAGCATCTGTAAGGTCTGTTTTCTAATCGAGAGTATTAGCAGTTAATTCCAACCGGTGATTGTGTTAATGAAGTTGTGTCCTACTTCTCATTCTAGTTCTACAATGTTGGAGCTCATATTAAACGTTCAGTGTTCAGTTTTCTCTTTCTGCTTCTTTTTTTGTTTGTTTAATTTTGTAACGCAAGGGTAAGGCTCTAACTGTTACCTTTATGGGTCAGTTGAAATCAGATTTCTAAACTCAAGTTTTCATTATACACTAAGATGGTAATACGGAAAATAACTGTTGACATTCATATACCAAAACACGGGTACCAGTTCAACATAGATTTTGTTTCAAATTTTTCCTTTTGGGGTAGAGACCCAGGTTTGTTTTGTTTTGTTTTGTTTTGCTACTTGAAACAATTAATTGTTCAGAAAAAATTGTTTGCCTTTACTTTTTCATAATTATAAATATGTTAAACTATTAAATTTTGCTTTTCACTTTCAGAATCAAGTAAGAGATTTGAAAGAAATGTGTGAATTTCTTAAAAAAGAAAAAACTGAAGCTGAACGGAAACTTGGCCATGTTAGAGGAGTGAGTATATGAGAACATGTCATCTATTTGTTTTGACTTTGAAAGTGATTATGAAAAATGAATAGTTTAGGGCCCAGTGCGGTAGCCTAGTGTCTAAAATGCTCGCCTTACGTGCCCCGGAATCCCATACAGGTGTCAGTTCTAATCCCAGCAGCTCCACTTCCCATCTAGCTCCCTGCTTGTGGCCTGGGAAAGCATTCGAGGACGGCCCAACGACCTTGGGACCCTGCACCCACATGGGAGACCAAGGGGAGGCTCCTGACTCCTGGCTTTGGATCGGATGGGCTTTGGCCATTGCGGCCGCTTGAGGAGTGAATCATTGGATAGAAGATCTTCCTCTCTCTCTCTCTCCTCCTCTCTGTACATCTGACTTTACAATACAAATAAATAAATCTTCAACATAAAAATGGGAAGTTTAGGTGATAAATACTAGTGACAAGGCTTTTCCTTCCGGTGTTGTAAAGTGTGAGCACCGCGAGCTTTCCCGTGTCTGTCATGTGCCCTGTCTTACATACTTGTTATTTTAAACTTCTGTCTGCATAGCCTTCTGAACTCTGATAATTACAATTTTCACAAATTTTGTGCTTATTGACCAATTGTTCTAATTCTAACATTTTGAACCCAATTTCTTTTTGTTTTATCTATACCCACTTTTATTTATAATTTTCTCTAGATATGTTTCCCATTTTTTGTTTTCTGTTTTGCTTCTGATATAATTTTGTATTCACTTTGTATAACAAATAAATGTTACTTCTGGGGCCAGAGCAAAGATTTAAAGCACAGTGGATTGTGGTATGATAAATAGAAGTAACCATGCCGACCCACTCAGGTGCTAATATTAATAGGTGATGGATTCTGTGAAAATGCTGAATATTGTTTGGAAACTTGAGAACAGATGTCTTACTAACATCATTTGTTTCATAAATGAACATCTATGTATACATGATAAATACAAGAGGGCTTCAAAAAGCTCCTGAAAAGTATCCATGAAAAAAACTGCATCGATTTCAAACTTACGTGAAAATCAACATCTTTTAGTTTCATTTTTCCATGAAGTTTTTTAAAAATATCCCATAATACAATTTTATCTGTCAATCAAAAATAATTTTTTAAAAGAGGATATGTGCTAATTTAACTTTTTCTAACTAATATAATTGTGACGGTGTGTATTCGGTTTATATATAAATTTATGTTTCAGGAAAATCCATTGCATAGCATGATTGCAACTAAACTGCTAACAAATAGGTACACTATTGTGCTGTTAATATTGTTATTTTATATTATAAGCAGTTAAATGTACTGCCTGATGATCCATTTTTATTGATATCTTTTATACAGTTTTTTTTTTAACTTAAGATGTCTCTTCTATAACATTGGTTACAGACTACATTTCCAGGCAATGACTATTCTTAGAAAAAATTGCCTATACCATGCCGTAATTAAAATTTGATTACTCATTACCTTCTTTAAAGGTACAGTTTCTCTTTTGTGGTTTTACTACATATAAAGAAAATTCAGATACACTAGAAAGAACACTAGGTAAAAGCGATTATTTCAGTTTACTGTCTTGCATCAGACATCAAGGCTAGTGTGTTTTAGTTACTTATTAGCCATGATTTTCAAAATATCAGATTATCTGTGACTTGGTTTTCTGATATGTAAAATGAAAATTATCACTTCTGTGTCATTCGTACACTTGTGTTAAAGATGGACTGAATTGTCAGAATCCATTGGTATCAGATGTCACAATTATAATAATTTAATAATAAGTATTTTTATGTTGTATCATCATCTCTAACATATTTGCTTAAGTAGTTAATATATTTGCTTTTATAGTCTGGAAGAAGTGGAAAGACAATCCCAGAGCTAGAAAAAACCATTGGGCTAATGAAAAGAGTCGTTGAGAAAGTCCAAAGAGAAAATGAACAGCTGAAAAAGGCATCAGGAATACTGACCAGTGAGAAAATGGCAAATATTGAGACGGAAAATGAACAGTTGAAGGTAATTTATTAATGTGGTCATAGTTTATGTTTATTCTACTTTTCAAGGAAAATTACAAATACTATGTGAAATGGTTTCAGTGAATGTAGCATTGGTTTATGTAGACAAAAAAACTTGCTGGGTTACTAGCTAGGGGTGGTATTAGCTTAGCTCGCGCTCATCTTCCTAAATATTTCAAGAGCAGTGGTTCTGATTCCTTGTGTTTGGTTTTCAAAATACCGACACCTTAGTCCCCAGCCCTAGAGCTGACTTGATTGTTTCAGGGTCAATCTCAACACAAATGACATGTTGAGTTGTTTTGTTCATGAACTTAGCAACATTTTTCCTACAGTCAAAGTGGGAAAATTCTGTAAAAGATTATCGGCATCCAAGAAGACACTTTGATTCTATCGCATTTGACCTCTAACATGACACTGAATTGTTTTATCAATTTAAAATATTAACTTTTACTTTCTTCTTTGATAGTGTTTATATTGTTTTATAAAATATGTTATTTTTTTATTGCTAGACTGAACTAGAAAAACTTAAAGCTCATCTTGGACGTCAGTTGAGCATGCACTATGAATCCCAGACAAAAGGCACAGAGAAGATTGTTGCTGAAAATGAGAGGCTTCGTAAAGAACTTAAAAAAGTATGACCTGACATGATGAACTTAATTTTAATTTAACCAAGTAACATTTCCTAGAACCACAAAGTAGATTGTTGATGAGAGTAGCTCTTTGATGTGCACATTAATAAAATTAGCAGCTGGTGATTTTTATACCTATCATGCCTATTACATTTGTTCTTTTGTTGGATGTTAATAATAATGAAAAAATACATATGTAGAAGCAGTGTAATATAGAAGTAGCTTGAGCTGGATTCAGTTCCTAGCACCTTTACTTATTGGCCGGAGGAATTGGAACAAGCAACTAGCGGGTTGTATTTCTTCATTTTCCAATCCGTAAGGTGAATAAACGAACATGCCGTCTCCTAGACCTGCCATGGATGTTAAAGGAGTTAATGTTTGTGTACATGACTTAAAGCAATGTCTGATATGAAACAGGAAGATTCTGGGCTATTTAAAAGGCAAAATACATTCCTTGCTGCAAATAGGTATTATTGTGAATATACTGAAACTAATATTTAAATTAATTAAAAGAGTATCTGAAAAGATACTCTTAATTAAAAAGAGTATCTGAAGCCAGAATGATACTATGCTTTGAAAGTGAAAGTCGGATGGTACAAATTATTCTGTGTTACTTATGCATGATTTATAGCTAAGTTTTTAGAAATTGGGAAAATGTTTAATGTATAAAGGCACAAGCAATGCCAGTACTCTAAAATATTATAGAGAAGCAAAGCGACTAAAGGAACACTAGAGTAAAATACTTAGGAGCATATTTTTCCAACCACATTTACATGATCAGATCATTTTCTTGTTTCCTGTTTTAGAGGAAAAGAAATACTAGATTTTCAGTGAAATTTGAATCCATATTAATTTAGAACTCCATGTTACCTTTTCCTTATGGTTTGTAGTGATATATTTTTAATACGTTGCCTCCATAAGGATAATGTTACACTTTGTCATAAATCACTAATTAACTTATAATGACAGGAGACTGAAGCTGCAGAGAAATTACGGATAGCCAAGAATAATTTAGAGATTTTAAATGAGAAAATGACGGTTGAACTAGACGAGACTCTGAAGAAATTACAGCTTGCAGAAAGTCGAGGACCGCAGCTTGAAGGTGCTGACAGGAAGAGTTGGAAGTCAATCGTCTTAACAAGGTAGGAAGAAAGAGTTTACCACTTATAGAAAATTTAATCAATCCTGATTTTGATAGCACTGCTTTAAAAGAAGGTGGCATTATTCTAAATAATCTAGTTTTACTTTCCTTCTTCCATGAAGTTTGGTTGTTTAACATGACACTCAATTTTTTTCCTGTCCTAGAATTGCTAAATATCCATGCTTCCTTCCTTCCTCCCTCCCTTCCTTCCTTCCTTCCTTCCTTCCTTCCTTCCTTCCTTCCTTCCTTCCTTCCTTCCTATGCTTGACTATAGAGGGAACAGAACTGAGGCTGGGCTAATATCTTGCAGGTGGGTTTGCATAATGAAGTCAGTCGGGGACCTAACATGACACTGCCCATTGCCACTATAATCAGAAGTGGTCCCTCATGACCAATGCATCATTAGAACGGCTCTGATGTCATTTCAGTCTCTGGTCTTAAATGCCTATGTTAAGGAAGCTGATGGTGGTCAGCGAGATCCTTCCCAGGTTCTCATTATAAAGCCTTCCTGGATGAGACTGTACTCTCTACTATCCATCCAGCATGTCTGCTGCTTCCCTCCCTTCTCCAGAGGTGTCTTTGAGAACTGCATGGTCCATACCTGTTCTGTGGAATGGTTCTGATGAGGAGTGGGATGGCAGCCTCTGCCCCTGTGACTGGAATGAATGTCTCAGATAGCAGCCACGTCCCAGAGTGGGGCTGCTGCACTCCACATGCCCTTGCCAGCCAAGTGTAAGGAGAAAAAAACAGGTTAAGCAGCACATTAGGGGGCCCTGATACCAAAACGTACTCGGCCAACTTCTAGCCCTGACTTTTGCTACCTATAAACAAGTAGAGTTGTTCTGTTAGAATTAGCATTGGGATAAATAAAGTGAGTGTGCTAGGAGTGAGGGAGAAAGGAGTCCCTTGCCTTCCTGGTCCCTGGTACTGGCTCTCAGCCAGCCACCCAACAGCCAGCTTTTGGCTATTCATTTGTTTGGGGATCCAGAAAACATTTCAAGTCACTTTGAGTTTTATTTGTTCAGCAGATGCTTTTAAAGTACCTGCTGTTACATGTTGGATGTATCTCTAAAAAGCTCATTTTGCCTAGCTTCCTGCAGAGAACCAGGTAGCCTCCATGGCTTTGCAAGACTTAATTCTATGACCTCAAGTACATTTTCTCTCTCTGGAGCCTGAAGAGTTTTTTTTTTAAAGATTTATTTTGTTTTTGTTGGAAAGTCAGATATACAGAGAGGAGGAAAGACAGAGAGGAAGATCATTTGCCTACTGATTCACTCCCCAAGTGGCTACAACGACCAGAGCTAAGCCAATCCAAAGCCAGGAGCTCAGAGCTTCTTCTGTTTCGCCCACACGGGTGCAGGGTCCCAAGCTTTTGGGCCGTCCTCGACTGTTTTCCCAGGCCGCAAGCAGGGAGCTGGATAGGAAGTGGACTGCTGGGATTAGAACTGGCGCACATATGGGATCCTAGTGTGTGTAAGACAAGAACTTTAGCCACTAGGCTACCATGCCGAGCCCCACCTGAGGTTTTTATTCATGGGAATGATAACCCCTGCCCTTTCTGTTCTAAAAAGGCTTTGTGTAGCTGTAAAATAAATTTTAAATATAAAAAGCATTTATAAGGTTTATAAACAGTTGGGTAAACTGTTGACAGTGTCCGTTGAGGAAGATGACTGCATTTTATATTATTTATGTCCTTTTAATCTGAGAACTGAACAGGCTTACTGAGCATAGGATGTCAGTAAACCACTTACTAGGACGTCAGTGAACCGTTTTGAAGAAGACATCGGTCTGTATAGAACCCACTTGACAGAGGTAGGCTTGTTCTGACACTGGCTTCTTTTGAGGTCTGGAGCTGAGGTTTTATACAAGTCATAAATCAGCTCAAGTCATCTCTGTTGGGATCCATGAAATAGGCCTTGTCATGCAAAATGCCTTATAGTTACTCTGTTAGTTATTAAAGTAACTTACACATGTTTTCTGTCAGTTCTAACCCACTGCTAAGATATAGGGCAAAAATGATAGGAGGCTGATTTAGGTATGAATGATCAGAGAAAATGCTCTGCTTGATTCACTTTAAACAGGTAATTAATCAGAGATGGAGTGAACTTCTGATATTTTACCATTAAGCTTTGGTAGATAACTTTTGTGAGTTTAAAAACATTATATTCTAATATAATTTTCTAAGATCTAGTAAAAGCTGTTTGAGTGTTTTAAACAATCGAATTGTTCTTTCTGATAATGTCCATCGCAGCTTAACCACCATGCCACCATGCCAGCCCCAACTGGCCTAAAAGTGTACTTACCCCTTACTGTCCCTATAATGCTAACTATATATACAGCTCAAGATTTGACTACAAGAAGCATTATCTTCAGGAGCCTTAATTTAGGACAATAATTTCAACTGACCTACAAGTCAGTGAAAGAAATTATTTCCCATATCTATGCTATTTTTATTTTTCTGTACTTTCTTTCAGGATGTATGAAACGAAATTGAAAAAATTAGAAACTGATATTGCCCAAAAAAATCAAACTATTACTGAACTTAAGCAACATGTGAAAGAGGCAACAGAGAGAGAACAAAAAGCCAAGAAATACGCTGAAGACCTTGAAAGACAGGCAAGTGATATCCTCGCTCCTTACTTGAGAAAATAGTGTATCTCAAGCATCTTCATGGATTGTCTTGTGTAGATAAAATGAATCCTTGATTAATTCTTCCCATAAAAGCCCATATAATTGAATGGCCCAATCCAACTGAATGATAGGACCATTTGCCCACTTGTCTAAGGCATCAACTTTGATGGTCACTGACTTCATGCTTTCTCTCATTTGCCACATTTTCAATCATTAAATTATGGCATTTAAAAAATATATCCCAACTCTGACCACTTCTCAGCCTGCCCATCACTAACAATCTTTTTTTCTTCTTTTGAAAGACTTACTTATTTATTTGAAAGTCAGATTTATAGTTGAGAGGGGCAGCTAGAAAAGGATAGCTTCCATCCACTGGTTCATTTCCCAGATGGCTGCCATGGCTAGAGCTGGGACAGGCTGAGGCCAGGAGCCAGGAGCTCCTTCCTCATCTTCCATGTGACCGACACTGCCCAGACGCTTCAGCTGTCTTCTGCTGCTTTTGCAGGTCATCAGCAGGAGGCTGGTCAGAAGCAAACAGCTGGTGCTTGAAGTGGTGCTCTTATGGGATGCCTGTGTCTCAGGAAGCACCTTTGTCCACTACTGTCCACTACGCCATGATGCCGGCTGCCATAGCTATCAGATCTATGCAGGCTGCTCTCTCATGCCTGAACAATTCTGATCATTTCCTGTTTTCTTCACTTTCATGACAAACCATGTCAGTCCTATCCTCCTCCATATTTTCCAGTGATTTGCCATGTCCCTAGTATAAAACTTCAAGTTCTTTTCATAACCCGTAAGGAAACACATAAATGGCACCTAATTTTCTCTCCAGTCTCATTCACATCCATTTAACCACATTAACATTCCTCTACTCCTTTGAACAAAACAGCCTTGTTCAAACTTCAAGTGCTTGCTTATTTTCTTTGTTTAAACACTATTAACTCCCCAAATCTGATAGCTCTCTCCCACCCTTCACATCTCTTCCTCAGTGATGGCTCCTTGGGTGTATTTTCCCTAACTAATCCTCTGGCACCTTGCATCGTCTTCCCCTTCCCCTGGGTGACTGCTGCTACCTGTCCTTCCCTTCTGGCAATATTAGCACATCAAATGTGCATTGCTCATCATTCCCTTCTATAAATGTTAAGGACCGTGTGAGAAGAGATTTTACCTGTTGGCTATACCCTCTGTACTCAGGGCTATCCTGAGGAATCATTTCCTCAGGAACTGTTTGTTGCGCTAATGAGTAATGAACTGAACATAGAAATACATATATGTATGTTTTTGAAAGCCCAACTTAATACTATGCTTTATTAAAATGAGTATCTTTGTAAAACCTCTTATTTCCCTATCAAGCTTTATCTTTTTTCCATCATGTCCACAGATAGAGGTTCTCAAATGTGTTCCTGATGATATCAAGACAGAGGAAGACCTTAAACGAGAGCTTCAAGTTCTTAGGTATGTTAAAAGCTCACATGTCTACTTTGATTTCCTATTTTCTTCCTTTTTATAAAACCAAATTTGGCTAACCAGATTTGCTGTATTGAGACATGAATTCTCTTTTGCTACCTATAATGTTCTCCGGGTCTTTATTTCATCCCTCTATTGTCATTCAGCTTATCTTGTACATAACGGGTACTAAAAAAAAAAGTAAATCTGAGTTTCCAGTTTCTAATATTGTTTAAGCTTTTCTAACTGCATAGCATGAACTGAGCCTTAGGTTCCCAGAGGTAAACACTAATGACAGAGAGAACAAGTATTTCTTCACTGTCAGGAGTCTCTCTGGCCACTTTCATTGGGCTTCTTTTATCAGAAAAGCTACTCTTCCAGATAAAGTCACATCAGTTATCAAGGGAAACATGAAGACTTTTGATTTTGATCGAGAATGCAGTATTTCGGCATTATGAGTAAATAAATGAACACATAATGGCCTATTCTGTGTACTGCACTGTATTAATTCATAGGAAATGAGTGGATTTTGTGCAGCAATGTCTGTTGGTTTGTGTTTTTCAACATGTCATTTATCATTGTATTGCAGATTAGCTAATAGCCAGTTGGGTAAAGACAAAGCAGATTTGATTCTTCAGATAGAAGCTAACAAGGACCAACATGGAGCAGAACGTGCTGTGCCTGGTAATATGTCTTCCAAAATGTTAGCTATCCTAACAATTTGAATTAGGGCTGTCCTTTTTTTTTTTCTATTTATTTATTCAGATTTCACTTAAATTAGATCCCTGATAGGAAGTTTAGAAAACCGTCATCACCTTGCTTTAAAAAGACTCCCATTGGGCAGGTGCAATGGTGTGGTGGGCTAACCTTCTGCCTATTGCACGAGAATCCCGTTTTGGTACTGGCTCATTTCCTGGCTGCTCCTCTTCTAATCCATCTTCCATCTGATGGCCTGGAAAGGAGCAGAGGATGGTTCATGTGCATGAGCCCTGCACCCATTTGGGAAATCCAGAAGAGGCTGTTGGATTCAGATTGGCTCAGCTCCTACCACTGTGGCCATTTGGGGAGTGAATCCAGAAGTTGGAAGATCTCTGTCTCCTTTCCCCTCTCTGTAACTCTTGCATTTCAAATAAAAATAAATCTTTTAAAAAGTATTTCCATTAAGCCCTTTAAATTATTATTACTGTAACAAGAGTGAATACCCAAGTGTTTTTCTCCTTCTGTTACTGGTTTCATCACAATATAAAAGTAAGGAAGGAATATAAGAATATTAGGTCAATTTCTTCCAGTTGCACTATAGTTCTTTTTTTTCACCTTCTGATACACTTCCATAGGAAGTGGGATTTTCCTTCACACTTCCACAGATCCCCTCCACCTCACTGAATCTTCTCATAGTATGATCCTTCATAAAAAGTAATAAGTCGATCATTCTGCTCTTTATCCTGACAATGATAGAATCCATCATCCTAATGTCAAGATATATTTAACAGTCTCATTGAGAGTCCATTTTTGATTTGAGAGTAGAGATATATATTGCATTGTATCTTCACATTTGGGTATGATGGTCCCTATTACACAGTTACTACACATCCCCTTAAACAAAAAGCCATAAAACAGAGGAAGAATCCTCATCTTGTTTACTTAGCGACCTCTAACATACAACCCAAGGAATGGTAGTCTCCTGACCATTAGAGTACATATTATCTCTCCCTTCCTTGAGGATTGCTGAGGAGGGACTGTCCTTTCCTTAGCGGCACGAGGAAGACTTGCAAAGAGCAAGCGTTAACACTTGAGTGAGCAAACTGAACCCTGCACGTTAGTGGGTTGAACAGCCATGCCCATTGAGATTCTAGGAGTAGATGTCAGGAAAGAATTTCAGGTTACTCTCAGGTACCTTTATTTCAACATCCATGTTTCGTAATTTATCTGAAAGGCAGTTAGTCAGGGGGAAAGGTCTTCCCTTTGCTTGTACATTCCCCAAATGGTCCCAACAGGTCACCTACTTGGGTTCAACTACTTGAGCCATCTTCCGCTGCTTTCCCGGATGCTGTAACAGGGAGTTGGATCAGAAATGGAGCAGCTGAAACTCCAAGCTGGCACTGCTAGAGATGCCAGTGTCACTGACAGTACCTTCATCCACTAGGACCCAACATTGGTCCTTGAACATCTATATTTCCTGATTGGTTTACTGTCATTTCAGTTGTCTATCAGATTTTGTTTTTATCAATATACACAATGTATTCAAGTACTAGGACTATTAATTTTTTGATTATTGCTTTCTAGGGCAATGTCTCGTGCTTTATAGCTTCCTTTATGAATGTTTTATTTACTTTTCTAACATGAAAAGCAGGCAGAGCGAGGTCCAGAGATTCTCACTCGCTGGTACATTCTCCCAGTGCTTGCCACCTCGAGAACGGCCCATGTCCGGGGCAGGAAACTTGCTGTGGAATTCTACACATCACAGCCTGAAGAGGGGGTCAACTGCCACATTCATATTTTTTCAGGCTCTAGTTTTCAGCCTATTCTCCAAAACAAATTCTTTGTCTTGAACTTACTCCACATGGAAAAAAGCTGAGTCTAATCTTTATCATTTTTGACAGATACTGATCAACTAAAGGAAACGGTAAAAGACCTAAAGGCACAGCTTAAAACAGAAAATCTAGAAAAGCTGCAGTTAAAGGTAATTATATAATTATATCTAATTTTGTATATTGTTTTATGAAAACTACTTGATTTATTGTCTTTCGGTTTTAAGGATACATCCTGTCAAGTCCTGGAAGTACTTAAAAGTTTAACACTTTTAAGTATAATAAAGTGTTAAACTTTGCTACTGCCAATTTCATTATGTTCATCTACGTTAAAATATTAAACAAAAAAAATCACATGCAACAATACATTTATTTTTTAATTGTAACAAATATAGCTCATTACTTGAATACTTTCTTCAACTTTTAGGGGGAGTGTCTTCAAGTTGTTTCTTAGGTTTCTTAAGGTTTACTTTTCCCTGGAAACATTTCATTATGATCCCTTTTAAGGCAATGTAATTGAACAAAATAGCATGGACACAGAAATGGAATAGGCTCTTCTAAATATTCATTAATGCTCAAAATCTCTAAATCTCTGTCCCCACCAGATGCCTTACTTAGACTGTCAGAAGTACCAGGATTTCCATGATCATAAATAAACTTAGGAAGGTTGACCACTACTCATTAACAATTAGCATCTTGTAAAGAGGAAATATAAATTAATTTAAATAAAATCTCAACCAAAATATCCATGTTGTGATGAACATTTTTCATTTCTCAATGAATATATTACATTGAATGCTATTATACTCTAAAAACTGAACAACTGTTAGTCAAACTTACAGCATACATTGTTTGACAATTATAAGTTCTTTATTTATATTGTACTGTTACACCTTATTAACAATCTTAACAAAATACTGCATCTATAGCATTTACTATTTAGGTTACTTTGGCTTTCTTATTTATGATTAAATGTCTTTAGTTGAACTAAAAATTGTATTCATGTACATGACTTTTAAAGATAATATATTTTCATTAGGAAGAAGTTAAAAAGCTGAAGAAAGAACTGGAAAATTTTGATCCTTCATTTTTTGAAGAAATTGAAGATCTGAAGTATAATTATAAGGAAGAAGTTAAAAAAAATATTCTTTTAGAAGAAAAGTTAAAAAAATTTTCTGAGCAATTTGGTGTTGAATTAACTAGCCCTGTTACTTCTGAACAGTATGAAAATGAAGAAAGTCTTGATAACTTCCCTGTATATTAAGGTCCATCAATAATCATAGTTTTATTTATTTATAAGTTTAAAATTTTATAGGATATTAAGCAAATCTGGACTGAAGAATTTCTTCAACTCTATACCATACCATTACAGAAGTGAACTGAAATTTTTATTAAGTAAAATTTTTGGGGATTTTATCTTATTGGAAATGTATATTTTGAAGACAGATTTTTCATTAAGCTAGGATAAAATAGTTTTTCTGTGTTCATAATGTTTGCATTAAGGTTTTTTTGTTAATAGTATGAAGGTAAACTTCAACAACTGTAACATTCACAACTATGATTTTGTATATACTTATATATATGTAAAGACTCTCAGATGCTTTCATTTGTTGTCCTTAAATTATCATCCAGCTAAAGTGAACAGAATTTACCCTTAAACAGTCTTTGGGACTTACTGTTACTTATATTTGTATGTCCAGGGGTTAACATTTGTCAATATCAAATAAAAGACTGAATGAGTATTTGCATCTGGAAAATCATTTTTTCAAAAATTAGAAGACATAGTGATATTTCACAATATTTACACCTTTTGAGCAAAGAATTAGGATTCAAATATAGTAGCAAAGCTAATTTTAATTGCAATTCAGTTTATACATCAAGTGTTATGTCTTTGAGCCTACCAAATTTCTGATTATCTATTTTTGAAAAGTCACTAAACAAACATCTAGTATCAAAGGTAGTGTCATATTTGTTCAAGTTCATGTTGATAACAACTGGCTTTGAATTCATGTAAGTATCTGGAATTGGCCAGGTTAAACCAAGATGATGCCGATGGACCTGTAGAGAGAGAAAAAGGTTAAAGTTTTAATTATTGTTTGATTGTTTAATTATTTGTTCTGCTAAAATGTTACATATTTACTTGCTTAATCTCTATCTTCCCCATTGGAATGTGCGTTTTATGAAAGCAGAGAACTGGTTTTTTGACTCTATTTCTAGTATTTGGAAACATAACCAGGAAAATAATTGGAAGCTCCATAAAATTGTAGTACAGTTCAATAGTGATTATGGAAGCTAGCAGGAAGAGGCAGTCTAACCAAAGGGAACATTCTGTGATAGAGCAGTAAGTTCTGCTTTAGTTGCAAGTGGTTAAATATGGTTAGAACATAAAACTGAGAGTGTTTAGGACTTGGGATATATGTAGAATAGTTTTGGAAAATTACACAGGGATAAGATCATGAAAAATTTTACAGAAACAACAGTGTTATACAAGGAAGATACACATTATTTTGTGCATGATACACAGAGTAAGACAGATGCTATGTAGGAGAACAATATTCAAGCACAGGTCATGAACTAAATAGCGAAGTGGTTGAGAAGGTCACACACTGGACAGATTAGAATCTTTAAGAACTGATACCTATATCTATAAAGTAATAGAAGGACGGGTTCAAAATAATAAACAAAGGTTTTGTTTGTTTGTAGTATTTGTTTTTTCACTGAATTTTGGAGTCAGGGGGTTAGTTAGGTACAATTTTGAACATAATGAAATTCAGTTCCCTGTAAGACATCCAAAAACAAACCCAAGAGAGACTAGGTTGAGCATTCCCTAGTCCAAAAATCCAAAATTTGAAATTTGAAAGTCGGACATATGGTCTCAAAAAGTTTTAATTTTGAAATTTTTTGAATGTCAGATTTTTTAATTAGAAATACTTCTTGGCACTGTTGTTATTCAACAAATCCGTAAGTGTAGAAGATGCTGAATTAAGGCTAAATAGAGAGAATACTATTGTATAGATGAATTTCCAGAAGCGGACAGACAGTGTCACTTTAACTGTGAAGCACATCTATAACCAGTGAGCCCAAATTCATCAGGAATCACCGTCGTGGCATACAACAATGGTGGTATGTGGGGATAAGATACTGCATTTCTTTACTGCCAGTTAGCAATGCTGCGACTTGGAGAGAATCTGTCACTTTTACTTCCTCTGGGATGATACCAACACCTAAATACACAAATTAGTGTTTGTTCTTACCTTAATTAAACAGCCATCACTGCAATGCCATACTATTCCTTCGATTTTGCCCTCTCTGCAACCTTCAAACCAGGACAGTAGATCACTGTGCTTCAATGCAGGAAGATTTCCTATTTGAAATGCTCCATGTGGTATAAGAAGGTGTAATGGATGCTTCTTGCTTCCTAACCCTGAACGGTGCAATTTGCCATTAGCCATATTCATTCAAAGGATCGAACAAAGGATGAAAAAGTTACCCCTTAAAAGTCTTCTAAACATTTAGGAATAAAACATTTACTTATTTACTTGGTGTTTTTGAAGAGAATAGAATCCCAGTGGTTTGGGTCCTGTTCTCATTTGTTGTCCTTAAATTATCAAATTAGAACTGAAGTCCAAGACATCTACATTCCACCTCTGTGTGTGTACTCTGCACTGTGATAGCAAACTGTGGCTTGCACACCAAGATTAGAGAAACACGTTTTTGCAGATTGTTTCAAAGGAACTCAGCCACATCCATTCATTTAAGTACTGCCTGTGGCCCACATAGGTTAAGTAACTGCTCTTCGACATTCTGCAGAAATGTCTGCCAACCCCTGTTCTACCCCATTAGTCACAATCAGCTATCATTTTGCTCAATAGCCACCCCCTGTCTATGACACCTTGTATAATTACTACCTTAGCTTCGTTACATCTGCCAATCAAGCTCCTCTCTCTGTACTACAGCTTTCAGGACCTATGTCCATCTTCTCAATCCCCTATCAGTAGTCCATTGAGTCCCTGGAATATTCAATTCATCATCATATATATCCTGACACTTGATATGGTATTACCAATTTCTTTTTTCATTACTTTTCATTTAAAAGGTTTTACTAACAGGGGCCCAGCTCAATAGCGTAGCAGTTAAAGTCCTTGCCTTGAACACACCAGGATCCCATATGGGAGCCAATTCTAATCCCGACAGCTTCACTTCTCATCCAGCTCCCTGCTTGTGGCCTGGGAAAGCAGTTGAGGACGGCCCAAAGCCTTGGGACCCTGTACCTCTGGGAGACCTGGAGGAAGTTCCTGGATCCTGGCTTCGGATCGGCGCAGCACCGGCCATTGCTCTCACGTGGGGAGTGAATCATCGGACCGAACATCTTCCTCTCTGTCTCTCCTCCTCTCTGTATATCTGACTTTGTAATAAAAATAAATGAATCTTTAAAAAATAGATACAATGTTGAGAAACAATGCTTAACTGGACATTTTTTAGTGTGTGGTTTTTACAACTTATTTTAATGGTACAGATTTAAGTGATACAGTATAATAATTTCATCTAACCATTTAATAGGTGAAATATTTGTTAACACATCCATCTCAAACTTTCTTAAACTTCTGTTTAAAATTATTGTTTATGGAGTACAGTGTGACATTCCAATAAAGGTATAAATGTACTGATCAAGGGCTGGCACTGTGGTATAGTGGGTAAAGCTACTGCTTGCAGTACTGGCATCCCATATGGTGCTGGTTCAAATCCCAGTTGCTCCACTTCCAATCCAGCTCCCTGTTAATGCACCAGGAAGAGCAGCAGCGGATGGGCCTTGGGTCCCTGTACCCACATGGGAGAGACCCAGTAAAAGCACCTGGTTCCTGGCTTTGGATTACTCTAGTTCCAACCATTTCAGCCATTTGGGGACTGAATCAGTCAATAAAGATATCTCTCCATCTACTTCTCTATCTCTAACTTACCTTTTCAATACATGAATCCTTAAAAAAAAAAGTACTGATGAAATCAGAGTACTCTATCAAGTTTAGAACCTTCAGGTTATAGTGTTTTTGTTGTTGTTGTTGTTTCCTAGTTAAAGTCAGAATTACTGGGAAGGAAAAGGGTGGCGGCGAGTAGATAATTCCACACACAGGTTCACTCCCCAGATGGCCACCATGGCCAGAGCTGGGCCAGTCTGAAGTTAAGTGCAGGAGCTTCTTCTGTTCTCTGTTCTGTAGAAGGACGTGGGCCTCCTCCAATGCTTTTCCAGGCCATTAGCAGGGAATTGGGTCAGAAGTGGACTAGCCAGGGCACAAGCTAGCTCCTACGTGGGATACCAGTGCCACAGGCAGAGGACTAGTGTGCTATGTAACCAAAACAGCCCCAAGACCTCTTTATTTTGCTCTTGATGTATGTAATAGGCTATGTGAAAATAAGAGAAAAACCTTCAAGACATTTCACAGGCAGACTTTTTTTTCTGGTTATGACCCCCAAAAGCGCAGCTGACAAAATAATAGACAAATGAGATTATGTCAAGCAAAGAAGCTCCTGTGCAACCAAAGAAACAAGAGCAAAGACATAACCAATAGAATAGGAGAGAGATACTTACACAGGATTAAGAGGCAGAATAGATAAGGAACTCAATTTAAGAACAAAGAAAAGCACACAACACCCAAATAATCAAATTTAAACATGCGGAAAGGATATGAATGGGCATTTCTCAAAAGACAGACAAATGACCAACAATCATATGAAAAAGTGGGCATTGGTGATGCAAATAAATTGTCAATTAATGCAAATCAAAACCACAATGAGGTATTTCATCATAGCCCAAATGGAGTGGAGTGGAGAGTGGGAAGAACTAATATGCTTGTAAAACTTTGTATGAAATATATGAAATTTTGTTCGCTTTATATAAATAGAAAAGTTTAAAAAGACAAAAAATAATGTGGAAAGAAAAGAGAAACTTTTCTACAGTGTGTATACTTTTAAAGTTGTCCAGAAAAATCCTCTTTATACCTGGCTATAAAAGTTATTAAAACGGGACAGACTTCACTCACCATATGGATTTCCATTGATATGTGTTCCTATGAGCTCCAGTGTTTGTTCTAAGAGGTCTGCTAGTGGCACTGCACTTATTTCCAAGACCCCAGGATCTGCAGCGTGGGGCTTTAACACCAAGGCAATTCCAAATTCATAATGAACCACAGAAGAATGCCAGCAATACTGTTTGTTGTTTTTTTCCACTGGTACCCAGCCTATCATTTAAAGAGGAAAAAAAAAAAAAAACCAGAATTTTTAAGATGATTTTCTTAGGATTGAAACTGGTCAATTTAATTTTTGTTAAAATGTTTCCCTGGCTTGATGCAATGACTCAGTTGCCTTGCCTTGCACACCCTAGAATTCCATATGGCGCCAGTTCCTGTTGCGGCTGTTCCACATACCATCCAGCTTCCTGCTTCTGGTCTGGGAAAATGGCAGAGGATGGCCCAAAGCTTTGGGACTCTGCATCCACGTGGAAGACCCAGAGGAAGCTTCTGGCTCCTGACTTCGGATTGGCTCAGCTCTGGCCTTTGCAGCCACTTGGGGAATGAGCCAGCAAAAATATTATTTTTTTTAATCATATAGGCTATATTTTTTCAATTCAGTTGAAGTGTTAATCGTTCAATTATTCCACGACAGAGTACCCACCAGTCTCTTCCTTCCTAATTCACCCTACCTCTGTAAGGATTGAAAATTGTTTTAACACACAGCATTAACACATTTGAATGTTTTCTTTTCACCATCCCTCCAATTTCAGGGACAATGGGTATATGCAGTAAGTGTTTCTGAATACATGAAATTGCTCTACTCTAATTCTGAACAGTTTATTGATTCCATATCAATTGAACACTACTGCTATTCTCATTCTTACCAGGACCATCCTGATAGAGAATTCATTACCAAAACGAGAAAAAGAGAGAAACTATGGCATACAAGTATATGACACTGTGAAGAGTTACACTGTTAACCTCTGTTTCCACAGATTTCTGTAAGAACTTCCTTGTTGGCCTGCTGGCTCACAGTAAAACTCAGCCCACTTTGATCACTGTTCGGTTTCTAAAATACAAATTCAGTTTTGCTGTTGCCCTGCAAAATCCCCCTTCTCATCAGCATAAATTTCAACTCCTTTACCTGAAACACAGGCCTTTAAGGTCTGAGTCCATGCCATCCACATCTCAGCCTCAATCTTTATAAGCTCATCAATACATCATACACTCTAACCATTTTAGCTGCATAAAATGTCCAAAATAGTCCATGCTCTCTAATTTTCAGGGAACATTCCTGACCATCCCTTTAGCTATTTTCCTGGTTCTTGAGCTTCAGCACAGATAATCCCTCTAAAAAGCCTCTTCTAGCCCTAAGCTGATAAAGGCATCCCTCCCTCTTCACTTGTAGCTGTGCATTCATTCCTGCTGGCCTTGAAGTCATGGTATATTATTGGTTGATTTCTCCAAACATCTCATAGAACGTCAATGACAGACTTTCAGACCCTCATTTCCACACTGCTAGCATCCAGAGTACTGTGCACAGGATAGACACAATATCCCTGTCGGGCACATCATCTTGATCTTGCCTGTCTTCCCATACAACATTCCTCTGCAAAATTTTATCCTTCCCCAGAAAAACTACTTGTGAGATACAGGCTTTAAATTACCTTCACTGAAATATTGTTCTAGAATCTTCAAATGATCAAAACACACGCACAGACCCTAAGTTGTCCTCAGTCTCAAAGTAAGACTTCCTAAAGTATTATTTCAGGCAAAGTCAATTATGTCATCTCTCCTGATAAGAACTTCAAAGCTATTCGCATTCAAAGCTTCATGAATTTTCACAGAATACAGTTCGTAATATGTCTATCTTAAAAATTATTCTAAACCCTTGCCTTGAGGATATTCTTGATATAAAATATCAGATATAAATTAAATTAGGTAAATTAATTCAGAGTCTTTGCTCTACCTATGTAAATAAAGAGCCATATTTAAACTTTGAAATTTTAGGTTGAATGAACCTTATTGCTCCTTATACACTTCTCCACTTCTGGTCTACTTCTTGTCTACCTCCCTGCTAATGTGCCTTGGAATGCAGTAGAAGATGGCTCAATCCATGTAACCACGTGCAAGATGAAGATGGAGTACCAGGCTTAAGCCTGGTTCCAGCCTGGTGCCAGCTCCAGTCTTTGTGGCCATTTGGGGCGTAAACCAGCAGATGGAACATCTCTCTCATCCTCTCAATAACTCTGCCTTTAAAATAAAGCATACACAGGCTGGGTCGGCATGGTGATACAGCAGGCTAGTACTACACCTGCAATGCTGGTATCCCATATGGGTACTGATGCAACTCCTGGCTGCTCAATTTGATCTAGCTCCCTGCTGATGGCCTGAGAGAGCTCAACGTCTTGGTCCCTTGTACCCACATGAGAGATCCTGAAGAAGCACCTGGCCCCCACTTCAGCTCAGTCCAGCTCGGGCCGCTGCAGCCACTTGGAAGGCTTCCAGCAGATGGAAGATCTCTCTGTCTCTCCCTCTCTTTGTCTGTAACTCTGACATTCATGTAAAATAAATAAATCTTTTCAACACACAAATCGCATTTAGGAAGAAATCTCATACCAGGAATGTGTCCATTTTCATCAGGAATTGGATTCCCATTTAGTTGTTCTATTTCCTTTGCTGGTATCCAACACTCCGGGACAGGTTTGAAGTCCTCTTCAATATTCCAAAAAAACTCTAAACAGAGATCATCTCAAATGTAGTTATAGTTTTAAATATATACAGAATCTATGCAAAGTTGGAACAGCTGGTAAAACATCATAATATCATATATGATTATGACAAAAATATTGTTCATTTTACGAAAATGAATATTAACTCTTGGAGTGCTAACAGTTTAAATTTCCAATGTTGAACATATTATCTTTTGTATGCAGAGTTTAACAAGCTAATTAAACTAGCCAATATTCTATAATGTGTATGAATTTATTCTTCATTATTAATAAACATAAATTATATTCACAAACACAGATCCACAATCATGTGGATATCTATTACTTAAGAGTATTTTGAGGCACTTCACTGTTGCTAGAAATACTGAGATTTGCATCTGATTTATAAAATAACATATTTCTCTTATACCAAATCAAAATGTTACTCAGCATACTATAGTGTAATAATTTGTATGCTTTAACAAAATAGACTCACACTGCAATGAGAGTCAAGGAAATAGCAGCAAAATACCTTAAAATAATATTTTCAAATATCTTTTTATGTATAAAAATATTCAAATAAAATCTTTTTGCTCATTGCTAAAACCATACGGGACACAAAGGATGGAAAAAATCGCAGCAATAAAAAAGCCACAAACCTCAGCTATTTAAAAAGGTAAAACACCAACCTTTTGAACTGTCTTTTGAATGTAGAAAATTTTTAAATCTTTTGTCAGCTTGTTTGTTGGGTTTCCTATCGAGTCGAGCCCAGAGGTATGGTTGACCTGAAAAATTAATACAAAATTAAAAGTATAAGGGGCCAAACAAAATTTATCTTAAAAGGCATTTCAGACTGAAAGTTTTCCAATAAATGGTAGGTCATTTCTTTAATACAAAAAGCAAGCCTAGGAAACTAAGGGAAGCGCCTGGTCTAAGCCACATTCCAACTAGCAATTTACATTATGAGAACACTGATTTCTCTAGCTAAAAAATGATGAGTATGAAATGACATTAAAAATGATGAGATAAAAATAAAAATACTATTCTTTCATACAGATGTCTCAAAATATTTTATTAGTAACTAGCATAGTAAGAAACACAGGCTACCCTTATATATCAAGAAAAGGTAGCCAGATAATTGCATTCATACACCCCCCGAACATTACATGGTGCTGAAGTGTCTTGCATGATCAACCACAGGTCAAGGCTTGAAGCATACTGATCAATACTATTGCTTTCCCATCATGATCCAGGACACAGTACCAGCCTCCTCTTCTGGTACAAGGAATTGCACCTGACCACAACTAGACCCCCAGGAACTGTGGGTGGTTACCTAGCAAGATGCCCACACAATAAGCAGAAGCACAGAATACTGCACCAGAGACAGCCTTCGGATTCCCTGGTTCCAAGATGCTGCCTGCAACCGCCAGTGGGTCCTGAATCTGTGCACATCTGGCCTGCTAGGACCCTGAAGCAGGGAGCCAATTCAGGCAGCCAGACTCCCTTCCCTGAGACAGTCACTGGCTTGTGAGTCACATGCTTACTTTTTAATATACTTGCTACACTATGTCTATTTTACCAGGATACAATGTGGATTTACAGGCATGGTGATTTCAGGTGCTGTGAGTCTTTCTTTGAAGTTTAATCCTGACCTTGTTTAACTGCTATCATAATGCAAAATCACATATAGTGATGCATACTAACATTTCTTTGTAATATATAATGAACTGAAAAACCTTCTATAGTTCCTTCAAATATAAAGGTTTGTAAAAATTATATATATATTCTATTCTATATAGCTCTATATAATTCCAGATAAATAGTATGAAGAAACATTAAAATTATCAACGTAGGTTGAATGAATCCTTTGTTCTTTTTACTAGTAAATACCGAAATAATGCTTTGCACTCATATCCATGCCTACTATCATCAAAACAAGTAAAATACAAAAAAATAAAAGTGGTAATGATAATATGGAGGCACTAGAACCTCTGCACACTACTGGAGGAATGTAAAATGGTGCAACTACTATGAACAGTCACACCTCAAAAAATTACAACAGTTGGCCAGCACCGTGCCACAGTGCATTAAGCCACTGTTTGTGACCATGGCATGATGCATTGCATGCATCAGAGACGCATTCAAGTCCCAGTTGCTCTGCTTCTTAGCCCTGTACCTTGCAACTGAAAAGCACCAATGATGACCCAAGTGCTTGAGCCTACGACAGAATGGGTGGCTCAGCTAGTGCCCAGCTCCCAGGTCTCCTTGGCCTTGCCAAGGACAATGGAGCTAGCTGGGAGCAAATCATTGATTGGAAGATCTCTATCCCTCTTTCCATCACTCCTTCAAATAAGCAACAAGATTAAAATTACTTTCTTCATGACTCTTCTCTCTGTAACTCTACCTTGCATAAAAAATAAATCTTAGAAGGAAAGAAAGAAAAAAAAAAGCAAAGAAAATAAAAGTTAAGAAAGAGGAACAAGCACTATGATGTAGTATGGTGTAGTACAGTATGGTTCGATCCTGGCTGCTCCAGTGCTGATCTAGCTCCCTGCTTACGGGAAAGCAATGGTATGATGGCTCAGCTCCTCGGTCCCCAACACCCACGTAGGAGACATACAAGAAGCTCTTGACTGATGGCTTTGGATTGGCTGAGCTTTAGCCACTGACATCATTTGAAAAGTAAATCAGCAGATGAAAGATCTCTTTCTCTTTCTCTCTTAAGCCCACTTTGCAAATAAAAATAAAAATATACAAAGAATATTAAAATTAGAATTAACACTTGATGTAGTAGTTCTACTTCTGGAAATATACCCACAAGAATCAGAAGCAGGGCCTCAAAAAGCCATGCTGCCTAGCCACCCCTGTTCACACACCATCATTCTCAATAGAAAAAGTTGGGAGCAGCCCGAGTGTCCATTGATGGCTGAATGGGTAGACAAAAAGGTGCTATGCACATTCAATGGAGTATTATACAGCTTTAAAAATGAGTGAGTTTCTGATGCAAGCTAACATCATAGACAAACTATGAAACAAGTCAATCACAAAAAGACAAACACTGCATGATTCCACTTATATAATGTATCCAAAATAGTGAAATTGATGGAGACGAAAAGCAGAATGGGGAAGGAGCACAGGAAGTTATTTAGTCTTCTGGAAACGGATACTGGTGAGAGAGCACATTATGAACACACTTAACAGTTCATGTAAAATAGTTAACATGGTAGATTTGTGTATATTTGCCACAGTAAAAACATTGTTCTAGAGATTAAACAAGGGTCAGTTTGGATGCCCATTTGATCCAGTGATTCTTCCTCTGGGTACATATACCAAAGGCCTGCAGACAGGGCCTCTAAGAGACACGTGTTCTGTCCTACACATAGCAGCATTAGAACAATAGCCAAGAGGTGGGGCCAGCCCAACTGCTCTGCTTCTTTGCTGGCAACGAGAAACAATCTTATTACCCAGAAACAATCAGGATATTTTTCTTTACAATCCATTTCTTATTTACAGAGCTGATCATTTCTGTTTGTGTCAACCTCTTTAAAAGAACATTTACATGAACTTAACTGGAGTTGATATCAATACTAATAAAGCTGATGAAAATATTAGTGGGATCAGTGCAAGGAGAACAAGAGGGAGGGTCAGACAAACTCAGGTTCCAGCGCCAGTTAAACCATTCAGCAACTACATGGTCATAAACTAGTTGAGTTGACTGAGCCTCAGTTTCCTTATCTGAAAAACGGAAGGAGGTAACATGTGGGGAACATTTATCATACCACTTGTTCCGTCAGAGTACTAAGTATATATAACTTTCTTTCCCTCCACCTAGAGAAAAACTACAATACATAACAAATAAGTCTGCTACGACTCTTACATTCAAATGTTTATGAAGATAAAATGTCTCATTTTTAATCTGCAAAGTGATTAAGAAAAAGTACAATTTGTAATGAATATTGTATTTTACCTTTGTAGGTAGTAACATAACAACATGTTCCATCCACTTTTTCTGTTGGAATTGCATTGTATATATCTGCATCTAATGCCTTGTGACTTATAGTTTCAGTTGCCAAAACTTTAAATGGCTTAAAAGAGAAAGAGAAAATCGGTTTAAGATAAAAACCCTCTATGTCTTCAGACATTTTTACCTGAAATGCTCTTGATTCTATCAGTTCCAAGAGATGGTCTCCTGTTTATCCTTCGACTCAATTTATAAACATTCCCGTCAAGTTGTCCAATCATCCCTTCCCATCTATACTATCAGATCAATACCTGATTATCCCACAAAATTGTGTTCTTTACGTTTCTTCACCTTCCACAATGACCCAGGAGGCATGTCGGAGGCGGCACTACATCCTTAGCACTGCTGTATATGGAAAGATGTGTGAAACGCATGGTTCTCAAATACAAAAGTAATCAAAAAAATCATCTCCACCTTTCATGGAATGTGAGGAAGACTAAAGAAACAAAATGTGTTAAAAAAAAAAAAAAAAGTGTGTTAGGCCTGCTAAGTGCTTAAGAGAAAAAACAAAGGGAGAGAAGAGAGGGGTGAGGTGCTACCTCAGAAGTGATGGGCAGGAAAGAACTCTCTGAAGAGGCAACACAGGAGCAGACCAGAAGGGAAGGAATGCTAAATTATAAACACGCAGATACCGAGGGCACCCAGTCACGATCGGAAGTGTCTGAACAAAGTACAGGCCACTGCGCTTGCGGCTGACTGCAAGTAAAACCAAAACATGTGTTTGACTAACAAGTGATTCCTTTGGCGCTCCTGGTAACGCAATACAAGTATCTGCCACTCATAATTTTCAGTTTTTCAGGAATAAACCTACTTTTCAATACAGGAGACTTCCTTCCAGGAACACAAAATTGACTTCTCACTTCCGATTTGGTTCTTTGCAAGTCCTAGCAGGGATCTGGTGACGTTCTGCTTGAGCCACTCTCAGACAGCAGCAGGTACAGATGGGGGTGGGGTCAGCCATAGTTTGTTTCTAATTTTTCTTAATACTTTTTATTTTTTGTTAGCAAAGTAAGTGCACAAATGGTTCTTAGGCAAAATCTCTAAAAATACACAAAAGCGTAAACAAGAAATCACCCACCGTCTTTCCCATTCAGATGTAACCATCAATCAGTGTTCAGCATGATTCCAATTGTTTTTAGTGCAGTTTTCATCTTCATATACTTGACATTAATTTCCAGGACATTTCCATCTTTTTTTAAAAAGAGATGTATTTATTTACTTGAAAGGCACAGAGAAAGAGGGGAAGAAGGAGAGACAGAGAAGTTTTTGCATTGGCTGGCTTGCTCCCCAAGAGGCCCCAACAGCTGGAGCTGGGCCTGTCCAAAGCCAGGAGCATCTTTCATGCCTCCCACATGGATTCAGAAACCTAAGAACTTGGACCACCGTCCACTGCTTTCCCAACTACATTAGCAGGGAGCTGAATAGGAAGTGGAGCAGCCAGAATTCGAACTGTGTCCACATGTGATGTCACCCACTACACCAAAATGCTGGCCCCAGGATAGCTTCTTTAGAAGTTACAGTTGTACTTTCTGAATTTATTTGTCTCACATGCTTTTCCTTATTAACTGCATGATAACATTAAAAAAAAAAAAAACCTTTCCCTAATATTCCATCTGTGAAAAATGCTGCCATGCTGCCATCATGTTTGGTTGCCCAAACTGATTATCTGCATATTTTCATGAAGTGATATTAAGATCCAATGTGAAGGATCTTGGCATCTCTATTTAAAAATTTCAGATCAAAGACTAAGATCTTAATTTCCAGCACAGTATCCTAAAATCAGCTTTACATTCTAAGGTGTTAAACTATGCTGTAAAGTTCAACAAGTACTTTCTGGGGAAATACATGATTGGGGAAATACATGGTTTGAAAGGACAATCAACCCCTGGTGGGTTTTTGCACGAACTGAGACTGCTTATATTGGAAAGACCTTAAAATTTCTGAGCTGTATCAATTAAGTTTTTTTTTTACCATTATTTAATTGTAAAATATTCAAAAGCAATAGAAAAAAAATGCCTCTATAAAATAAATACTGTTCTTGATTCTGAGTTAGGCTTGTTTGTTAACAGTTTTCTTTCATCACCTGATTTCCCCATTTAGTTAATTTGAGTGCTGTATTTTCAAATCCCTTTATATCAAAATCAGAAGTTTCTGTGGGTACTCATGCAGCCAAGTTTGAACACCTAGACTACAAAAGCAATTGTTCTTTACTATGCAGGCAGTGTGTAAAGTTTTAGTGGCACAACTTTGTGGTAAGACCTCAAATGAGTACCCCAGGAAATATGGCCCTCTAATGGCCCAAGCCGATTTACTATGTCATCTTAGATATGTCATATCACACACCCAACTGCTATTTCAATTCAAATCTTTTCCTGGAGTACTCAACATCTGAGGCTGATTTTGCTTCACTCACTTTCCTTCTTCTGTTGAAAATACTATGAATCACTCCATGTGTCTTTTGATTTTATATTCAGAGTATTCACTTCTTGATCCTTTCTGGTTTTGGTAGTTAATTGGATATTTTTTTCTACTACTAAAACGGTACATCAAGAAAGCAGCCAAGATGAAGACAGTTTCTATTTTTTTCTTTTTTAAATTGATACAGTTTTGTAGCTATAGCAAGATGAAGCCACATTTTACGTTTCTTAATGACTTTTTAAACTGAATTTTCGTTTCTAAAAAGGAACATTTTTTATTAATAAACAACTTTAAGTGACTATACTCTTACAATGTGGAAAGCACTGCACAATATATACAAGTGTATACAAACTCAAGACCAATAATGTGGAAGCACTGTTTCAAACAGAATTAGGCAAACTATAAAACAGTTTCATTCATGTGCTGATTCAGTACATTCAAGATAACTCTGAACAGAAATAATCACTTACGGCATGGTATCACATGAACATAACATGTGGGGCTACAACCAGAAGGTCTGACCCAATAGTAGTGTTCAACTTTTGTGTGTAGGCAAGTGTGTGTGCATATTTATCGAAGATCCCATGGAGCAGATATCTATGACCATGTTGCTGTATATAAATGATTGTTCTGGGGCCAGCACCATGACATAATAGGCTAAGCTTCCACTTTGGGTGCTGGCATCCCACATGGACACTGGTTCCTGTCCTGGTCATTCCACTTCAATCTGGTGTCCTGCTTACCGCCTGCAAGAGCAGCAGAGGATGGCTCAAGCCCTTGGGTCCCTGCCCCCAAGAGAGAGACCCAGAAGAAGGTCCCGGCTTCAGACCGATCAAGCTCCAGTAGCTGGGAGATCTCTGTCTCTCTCTGTAACCCTGAGTTTCAAATACATAAATATATCTCTTTAACAAAAAAGAATGTTATCTACCACTCCTTGCTGACATGTGCAAAGCACTGCAGAAGACTTTAAGAGGTACACAAGGATCTTCTCTATCATCAAAGTATTCACTACTGGAAAAGCAAGACGTGTCAATCTCAAGAGTATCAATTGTGTGGTCCATCATAATTTCTGGGTAGAAGAGAAATCACTAGAATCATTAAATTGACTGAAGATTTTTTTTTTTATGAAGAAGGTCCTATTTGAAGACACGAGACAGCTGAATAATAACCTATAAGGTTTTTAAAGTGTATAGAACCCAGTTGTATATAAACTAAAATTGAAATGTCAATGAAGAAGTCACAGCATGTAGTTAAGAACTTGCATTTTTTTTTCTTTCTTCTTTTAACATACTGGCTACTCAATACTATGTCAATTAATTCCATAACATTATAAGCTGTGGCTGATGTTATGTTGGGCCTTTTAATTGACTGGGATGATACTCTGTCGGCTCTACCTTCAGACCAGAGATCGTCTACCCAACAAGCCGTTGAACTTATCTGGACAATAACATGCTGGACTCTATGCTTGGTATATGCTTGCAATGAAAGAGTCTCAACTGAACTTGAACTGTGGTAATGCAACAAGGTGGAGGAACCCACCATGGGGGGAGGGCTTTAGGAGGAGTGGGGAGAATCCCAGTGCCTATAAAACTGTGTCACATAATGCAATGTAATGTTAAAAAAAGAAGAAGAAGAAGGTCCTATTTGAAACACTAAAAACCCTGTGGAGGTGATGCAGGAGGAAAAAATAAACACATAGCCTGAGCAGCAGTGTGGAGACAGGATTGTGGCTGGTGTGTTTCAGAAGGAAACAGACCAGTGCCACAGCGACTTCACCCTCAGGAGGTTAGAGATTGGGCCTAACCCACAGAGGGCATGGATGCCTAGCAGCTAGGTGCTAGGCTACAAACATCCCCACGATGCAGTGTTCCCTGCAGAGACATGGCACTTTTGCAAACTACAGTCCTCTAATACAGGTAATCAACAATCGCGGGCCGAACCACTACCCCAGCACACTATTTCCTATGGATTCTGTCAGTGAAACATGTACAGCACAAGGCTGACTAATGCCAGAGCCACTAGGGCAGGAACAGCAGGGTTTCAACTAGGCAAGAAGAGCGTGATGATCATTCCGGAAGAGGAAAGAGGCAGTGCATAAATCAGGACATGAGATATTGGAAACCGCTCAAGTGATCGCAGAAGAAAAGAATATAGAGAGAACAGGCGTAAGAAGCAAGAGGCCTCAAGCATGAAGCGATGTCAGGGTTCACTTTTCAATCAACAAATGCAGTCATCTGCTGCTGACCAAGTGTCAAGCCCTGGATAGGCAGAGGAAAGATAACAGCAGGGACTCCGCCCTAAACGTCTCTGGGTGTATTAGCCCAAGAAGGCCTGTTGCCAATGATGAAGCGCAGGAAGGAGACCACCCCCAGGCGACACTTTGATGTCTTGCAAACTGACAGCACACACCCAGTAACTGGGGATTCTGCTGATAGTGAGTCTGCCAAATATCAAGGCATCCTCCTGATAACGCAGTGCTTAGTATTCATGCACTACCATACAGCAAAGCCCCACCATCGTGTAAAACACGTTGCTAGGCCGATGGAAAACCTTCAGCTAGTAAAACAATAGTCAGAATCAAGAAGTTAATTAACACCTAACCATAAATGAGCTCTGATCTTCAGTGAGCTAAATGCGGGAGGATAGCAACACTGCTCTGGGTTCCCAGGTTCCCACAGCTAAAGTGCATCTACCGTTTCCACTTTGGATCGTTCTGGAAAAGCAGCAACGCCTGGGCGGCGGTGATTACCTCGGCACTGGGGGGAAGGCCACTGAGAGGTGCAAAAGGGAGAAGAAAGCAGCATGTTTGGGAGGGTTCGATTTCCTGGCGAGGGTCAACTCTGAATCGCTCACCAGCAAACCTCGCTCGCAGGTGCCCGCCCTCAGAACGAAGAAGGGACAAGAATCTGGAGCTCAAGGCGTACGGGGCTCGCACCCGGCACCTCCCCACGGATCCGCACCACGTGCGGGCCTGCCTGGCAGCTCAGGCCAGCGCAAATGGCGCCAGCGCTCCTGGGTACCTGATGCTCTCTTTTGGTGGAGGGCTCCTCTTTCACCTCCGTCACAAACACACACGGCATTTTCCGCTGCACCGAGCCCAGGCGCCTCATGGTGGCCCCAACAAGGCAATTCAAAAGGGAGAGCGCGTGTCCCAACAGCTCCTGATCCTGGCGGGCGGACGCCCTGCAGCGCTCGGCCAGCCACCCGCTTCAGCCCGGCACCCGGGAGTCTTCCCCGCCGCGGCTAACCCCGGACCCCGCAGGGCGACGCACGCCCGGAAATGGCCTACTGACCCGCGCGCCGCCTTCTGGGAGTTGTAGTGCGGCCCCGAGGCTCCCGGACGTGCGCATCCACGTGCGTGTCCTCCCGAGTTTTGAAAACCGTGAAGAAACAAATGTCCGTTTTCCCGAGTGTGTCAGCTTTCCACAGATACCGGAGATGTTTTCGAAAGTTAACGGATACGAGGTGCGAGGAGTCATTTCAGATAGCTACTTGCCACTGTTGTGTGAACCCTGCTGGTTGATGGGCGTCCTTGAGCCTCGAACTTGCGAGGTTTATGTAGATAGCCGTTCCGGAGTGAGTACAGTAGGAGACACAGCCTTAGACCTGTCCACAGCCATATGCGTGGATGCCGAAAACCCGGAATCTGCTCCGAATGTTTTCATACGAGACTTATTTACTGTCATCATTAAAAGCGGACTCCAAATGAGGTCAAATGGTTTGAGTACTTGTAGTTAACGACCAGCAGGGCTTACAACAGCTTTGTTTAGCTTGCTGCTCAAACGAATGGCTGGTGAATGAGTCACCGCCTGACGATTTTACAATATTTTAAAATACTTTTCAGTGGTAGCTCTTATTTCAGCTAAATAGTTCCCTGCCAAGAGTCATTGGGGCATCTAGGTTTTATTTGGTCATCTTCCATGTGCACGGACAAGGCCTAGTTCTGGTTTGTGTAACTGCCTTCATGTATCAAGCTTTCCAGCATTTATGCCTTTAAGATGTCACACCACTGTATTCCACTTGCAGCTTATGAAGGGATAAAGGAGTTCCAAGTAATAAAATATCCCTCTAAAAAAGCTCATTGTTTGATTGCTAGATTCACAGAGGTTGGGAGGGAGGTAAAGATTTGCCATTTCAAAGTGTTTACTTTTTTCGTTGTCTTTTATTTTCTCACAGGTAAATACAAATTCCCCTCTTCCAATTTACAAGAAAAGGAACAAAGCAAAGAACCCTGACACTGGCCGTGGGATTTGGGGACTTGAAATGTGCTAGTAATTTACAGTCAAGCCCCTGGGACTTATTTATTCTTTGGAGGAATTAAAAGAAAAAAAGAAAATAGAAGAACGAAGGGACGAGAAAGCTTCTCTTTTTAAGTCTGAAAGACAGTTAACCTTAACACCACAAGGGTCACTTTGCAAACTGCCACAGAATTTAGAATTTTCTAAGCCCTGTACCCTGTGTCATTTCAGAGAAGGGTCCTCTTTCATCTGCTCTCTGAAGAGTTGCCTCCAGGCTCCTCGGCGCGCAGGAAGCAGTTTCCAAAGCTGGCTCCATAGGTCCCTGGAGGAACAGAACCTGCTGCATCACAGGGGAGAACCACAAGATCACTTCCTGACTGTGAACTACTGGGCTGCCACTCTGAGGGGGCCAGCAAAACTTGGCCTAGCTGTCATCATTCCGAAGATGCTCCAAGCCCATGTGTTTCAAGTGGTGTCAAAGGATACAAACTAGAAGGGAAACGGGACTCACGGGACTCACTTCTCCTGCCTCAATTCTGAAGTTGCTACCATCCAGTGTATTGAAAAGCTGTATCACAGGATAGAAACTGCCAAGGAAACCTTGAGTCTCGGATGGCTCCTTTGTAGCATGCATCAGAGAAAGATCCTCAGTGCAGTCTGCTTTGGATGACACAAAAAAATAGACAACATTTTCAGGCCTACCCCCAAGTTGTGGAGACACATTTGTCATCATTCTGCATTAAAGAGAATGAATCCTCTTGGGGAGGAGAGTGATGGCTTTCTGTGAAAAGGCTAGCATGTTGGGAAGAAATGAAAGGGAGACCAAGACTAGAACGCTCAACGCAAGAAAGCAGAGCTTTGGTAATTCTAGAGACTACCACAATATATAGATTTTTGAAACAGCAACAAAACCTCCCATGGATTTGATCTGTTTTTACTAATGGAATATAATTGTTCACATCTTGTCTCCAAAAGGTAAAAATTTTTTCAATGTTTCCTGTATATAGAATATAGATTCTCACCATGGGTTTGATCATGATCGTACATGTAAACGTGCAATAATGGTGTTTAGTTGTTGGTGTTGACCAAGTCCCAATGGAGCTGCAGGTTCCCAGGTGGAGAGGGGATTTGTCGGCACAGGAGAAAACAAAGATATTTCTCAGAGATATTTCTCAAAGATATTTCATTCAACTTTGCACCTAAGATGGTGCTTTGCTATTCTAGAGCGATAAGGTAGGAAAAACCCAAAGATATGTTTTCTCTAAGTCCTTGCTGGTATTTTAAAAAAAATTAGGCAAATCTGTATTCTCTGCTTCATTTGCTTTTACTACTACCATTGAGTTCTTTTCTCCTCTTATGCACAGCTCTAGGTAAGCATTTTCTGAATTTGTTTCTGTTTCATACCAGATTTTTATCCTGAAGCATTGCTTTCAAAGTATTTATGCCAACTTAGCCTGTCTTACTTAAGTGGAGATCCAGATTTATAGTGATTTTAAAAATTTCTAATTAAAAAGGACACTGCCATTTCAAAAATTATTTTCTGATGTGTCATCTACCATCCCCATGCTATCTTCTAAGTAACCAATCATGAACATTTTTATTAATATCTGATAGACCCCTATAATTGAAATGTTTCATTCTGGGAATCTGAATATTTCATGCTGTCTCCAACAAGTTCTCAAAACCCTCAAGAATTCAGAATACTTTGTTGTGGGAGTGGACTAACCTTGCTTTCACTACTGTTGGAAAGCAGTGGAATGTAGCTACAAGATAAATAACTAAGCCAGTTTGTGTCAAGACCTATTAACAGACCTCAACCTGAATATAATTTTGTTTCCAAACAATGACTAGAAACAATCTTCTATTGGATTAATTATATTCATGTTCTTAGATTATGTTTAGCATATTTACTAACTTTAATAATACTTAGTTTAAAAAAATACTTTGTTTCGTAACTGTATCTGGTATCAAAAAGGATTAGAAAGTAATGTGAAATATATATTATTTTTCTAATTGCAGAAGTAGTAGGAACTAGTGTCTCCCATATTCAACCAGAATACTGAGGGATAAAATGTATCATTTTATTTTTTACTAAGTCTTTTGTTAATGTATTAATTAGGCAGGAAAATGCAGTATTCACTAAAGTAAACTAACCTATGGTTACATGTGAGGTCATTTATGATGAGCAAACAATGGATTATGTAACAATGAGGAAAATTCTGGAAGTTTGAGTTTGCGTGCTTACTAGCAACCACTTTGAACATTTCTGCAAAGCTAGAGAAGGTATCTTCTAATTTCACTTATTTAAGATTGTCTGTTTTATAATATACTGTCAGCAAGAGGTCAGTGTTAATGGAAAACTACGGATAGCCTGAAAGACTGGATAAGAAATCTTTTTCCCTTTACTCACTGATAGTTCTTATATTTGCATTCCTGCATTTCTTATATTAAACAAACATTGGATTAGCAGGAGAGTTGAGAAATCATTTCAACAAGAGAGTTGAAAATGGCAGAAGTTGGGAATGACTGCTATTACTTTTTTAATTCCACATGCATAAAGGTAAATATTGTACAATTTACAGTTCACATGCTTAAGTTTTTAGTAGAATGACGGAAGATAAAATAGTAATTTGTTGAATCAACATTTATTATTTTCCCACAAGACGTTTTACCTTCTTAAACTCTGAGATAAAGGCTTATCATGTGTTTTTGATACACTGGACTTCTCTAAGAATGTGATTCCAGTCACACAAATCCATGTGATTAAATTTAACTCAATAGTAAACAGTGTCATCTACTTGTTTCTGTATTTTATAGTCATTTATGTGATTACTGATTTTTCCCATCAAAAATCTAAATAACAAAATATGTAAACATCAAGGAAAAAGAAAAAAAGCAAAACATAAAACCAAATAATCCAAAGATGAATTAAATTTGATAAAGTTAAATGGAAAAAAAAAGTTTAAGGACTAGGATTAGCGTATTTCAGTAAACCAATTAAATGCAGGAACTAGATGTTCAGAGCCCCATGGTCATGGCAGGATGAACCCAATCAAAGAGACTGTGTTTCTTCTCTGCTGGGAATCTTAATGGACTCAATTTCTTTGACCATAGGGATTAAATCTACCTCTTTCATTGTTATCTTTAGATTTAACTCAAGGATGAAAAATAATTTGTATTCTAGGGTAACAAAGTTTTGTCAGTTTTACTCTTGTATTGCCAAGCAGTTAGGGTAGTGACTTTTGGTAGTTAACTTCTCAGTAAATAATTACCTGGACCCATAAACATAAAAGTAATCGTGCTATTTTATCTCATGTAATTTTATAACATTATTTGAGAAGTTTGCTGTTTTATTCCCTTTTTGAGAAAATGAGTCACAGAGAAGATGAGCTAATTATTAACCTCATTTGTATGGACAGATAATAGATCCAATATTTAAATACTGAATTTCAGTACATATTTTATTCTTGTTATATAAATAAGGAAAATGTAGCAAAGAGGGTGCAAGCTGATTATTTACATTGTTACAATGGACAGGTAATGTAGTCATGATTCAAGTACTAATGACTTGACTCCAAGGACCCTTGCCAGGACCGCTTAGATCCATTTTTAAGAGACAGAGTGAAGATGGAAGGAGGTAGCAGGAGACGAAGGAACATGGAAAGTGTGTTGCAAGAGGGAAGAATCTAACAATGTTTTAGTGTCTGTTTGTTTCTCTGCCCATAAGAAGATAGCCTGCAGTTTTTTCATGTAGGTACTTATTTGTAAAAGAGCATGGAATTAACAAAAAGGTTTAGTAGCCTGTTGAAGTAATCCACATCTCTATTGTTGGTATTTAAAGGTGTCCATGTGTTTTTGTACAGGCATTATAGGCTAAGGGCATAAGACTTTTGTAGTATATGTAATGTAGTATACTAATTTCTTAATATTTCACATTTACTTTCCTTAATATAAGCATAATGAGTATTTCCTTAGACCAAAACCAAATGATCTTTAAAAAATGACTGATAACTAGAGATCATTTCTACAGTTATAATGTGGCTGGTAACTTTAAAAAATTTTTTGTATTCCTTCTTCAAAAACAGATTACATTGTACTGTCATTTTATCATGATAAAAGACATATCATTTTATCAGTGACTCGTGGTATGTAATATCATTTAATAATTAAATGACCTTATGCTATCTCACTAAGCCAGAACAATTGCTAAAATGTTGACCTAGAGTCTTATACCAGTAGGGTATATTTTCGTGATTGTAATTTTGTTTACTTATATTTTCTTTCACTGCCACTTTATTGTTGTAGAACACTAATGCAGTATGTTGGGTTTTCTACACTGTTTACTCCTTTCTTTTAGGGTTCCCAGTGCCGATTCCGACACTGTGAAAAGGCTCTTGGCAGCGATACTGTGTGCTCACTATGGAGAGAGAAAAAATGTTTAGATCCACTTTGCAGATTTAGACACATGGAAATGCAGGTAGAACAACTCAGCATCATTATCAAAAAGCATCCTCCTTCAATAGTATTGAATTATATTTCTACCACACTACAAGAAAGAAATTATTATTCAATTATTTAATTTCATATATTATTCATTTTTACTTTTGCTTAAATTATGTAAAAAAAAGTCAAGAACTGGAGTAGTGGTATAGTAGGTTGATCCTCCTCCTGTAGCACTGGCATTCCGTACGGGTGGCCCTTTGACTCCCGGCTACTCCATTTCTGATCCAGCTCCCTGCTCAAGGTCTGAAAAGGCAGGGGAGAAGGCCCTTGCCACCCACATGAGCCACCAGGAGAAAACTCCTGGCTCTTGGCTTCAGACACTCTGGCTGTCACAGCTATTTATGTGATGAACCAGTGGATGACAGATCTCTCTTTGTCTCTCCCTGTCTGTAACTCTGATTTTTCAGGTAAGATAAATAAATGTTTTAAAAACCCAATAAAAGTGAAAGTACATAATTTAGAAGTATCTGCTACATCTTTTAAATAATATAACAGAAAACTGAACACCATGAAACACACACGAGTGGAAGCTAATCACAATTATTTTTGTCACATTGTGTTTTATTGTACATGTTGCATACATTGTATTTATTGTGAGCATGCCATGTAATCATTATGTTCTCCTCACCTCCTTTGTCTAGCAAAACTGTAGCATTTCATGCTTCTGGGAAACTCAGCCTCTTGGTTGTGTGAAGATCAGCTGTATCTTTTATCACAGCAAACCTCGAAACATCAATGGATTGTTTTTACCACCAAGTAGCAGTGAGTATATGCATTATTAATTAATATGAGCACATCACATCAACATCTGGTTTTGGAATGCTATGTATAGAGTCACATTTTCAATAAGTATGACAAGGTGAATGTTGTGGTTCATCTCTACTTTCATTGGGTGATTCTATCAGGAATACAAATGAAGCTTAGAATGAATCATTAAGTAACTAACAAGATGAAGGGAACAGGAGCAAGATAAATTTTCTCCATGTTTCTAAAATGATTTTTATTCGATGGAAAAATGAGATGACGGCTGACTTCATTAAGTAGAAGGAAACTCAACAGCTAGAGCCGAGCTCTATGGTCATGCCTTCACTGTGCACTCAGTGAACAGTCAGACACCTGTCTCTGACGGGGCGGACAAGGGCAGACCACTGCTTCTGCCAGAGAAGGGCATATGTTGTGATATGATGGATGCTAACTGTGGTGAAATGCCATTGCTATGACAACGTAGACAATTGAGTCCAAGTAAATGACACTGAGACTAGTGTGTGAAAGACAACATATATTTTAATAAAAAATAATTACGTAACTTAAAGATTTTAATACTTAATACTAAAATAATTAAATAACTAAAATAATGTATTAATTTGAAAGGCAGACTTACAAAGAGAAGAGAGACACACACAGAGAAATCTTCCATCTGCTGGTGCATTTCCCAAATGGCCATCATGGTTGTAGCTGGATCGATCCAAAGCAGGCAGCCTGGAGCTTCCCACATAGGTGCAGGGTCTGAAGGATTTGGACCGTCTTCTACTGCTTCCCCAGGCACATTAGCAGGGATCTGGATTGGAAGTGGAGCTGGTGGGATACAAACCAGTACCCACATAGGATGCTGGCGCCACAAGTGGAGACTTAACCTACTACTAGATGGTGCTGGCCCCCACCGGACTTTGAAATAAATGAATGACAGGAACTGTGCTTTAGACGCAGATGCAGTCAGCGTTTCCTTGATTTTGTAACTACGCTGTCCTCTGCGTGGCTGCCAGATATCTCTGATAGCATGGCTTTTAGAAATGGGCTTGCATGACATTAGTCCTTTGTGATTTGAAAACTTCGCTTCAGATAGTTTTCAGAAAGATTATTATATAAAAATCAGATCACCCTGTTTAGGCACTTCTGGAAAACGCTGGTCTTTAGTATACATATCATAAATGTAATGCCTTGACCAGCATTTCTCATTACATTGTAAACCTCAAAAGAATGAGACCATAAGTAGTTTCCTTGTCTCATTGCACAGTGCATGGAATACAGATTCCCCGTAAAAATAAATGTATGGATAGATGAAAAAGGGAGGAATTAATGACTACTGAGAGGTAACTTACTGTGATAAAATTATTGCACATATTTAAGTGAGTAACTTGTTACCACGAATTTGGCTGTGGAATGATTTTATGAGAAGCGTTGTTCCAATATGTTCTATCCAGTTAGTAGACTTTGCTAGTGCCAAAGGTGCTTAGGCTGCTACGCCACGGCACCAGCCCCTGGGTGTTCCTGTTCCTGTGTCTTTTTTTTATTATTATTCTGAAAATCTTTACACAGTTGATTAGGGCTCTGAGGGTCAGGAGCTATAGCAAAGTGGGTAAGAGCATTGTTTCCACATTATCATTATTATTTTTTTTCTGTATCTGGGGTACGGGGAGAGAAAAAGGGAGAAGCCCCATTCAGCCTCCCACCCATCACAGGTCCCCGATGTGGGGCATGCTCTGAGGGTCCTGCTCAAGTGTTTTTGATAGTTCAACAGTTCTGAATTGCTGCAAATCTCACCATTCCAAGCGCAATGAAATTTCTCCAGAATCCACTGACTGACATAGTTCACCCTAGAGTCTCCATTTGCCCAGATTTTCACTGCCAACTCATGGCTTGAGCAAATGATTTGTTAAATGATTTGTTCTGTTCTCGCTCCTGTGTTGTTATGCTAGGTGTGCTCTGCTGGTTCCTATGGTCTGCCATATCCTCCATGTGCACCTGGATGTGCTGTCTATGGCTCCATCTGAGCCTCTGAGTAGGCTCAGCTTTGATACTTGGACTCCACAGTCAGACCATGGAACCTGCACTTCTCTTCATGGTTGGGGTTCTGAGGCCAACAGTTTGGTTGGAGAAATCTCCACAGAAACTTTGAGGTGATCCCACTCCTGATTCTTGTGTGTGCTTGCCACTACAGGGTCCAGCACAGTTTGTCACCCAAACAGCTGGTGGTTGCAATTGCTGGGTCAGTTCTTTCTCTAGCCCTGTCTTCCACGTGAATCAGTGGGTGTTGCAGTCCAGTGTGATTTTACCCAGCACACACTCGGTCCTCGCACAAACCAGTGGGAGCTGCAGCCTAGTCAGAGTGACCCGCAATAACCCGCACCAGGCCCGCCCTGTGCCCTGGTTTCCATGCTTGTCAGTTTGTACTGCAGACTTTTTCAGTCTGTCCCACATCCCATTCAGCTCTCACACGTGTCAATGGGCATTGAAGCCTAGTTCAACCCAATCTGCCCTATTATGCAGACCACTCATATGCTGGTCGGTGCCCTTCTGTCTAGCCATCCCTGCCCCAGTGCTGGTTTTCATGTTCTCCAGTGGGAGTGGAAACCCAAGAGGGAAGTGCCCACTTTTTCCTATACTAGACCACTCCCACTCCTGGATTATGTACTCTCCAGGTGATTCTGTGGTTTAACTTAACAGAATTGGCCTCCAGTGTCAACATCTGCCAGCAGATTCTGCTGCAAAGCTTAACCAACCCTCACCCACTCTGATTTATGCTTGTACCATTATAAACAGTCAACCCAGCCTGGCTTTTTCCTGATCTAGCTTGCATGAGGCCCATAGGTGCTATATCCTTGCCTGGTCTGACCTTCCCACAGCTGGATTCACTCTCAGGTGAGAGTGGCAGTCCATCAGGGGAGCCCACATTCCTTCTGCCAGCTTTGCCCCCTCCCTCCCTGGTTCTCATGTGTGCTGGTTGGGCGCTGTGGCCCAGTCTGGCATGGCCCCCCTCACCTCAGCATTTGGCAGTGGGTGCTGTAGCCTGGCCCGGTCCGGCCAACCTCCAATTCCAGCTGACACTGGTAAGGGTTACAACCTAGCCCAGTCCAGTACGCACCGAATCCCAGCTGTAATATGTACTGGTATGTGTTGCAGCCTAACCTGGCCCAACCCACACACTGTGTTCTGGTGCTCGGATTCGCCAGTGGGCGATGTGAATGGGTTCAGCCTGATCCGCCCCTGACCTATTCCAAATGTGTGGCAGTAGGTACCTTTTCCTGGTCTGGTCTGGGCTGTTCCCTATCGTGGTTCTTGCACTCACCTGCAGGGACTGTGTCCCAACAGAGGAGTTTCCCAAGCTCTTCCATCAGAACCTCTCCCAGTGCAAGATCTTGCGCATACTGTTGGGTCCCTGGACCAGCAATACTTAGTCTTCTTCCTGTCCTGCAGGAACAGTGGCCTGTCTGAACTGGCCTGCAACACATTCCAGTTCTTACTGTTGGATGTTTCAGCCCAGCCAAGCTTGGTCCACCCACAGACACAGCTCACACATGGCCAAGTAGGGGCAGAGACTTAGCCTTCACTGTCCTACACCTACGCTGGTCCTCATGAGCACCAGTTTTTGCTGGAATCTAGCACAGATCAGTGCTCCCAGCCCCAGTCCACACTTGTGCTGAGGGACACTGCATCCATATCCAGACCAGAACGCAGTCCCCACTCTGGCCTCTGCACTCACCAGTGGGAACACCAACCCAGCCAGGGTGTGCTCTTAGCTTCCCACCCAGGCCTGTTCCCAGCCATAGATCATGTGCTGGGTTTCTCTGGCCCAGCTTGGCATAGCCCTTCACCTGTCTTGGCTTTTGCCTTAGATGCTGTAGCCTAGCATCTCTGGCTCATGCAAACCAATCTTTATATATGTCATGTTCTAAGAATTGAGTTTTTAATTCTCTTTTTTCTATAATTTTTTGTGATCTTGTATACCCTACAGTTTTAAATTTGAGTGCAATTCATTGATACTCAAATTTATATTTATTTTTAGGCAAAGATTAAATTTAAAGCATACTGTACCTTAATGTAAAATCTGCCCTTTCTGTGTTTCTGTAAGTGCATATGATCCATTGATAGATTCATTGTAGAATTATTGAAGTTATTTGCTAAGTATCAGTTCATCCAGAACATTATACAATATGAATGTGATGTTGTCTCATGAAATATAAAAAAGATTTAGATATTTATGCACGCAACCTGTAAAAATAGAGTCCTGGTTGACTAATTGAGACCCATTATATAAACTGTATTAATTTGGTAAACTGGAGCCACAGCAATGCAATCTAAATCATCAGCTGTGTTCTTTCAGTATGATGTGCTTGCCAAATATATTTCTTACTTGTCAGTATGTATTATTTTATCCAATAAGCCCAGTTATCAGAATGCTTGATGTAACTGCCAGTTAGACTTTTGCAATTAAACTTTAACCTGCTAGTGATTTTTCAAAAAGGTTTGGACTCTTGAAAGAGATTTAAAAGTTAGTAAATCATAGATTTTTAAGGCAGTCAAATTCCTCTGGTTATCATTTACACACTTAAACATAGATAGCTGGTAAACAAATTGAGAATGCTAAAACAAAATTGATACTTACTGTAATTAAAGGACTACCTAGGTATTTCTGAGTGCATTTTGTACTTTATTGCTAAGCATGCCCAGAAAGTTTTTGTTCTTTTTCCTATGGTACTCATTAGAAATTAGTGTACTCTGGTAGACAAACTTTTAAAAAAAAATATATATATATATATTTTTTTTTTAAATTGGAAAGTCAGATCTACAGAGAAAAGGAGAGACACAGAGAGATCTTTGTTTGATCAGTTTAAGCCATTTACATTCAATGTTAATATGGATAGGGGGAAGTTTGCCTGTCATTTTTGCAATGGTTTGTTTTTTGATTTAGTCTTCTGTTATTCTTTTAGTGAGATGTTCTTCACATTTGCCTTTGGTTTTGGCAGTTGCTATTCCTTTTCTTTTTCTCATGAATATCTTTGAATATCATCTGTAGGGCAGGTTTAGAGGAGGCAAATTCATGGAATTTTTCTTTGCTGTGAAAGAATTTTTTATTTTCAAAGACAAAGGAGAGTTTTGAAGGATACATTATTCTGGGCTGAAAATTTTTCCCTTTTAGAATCTGGAGCATGTCAATTCATTTTCTTCTGGCCGGTAGCATTTCCTCTTGAGACTTCAGCTGTGAGTTTGATTAGGGTTCCTCTATAGGTCACTTGGTTTTTTCCATATGCACATTTAAGGATTTTTTTTTCCTTATGTTCAACTAAAGTGAGCTTGATTATCATATGTCATGTTTAGGTTCGCATTTCATCAACTCTGTTGGGAGTTCTGTGACCCTCCTGTATATTGTTTTCCAATTCTTTCTCTAGATTAGGGAAGTTCTCATTTATTATTACGTTGAATACACCTTTAATTCCAGCTTCTCTTTCTGCACCTTTCGGAACAGTCATAAATCTTATGTTGGGCCTTTTAATGGTATCTCTTAATTCTTAGATACTTTGTTTTTTAGTTTGGCCCAGCTCTGCTTCCAGCTATTTGTTTGTTTCACCCTGGTGACAGGAATTATCTTCCAATTCTGAGATTCTTTCTTCTGCTTCATTCATTCTATTTTTAGAGACTCTCCACTGTACTTTTAATTTCCTCCACAGTATTCTTAACTTGTGAAATGTCAGCTTTCATTTGATTCATTTCCAGTGTGACATATTCTTTAAATTCCTCCTGTATTATGTGTTTCTCATTATTGATAAACAGCTTTATAATGAGTTTTCTGAATTCTCTGTCCCCCATCTTTTCAATGTCTTCTTCAGTTAATTCTGAAGTTGGTAGAGGCTTTTGCTCCTTTGCGGAGACTCTTTAGTAACATTCATAGTGCCTCTGTCTCTTCTTTTACCTTTTATGATTGTAATTCTGATTGGCAGATTCTTCTCCTTAGTGCAGGTTTCTAGGATGTATTACCTACAGGTCTTCAAGTTGATTTTTATGACCAGTCAGTGTTCTGGATGAGGAAGATGCCAGCTCCCGAATAATTGGTTTGTCGATGGAGCTGAATTTGCTGACACCTGCTGGCCATTAAGTCTGAGGGCCACCTGGAGCTATTGAACCTGTAGAATGCCACAACAGAACTGTTTTTTTGTTTTGTTTTGTTTTTTCCTGAGGAGCTTGTACAGTGCTCTAAGCTGAAAGTGATTTTGTTCCCAGCTTATCTCTTGTGCAGCTCAGCTGTCCTCCCTTCAGTCTTAACAGTGCCTTGTCCCATGAAAATGGCATCTGAACACTACAGATTTAGTGAATGCAGTTTACTCCTGCTCCTCTGAGCCCTTGCTCCTCTGTGCAGGATGTCCCCTGTGGGACACTGACACAGATCTGGGGCTGTCAGCCGTCAGATCTGGGGACCACACAGACCCTGCAGGATGTGAGGCTGATGCTGCTTTCCCCCTGGGTCCAATTTAGTGCAAATAGGCAGAGATGAGCTCATTCCCGGCTGTCCCTTGATATCCACACACTCCGCCCCACCACACTGCTGGGGAATTGGGGACTGCTGGCTTTCAGTTCTGTGGACCACAGAGACCCTGCAGGACCCAAAGCTAACACTGCCCTCCTCATGGGATTAGTTCAGTACAATCAGCCAGAAATAGGCACACTGTGGGCCATTCCCTCAACTCTGCACTCTACCCCAGCACACAAGACTGTCCCCGATCCCTGCTGTGAGTTCCTTTCTGCCAGTGGTCTACCCGCTGGAGTCCAAGACTCTTTTTCCACTTGTTGTTGGGCCAAACTATTCAGCAGGATTGGCAGGTCTCAGTCTGCATTCACCTCCCAAGGTCCCTGCGCAAATCTAAGCTCCCACCTGGCTGCCACTGGACCCGGATGGCTGCTCACCAGCTGCTGGTAGGTTTTCTGTTCACTGCAGCACCTCTCTGCTATCTCTGCCACTTCCTTGTGTCCAGGGGGTCTCCAGGTACCCCCTGCCAGCTGCCTGACTTCTGTGTTTTTCTGTAGTCTGTTCCTTGTGTTTTGTTTGCCTTGTCTAATGATTTTCTGTCATCCCAAATGTCTCTGCTCCCTATACCGCCATCTTGGCCAGTCCTCTACAATTACTTTTTTTAAAGGTTGATTTATTCATGTGAAAATTATAATGACAAGAGCATGGATAGTGATGAGTTAACTGGCTCACTTCTCGAATGTCCACAACAGTGAAGTCTGTGCCAGTTTGAAGCCAGGAGACAAGAACTCCATCTTGGTGTTCCATATGGGTGCCAGGGACCTAAGTATTTGAGCTGTCTCCCACTGCCTTGCAAGGCACATTAGCAGGGACTGGGAAGGATGTGGAGCTTCAGACGGTCAAAGTGTTACTCAGTATGGGGCACTGGCATCTCAAGTTGTGGCTTAAACTGCTGCACCACAATATTGCCCCCAGGATCATCATCCTTAACTCACAGATCCAATGTAAGAATAGAGTTGTATAGGACTAATGATGTGGCATAGCACATTGAGCTTGTACCTATGGTGGCGGCATCCCATATGGGTACTAAGTCTAGTTCCAGATGCCCCACTTGCACATCAGGTCCATGTGATGTGCCTGTGAAAGCTGCAGTGGATGGTTTAAGTGCTTGGGCCCCTGAACCCTTGCGGGAGACCCAGAAAATGTCTTGGCTTCTTGCTTTGGCCTGGTCTTGCCACAGTCATTGTAGCTATTTGGGAAGTGAGTCAGGGGGTGAAAAGCTTCTTCCTCTTTTTCTCCCTCTCGCTGTAAATATGTTTCAAATAGATAAAAATAAATATTTGAAGAAAATACAATTGTGTTTAAATTTACAAATTCTCCTTGACTTATGATGGAGTTGCATTCCATTAGGCCTATTTTCAGTGGAAACTATTTCATTTGAAATGGTAAGTTGCAAATGTATTTACTGCCCTAGCCCTCTCGACATCACAGCTTAGCAACACAGAAGGCTGTTTCCACTGATGATGATGTGGCTGCCTCATTGCTGCAACCCAGCATTACAAGCAAAGAGGTCACCATCATGGGAAAAGATTAACATTCCAATTATGGTTTTCACTGAATGGATTTTGCTTATGTGTTATCATAAAGTCAAATGATCATTAAAGCAGGGACCTCTTGTATACCAAAAGTTGTGGTATCCAAAGTCAGGATTATTTTTCAGAGTCTGTGAATTAGCATCTTTTCCATGCTTTGAAGGCAAAATGTTGCTTTGTTTTTCCCAAATATGAGATCCCTTTAAATAAAACCTACAATTAGTTAGTATAATCAATAGTTGGTTATTGAACATATTCATTGTAATATGCATTTCTGAATAAATGAAATGTTACGTTTTCTCTGTAGATGTCACACTACAGAAAGAAAGTCAGGAAGGAATTCCAACCCCAACCCAGAGTCAAGAACCTCTGAAACCTCAGGAGAATATATCTCGACCAATTCACCATCCTTTAGTTTTAAAAACTAACTTTGAGGAAGAAGAGGATGAAGGAGAGGATCAAAATGGTTAGTGAAGCATTTCCCAGGTATACAGTGTACATTCAAACACCCGACAGTATTTTCTCATCATTGCAACTGTTAGGGACTTATGAAGAAATATATAAACCAGTTTGTGATAAGAAAATGAATGTAACCTTATTAAATAAGTTTAATTCATTATATTTTAACTTATTTTTTGCACATGTTTACCATTTGGAATGGAAAGTTTTCGTCATTTGATGGGAGACATCTTTTGTTAAACATGGATGAGTGCTTGTACAGATGGCAATGACCTACCTTACTTATACGTAACAACCATTTCAGTGTTTCTCACATCAGTATGAAAATATCAGTCTTATTTATCTCCATATCTAGTAATCATCTGTTGGCTTCACAGTCTTTGGTGTTAAGGAGATCTCTAGTGCAGTGGTGATTTGAACAGCACTGTAATACGTTTTACCTGGGGAGAGCCCATGAGAAGATGAACAGAGCAGGAAGCTGTCTTGTGTATTAGTCCACACTTAACCTCCCATGTATCACAGCACAGTGGTACCCGTCAGTCAGTATCTACAAAATAGATATGCAGAAAAAATATTCACTATGCACTTTCCCTGGAATGCATCTTTGTGTGGACTGTAGGCTGTCATGGTTCCTACAGTTAGGAATACACAGAACCATTTAGTTGTTTTTGTCTGCTGTAGCTCCAAGTTTCTCATGCCTACATCCTCCTCCAAACACCACCTAACATGGGAGTCTGTGCTTCCAACTTTGCATTTAAGATAACCTGATATATAATTTGACATTTATTTTCTCTTGACCAATTCCAATCTTAAAATGTAGCAGCAATGGGAACCATTTGCTAGTGTGCAAAATTCCCGATTTTAAAAATTGAGAAAGATTAATCTGTGAGATTTTTGTTTTCAGATTATTTCGATTTGGTAAAATTTAATTTAAACCAAATGTGTCCTATAGATGCTTCTTGTTTATGGACAAAGACTGCTGAAGAAATTGAAGAAAAAAGAGCAATAAAGGACATGTGTAATAAATCTGGTAAGACATCAAACATCTGATGGATTTTTGAGTACCCAGTGTGATAGATATACTAACCGCTACTTTCCTTCTGCGGGATTAGGTGAATACTATAGATGTCATGCTCTTCCAGATGTTTCATCATCAAAAAGCATTACTCCTCTACTGGAGAAGGAGTTAGAGAAGCCTTTGGAGAATGGCAGTGAACTGCAAGAAGGTAAGAAATGAAAAGGCAAGAATTCTTACTGATGTATAAGGTATTTGATGTGATGAACTGTGAATTCTTTACTATGATGTACACTAGAATAGAATTAAGTGATAAATAATACATCTGAATAGAGGGTGAGAAGGAAGTGTTTTACAGGATGACCCACTTTCTTGAGTGTGGAATATTACTGCTTCTAATGTAATTTCGCTGTCCTAGAAGAGCCAAAAAAAAAAAAAAATGAGTAGGCTTCGTAAGCACATGCTGAAATAGGAATCCTGAAAATAACTGACTTTCAGCATTTTTTTTTTTCTGTGTGATTAATCCCCCTGTGAAAGGATCTGGATTTTTCGCTTTGGTTAGAAATGATAGCCCATCAAGAGAGATAGAAGACGACCACAGAATCGAAATCACAGAAAAGGGATAGATTTGCTTTTAGAGGAGTGTCTCCCGTGGGAATTATGCTCTAGTGAATCTGTTTTGCCCATTGTTAGCTTGTCCTGGGAAACAAGATAAGAGTTTTTATTTGGGGTATTGAACCAGGAACTAAGGCACTCCAGGATCAGAATGTTACGTGTCTTCCAGGGGCACATAGAGAGGAAGGGAAGTGGGCAGCTGCTTGGGGAGCAGTGGGGAGGAGAAAGAAAAGTCTCAGGATCCAGAGCAGTACAGGCTATGATACAGAAGAGCATTAAATTTTTTTTTTTTTTTTTTTGGCAAATGTCTTTGTAGTAAACTGTTCCAACACATGGCTGTAGGTGGCAGCAACACACTTCAAATGATACAACAGTCAGGCAAGCCTTCCTGGGCCCTTTTAGGGAAAACAAACTGCAGTCTTGGGTTTCTCACACACACAAAAAAAACAAAACAAACAAAACAAAACAAAACAAAATTTCACACTCAAATAGAAGCCCAATAAGTAACATATATTAAAAACGGAATGCAATTGTGTGTGTCTTTACATACAATTAATTCCTAAATTCCTTTCACCCAGCTTTCCCTCAAATTATAGAATTTTACTGCATTTGAGTTTTCATTCATTCTGTCTGTAAAAATGCACATTATTATTTTCTGAACTGTTTGAGGATAAGTTACAAACATAGTTTCCTTTTGCTTTTCCGTGCTGCAGTAGAAGTGTTACAATTTGTGTATTGCCATTGATAGAACGGTACTGTTACAGCTCCTGCTCCATGTTCCACCAGTGACAACGTCACAGTCCTTTTCAGAAATATTTTCTTCCACTAATTTGAGATCCATTCCAGAATTACACATTGCTTTCATTGGTTTGGCATATCTCTTTAATTCTGCTTTTAACAGTTGATCTTAGAAGAGAATTACCCAGGGATCTACAAGGAAAGCTATGAAAGAAAAATTTAATTATCACCTTATAAGTGATACTTTCAATAGTGACTCTAATAGTTTTTACTTGATTATTCATGGTGAGTAGATAAAAGAAAAATAGAGATGTAATGTTCAAGATACATCAAATAAACATTGTTTTACAGACATTAGATTGATTTAATTGACTAAATTGTCCTTTGATGAAAAATATAAGACTTACTCCTTTATTTTTAATTTTAAAATTTGCTTAAAGTACACTTATTTGTATATGAGAGTGTGTGAGACTTGTAAGTAAAATACATTTTTTTTTTCTGAAGGATTTACTTGAAAGACAGAAAAAGAGAGACCAAGATAGAGTTCCTATCCGCTTATCCCTACCCCAGATGTCAGCACTGTCTCTGATTAGGATTGAAATAAGGAGTCAGGACCTCAGTCCGTGATTGCCCTGTGGTGGCAGGAGCCCAGTCCCAGGGACCTTCTCTGCTGCCTAGCAGTGTCCCCAAGGGCAGGAGGCAGGAAGTTGGTATCAGGAGTCGAGGCAGGCATCGCATCTAAGTCTTCACGTAGGAACTCAGGCACCCTAATCACCATGGTCATTGCTAAGCCAAAGGCCTGCCCTTTATATTCTTTAAAATGTCTGTTTTCATTTTGAATTATATCATAAACTTACCTCCTGGACTTACTTTTTTCTTCTTTATTTCAAGGGGATGGTCTCACAGTTCCAACAAAATTTAGTGTAATCGAGAGGCAAGGCGAGATAAAAATATCATTGGATAGGAAACCCAGGATTGACATTGCTGCTTTTGAAAATGGAGGTGAGTTGATATGTTATTGGTCAATAATGAATAAAAATGTGCTGGAATTTCTTCTCTCATGACTGATTACATTGTCTCATTTTTTATTTTCTGCATTATGCAAGGGGATGGTAGTGCATTACAAAATCAAATACTTTTAGGAACTAGTATCCCTACCAAACTTCTCGTGAGAATTTTACTTAATGCACAAGATGCTCTATTTTTCATGTTTCAATGAGGGATTTTTGTGTGAGTGTGTGTGTGTGTCTGTCAAGCATATCTGGAAATAATGAATTTATCTGTCAAGCATATCTGTAGTCTACTGTCAGCTATAAACAGAGAAAAGTATGTAATAGATCTACCTTACTGCTGGGCTGCTACATTCAAATACTTCATTTGTGTCAAGCATCACATTCTAATTGCATATTCTATCTTAAAATATCCAGAACTGACTTGAGCATAAACATTTCAGAAAACCTATCATCTGATAGAGTATTCTAAGCCTTATTTGAGAAGCAAAGACAGAACTATCATCTGCTACTTCACCCCCTAAAACAGCCAGCATGGATCAGGGCTGAGACCAAGAGATGAAAATGCCATTCACATCTCCCAAGCAGGTTGGCAGGAACTTGGTGCCCTTATCTTTGTCTCCTGTGGTCTCCATTAGCATGGAGCTGGGGTTAGGAGCCTGAGCCATCATAAACTCCAGGCATTCATGTGTAGGACACATGTGTGTCAGCCTCTGTCTGAAACACAAAACACCCACTCCTAAGCCTATTATGGGGACAGTTTTGAGGAAGAAAAATAGTGTGTTGATGTGAACAATGTGTGTGAAGGGAGAGAAGAAAGTGAAGGTGCCAGCATGTATCCATGGGAGTGTGGCTCGTTCGTGATTTTGCAGTGTCTAGTGCTGAAGTGATTAGATTGTCTTCTCTCCTTTATTGTGTCTGCAGCAGTTCCAGACTGTCTGTCATTGTTTTCCTTCTATTAAACAGTTAGCTTTAGCTGTAACAAATATTGACAGTATTTCCCAGTGGAGTTTACCCCGTTTACACAATATAATGGAGAACAAAACTGAGTTCTGTGTAGCCTGACTAGTTCAAATCATAAAATTTTGGTGAAATGTTGAATTACCTTATTAATGAATAAAAGATCATTTTCAATCAATGATAAATTTATGTTTTCACATAAAACACTGTCATTAATGTTGTGATAGTAGTACTAGATTCTCTAATTTTGGGGGACTTAGTGCAAAAAAAAATCACCATTCACCTTCATTAATATGTGTATGAATATTGTTAGAGGAGTAAGCTGGCTAAGCAACCCTACCAAGAGCATGTTAAAATTTTTCCATCATTTGGGACACTGGGCTTAGTTAGGTTTGTCAGTTCTCCGAGTGTTATAATGTGCTGTGTCTCAAAACCCCAGGCTCTCTTGTGTATGTGTGTATAGAAAAACAGACAACTAAACCTCTTTTTTTTTTTAAGATTTATTTTTATTATTTTTTTTATTGGAAAGGCGGATATACAGAGAGGAGAGACAGAGAGGAAGATCTTCCATCTGATGATTCACTCCCCAAGTGAGCACAAAAGTCAATGCTATGCCGATCTGAAGCCAGGAGCCTCCTACGGGTCTCCCACGCGGGTGCAGGGTCCCAAAGCTTTGGGCCGTCCTCGACTGCTTTCCCAGGCCACAGGCAGGGAGCTGGATGGGAAGCGGGGCTGCCGGGATAGAATTGGCGCCCATATGGGATCCCGAGCGTCCAAGGCGAGGACCTTAACCACTGCGGCACCACGCCGGGCCCTAAACTTCTTTTTATTTATTTATTTATTTATTTTTCAAATTTACTTCAAAGGCAGAGTTAGAGAGAAGGGGAAAGACAGAGGAACCTTAGGGGAGAGAGTACTCTTTCCTCTGTTGATTTGCTCCCCATGTAATTGTATTAACCAGAACTGGATCGGTCCAGAACCAGCATCCTGGAACTCTCTTCAGTTCTCCAGCATGAGTGGCAAGTGCCCAAGTTCTTTTGCTGCCTTAACCAGGCAGATTAACAGGGCGTTGGATCAGAACTGGAGCAGCTGACGCCTGGAACATTGTTCATATGAGATGTCTCAGGCAGCATCTTAACCCTCTGCACCACAGTCTTGGCCCTCAGCCCCCTGTATTGATAAGATGATGAATTATTAGAACTAATATGAAGGTGTTAGTATTCAATTTGAAAGTAAACATTTGATGTATTGTCTTTAAAATTTTAATATTGAGATTTGCTCTAATGAAGTATGCAGATAAATTGATACAATTTACGTGCATATGCCTCAGAATAGTCAAAGCTACTGTACTAGAGAAGACTGTACATTTTTACAAGTCAATATTTCTCTCCCAATGGTAACCATGCCCCTGATGCCTGCTACCATAGGTTTATATAGCACATATTGACTTTTATGAAAATTAAAAGGCACCGTTTGAACTCTTCTAATTTGAATCCTTTTCCTTAACACAGTGTGAGACTGATCTATGTTGTGGATTATAATAGTGTTCCTATCTATATGTGCAGTAATTCTGTCTATAGACATAAAAGATATGTACATCTGCATACTCACACACATGTCTGCATATATATATATATATACATATATATATATCTACTTACTTGCATGAACATACCAATTCATTTATTTTCCTTACTCCTAGTAGTTAATGTTTTATAAAGTTGACATGAACAATGAATTAGCAATTATTGAGCTTTGTTCCTAGGAGAATACAAGCATGAAAACATAGATACTCATGATACACATAAGTGTATCACAAAGATTACAACCTTAAACCCTACAAATTAGTTTTCCTGGTAGATTCAGTTTTTTTGGTTTCTTATTGTGTCTTTTTATTTTTTCGGATACAATTTAGTTGGCACTGGGCTCTCCCCTCCCCCACATTCCCTCACCTCCACTCTGTTCTCTGCTCCAGGTTTGTAATGTAGATTGTTTTATTTTCAAATAAAGAAGCAAGGCTCAGAAGCGTTAAGTGATTCTCATGAGTCTGCTTCATTATTAAGTTTCAGAGTTGGGATTCAAGTCCTTTCCAACCTGCTCCAGAGATAGAACCTCTTGCCCTTCATTGCCTCATCATCTAGTCATCTTGGTATATGCATCAAAACAAAAATGCAGGTGCATTCCGCTGTGGGAGCTCAGCTGGGACTGTCCTGAGCAGCTCAGGATTTGCACCACTGCTTATGCTTGTGAGACACTGCACAAGCACTGCGAGTGTTGCTGCTGACTTGGACAGACATGACTGCTGCTTGGGACTTGTCTAAGTTCCTTTGTTATCCTTGTTAGTCAACTAAATAACAACAGACTGGATAATTTATAAAGGGTAAAGCCAGACAACATCTTGAAGGACGTTTATGATACTGCAAAGGAACTATAGTACTGCAAGGAAAAAAAACAATTGGTATCTCTTTTCCTCTCAGATTTTCTCCTTAATCCAAGGTGCATGGGCATTTCCAGACATTGGGCTCTCTTGCTTGCTTACATGAGTGATTACAATGAGCCTGAGATGCAGTTTCTTTCCTAGTAAATAAGCAATGCCTTCATGGAAAAATGTGCAGTAAACTCAGAGTTTAATTCATCCAGAAGAAAATCTAGGAATGTACTTTGTGAACCTGTTGTTGTCAGGCATCTCTAGTCTTATGTGTTGGTTGCCTCACAGTCAGTTTTTTTGTTTGTTTGTTTTTGTTTTTTTGTTGTTTTTTTTTTTTTTTTGCCGGGCTGGTGGTACTTTGTAATAGTCATTTTGTGGGGGAAATTACTGTGATACAAGCTATTTCATGATGGCAAACTCCAAATTCCTTCTGGGGTTCATTTTCATCACTGGTTTTGTGTAAGTTTCTTGAGGTCAGCCTCTATGTGTATGGAGTTTGTATAAATAAATATGGTAGAACTCTGAGACATCATGTGTACTGAAGAAATACTTGTAGAATAAAGAATTGTATGTGTAACTGTGATGGATGATTGTGGGACTGGAGATGAGTTTATAAAATGTCCCAATGAGTGGAAGTTAATATTGCAGGGCCATCAGCCAAATATAACGAGCTAAGCACAAAACAGTGATAATGTCTTCTATCTAGATTCTGTTTAGGTTCAGAGCATGAAAGGTGGGTTTTCTTCAAGTCAGGAAAAATCTGACATCCTGATGTCTGTAAGATTAAAACTAGTGCTTGTTGTTGGACAAGTGTGTTTCATTGTGAAATAGCTAAGGACCTTGAAAAACTAGGAGTAGTACAGAGACATAACAAATCATTGTCATTTTCTCAGTGTGTGTCCAGCCCACAGAAAAATGTTTCACGAACATCAACTATTATTATGTTAGGTCTCCTAAGATCTTAATAGATTTTCAGTAGTGGAGTGTCAATTTTTGAAAACAAAATTATGTTAGAACTGGGTAACTAGTGTGGTGAAAAATCTGGGCATTTTGTACTTAGGTGATATTTAAAGTAGTTATGGAAATTTATCCTGGGAAATTCAAGACCTGAAAAGACCACAAAATCTATTTTCATATATCTGAATATATAATAGGAAGAAAATGTTCATTTACTTTGTCTATATAGTATGCCAGCTAAAGATTGTTTTAAGTTAAAGTAGAATCACTATTGTTGAGTATGTGAATTTTCTTTTAAATACCTATGTAAAAGTTAACATGTTTGGTATTCATATGCTATTCTGCCTGTGTTAATATAAGCATTTATGATTTATGTAAATAAGTAGGTGTAGTATCTGTGATGCATGTCTAAACAGAAGTGGTACACGGGGATTTATAGAAAATATTCCTATCCTAGAAGGTAGTTTTGTTTTTAATAACAGCAATATTTTATAGTGTTCATCTTCTCAATTATTCAGAGTTCTATAATTTACAGATGTAAAGGTCATTAGAAATTATCTTTTCCTGTAAAGTTTTGGGTGCCAGTTATGTAGAAGGTAGTCTTGTAGGCCCTTCTGCATTGGCACTGATGGTAAGCTTTCCACAGGAGGTGACTGTTACATTCCACAGAGGATCATATATATTGGAGTAGATGAAAGTGAAGCTTTATCTGAAGAAAAGGAAATCACCCTGTCAAAATGTTCAAATACTAAAGGTAATGAATCATTCTGTAAGTTTGATCCATTTGTATTTTCTATCAATATGTTGAACGCAAAGCTTTCTTATAAAATCCAATGTAAAAGCAAAGAAGTAAGTGAAAATGCACACTGAGTAGAAGTGAAGCATCCTGGGGTTCCAGGCGTGGCTCTCATCTCCAGTTGTTGGACCACAGGGCTTCATCTTTTTAAGCTTTGCTTTCTGTGTCGAAAGTTTCCGCCTACATACTTGCTAGGAACCTTGCTAGTTTTGAAGTTACTGTCTGTCTTATCTAGTCCTACCGAGACTTTTTGTGTTTCTATCAATAAGAGAATCATGTTAGAAAATTTTGTTTGGGTATGCTATGAAGAGCATTAGTCTGGTGTTGAATCCTCCACTTTATAATGATGAAGAAATATGGCCAAATGTGCTCTCAGTAGCTTCCTCCAGCCCTGCTCTGCGCAGGATTGCTCCCTCTGCTGGGGCACCTCTCATTCACACACTGAAAGGACAGCTATTGTGTCAGTAGCGGACTTCATGTTCTTTCTGTTAAAATGTAACCCGTTTCCTGAAATGTGTCCTGCATCATTCAGTAATCTCAAGCATAGAGAAGGGGCATGTCAGTAAGTTGAAACATTGTAACGGAAAATTCTCTGTGAATCTCTGTCCTCAGAAGTGGAAACATTGTGCTTTAAGCAATTCTTGGAGCTTCTCTAATGTGGTAGCCAGCAGCCACGCGACGCTGTTTAAATTCAATTCAAGGTCAATAAAAATTTTTAAAGTCTTTTAGTTCACGTACCATGTTCCAAGTGTTCCATGGCCACATATGTCTGGTAGCTCCTGTGAAGGACAGCACAGTTTTATTACATTTGCATGTTAGAAGTATTATAATATTTGCATGGGAGGACTATTGGATGTTTCTGCTGCAGAGCATGGAATAAGCTCCATTTAAAAATATTTTCAGAACCCTCATTTAAATGAGCCTCATCATGTTCAAATAGATCACTTTTTACTTCTTTTGTAGTGACAATTATCTTATTTACATTAATATTAGGCTGTACTTCTGGTTTTCTGGTTTTGTGAGTAAATGTGTAACTACGACATTGTAATGATTCCTTCTGAAAAACTCTGTATACATTTGTATTTTAAAGAGGTGTGCATATCATGTAATGCTTAAAAGGGAAATGCCAACTGAAATGTTTCTTTTGCTGACACAGATATTTTCTCATTTTGCTTTAACAGATATCAAGGACAATTTCCACCCAAAGCGTTCCCTAACTACGCGAATAGCACCTGCACCGCATGTGTTAAATGCTACCGAAAACATTGGTTTGAAGTGTAGAGACGACCGCTCTTTAAGTGAGTCATTTGATTTATCACTTTGTGGCATTAAATATATTTTTGGGATGCATTTGTTTTGTTCATATAAAATGGAATTTTAAAAATAATCTGAAAATTATTCAGTTGTAAGAATTAAAGACAAATTTTCCTCTGATCATTCATTGTGATTCAAGTTCTAGTAAGTACTGTTTTTCTCACTAGTTTAATAGTATATTGCCTTTTCAGACTTTTAATTTCACCTACAGTGCAATAAGTTGACAGCCTTTTAGTTTTCAGTATGTGCAGCTATTTCTCTTGACATATTAAAACTTCTGAATCTTCCTGATTCCTTCCTTCCATCCTTCTGTTTTTTACTTATTACTTATTTAATTTATTGAAACCCTTTGATAGTCTTGGATCCCAGCTGGGAGAGCCATGATGGCTTTTCCAAAGAAAGCTATTTGGTGAGATGTATATATGTTATACACACACATATGATTATTACACATGGGATGTTACATATGCCGGTCATGATTGGGCATTTAGTGTGAAGCTGAGGCATAATGTTAAAGTAAGCGAGCGTTCAGAGCTTCACTGAGGACTTAAGCTGAAAGTGAATGTGAAGCCTCAGACAAAGGCAGCTTGAGCTCGCTGCCCAAAGCGCGTCTCATCTACACCCGAGCACCTGATGCTCATTCTCTCTATGTACCAATCAATTGTGAATAACAGCTTGCTGAATGTTACTTTATATGTGAGTACCTCCCACAGTAATTTTCAGATGAAAGCATTTCTTAAAAAAACTGTAAATTTTATATCTTCCCTAAGTGAATGATGCCCCGCCAGTGAGGAAGTCTCATTTGAAGGGTGTGAAAAAGAGAAAATGGATTTATGATGAACCAAAGAACTTTTCTGGTCCCGGAATGCGACGAGGTAAAGTGTCCATATGTTTGATATTCCATATTCTAATCTGAAAGCTGATTAAATACTAAATATTTTCCACCTGAAACCAAATCACTGTCACGCAATATAAATGTCATTTTCGACGATCACTCCAACCTCTGTTTCTTTCAGTTTGTATTGTCTTTCATTGTCCCACCCAGTCCTCATGCTACACTAATGTTTGTGTTCATGATTATGAAACCAGCTTATTGTAACCTTAACCCACCTTCTCTTCCCTTTCTTCAACAGCAGTACAGGCACCAAATCCCAAAAACAAAATGAGTTACCACCGCAACAATAAGAACCGAAATGCCGAGAATGCATCTTATATCCACATGCAAAGAGATGCCGTCAGGGCTGTCTCACTGAACGCCCCGCCCCGCAGCAAGCCCACGAACGGGTCCTGTAACAAAGCTGATGTTAACAAGGAACCCAAACTCAACCTCTATCCAGGTGAGGGTCTTAACCACTGCGGCTTACTCTGGCCTCTAGTTTGCCTTCCTAAGGAACTGCTTGATGACTTGGCAAATGGTTGATGTTACCCAGTGCCCTCTCGTGTTCCTAGCCCATCATCACCGTGACACCTATTGAGAGGATTTCTTCCCCTGGGCAGGAGTGGATGTGATTCAGAAGATGTGGAGGAAAGCTGATGCTGGGTGCAGATGATTAGCTCGTGTTCCTCCCTGGCGTTTTGGGTCAGACCTCTGCACTTTGATCCCCCTGGCTAGCTTTCCTTGACTCCGGAGGATTGTTTTTAAATGGTTGACATTTTCTTGTTCCACTGACTGCTTTCTTCAATTATCACTGTCAGGCTGGCACCTTAGTTTTTCTTTAGGCTCTTCATGATTACTTTCTGAAAGGGTTAGTTTGGGGGTTGGCTGTAATATTTTTGCCAACCTCTCATCTCTCCCACCATGCACAGATTGCTTCTAAATCATTTCATCATATAATAGTCAGAGTCATACTGTATGTCTGGAAGTACAAGGCCACAGGGGAGGAAAGAGCCAACTCTTTCTTTTTTTTTTGCTTTGCACCTCAGATAAATTTTGTTCTTTTGAAGTTGAGTTTAAGCTCCCCTCAACGTAACAAAATGCTGCTTGTTTCTGTAAATTTCACGTTTCTAAGTTTCTATGTTTGCAGTCCTGAAGGCTATAAATCTTTGGAAACATAAGACCCTACGTCTTAGTTTCTTCAGTAAATAAAAATTAACTTCACTGAAGTTATATTTCTGTTTATCTTAATATAACAACATAGATACATATATCCAAAGAAGGGTATTCTTTGGTGAAACGGTTTTTTCAATTTTACTTGTTGCTACCACTGTTATATTTATTAATATTATTTTATTACAAATATATGGCTTTAAAAATACAGTAAGTAGTAGAATGACTTGTTTCCAGTATATTGAGTGGGTGAACATTTTGTCAGTTACACATGACACTCTTCTGCACTGTTAGTGCATGTGTCAGCACACAAAAAAACATCAAACTCTTGGAATTGTTATGTACCAATCTTTGAAATTCATAGCTGCTTAGTAATTCTTGAAAACACAGTGTTAAGTACTTATGTGTGCTTAATTTTAAAAATTATTTACATAAGTTAAACAAATTCCAAGTATTTCATATATATACAGATTTAACAGCATAAAACTTCCTACCCTATGTCTCCTCCCAATCAAGCTCCCACCCCTCCTCCCTTTGAGAAATGCCCGTTTGCACCCTTTGTCTATTTCTTAGCTCGATTTTTTTAGTTGAGTTGCTTGCGCTTCTTATGGATTCTGAATATTAATTCTTTATCAGTTGACTAGTTTATAACTAATTTCTCCTATTCTGTTGGTTTCCAGCTCACTTTGTGGAGTGTTTCCTTTGCAGAGCAGCATCTTTTTAGTTTGATGTAACCCCAGTTTGTCTTTCTTGGCTTTTATTGCCTGTGCTTCTGGGTTTTTTCCAGGCAGTCTTTGCCCATGATGATGCCTTGCGGAATTTTCCTGAGGTTTTCCTCTAGTAATTTGATGGTGCCAGGATGTTTATTTGAATCCTTTATTCATGTTGGGTTGATTTTTGATTAAGATATAAAGTAGGAGTCTTTCTTCATATGTCTTGATGTGCAGATCCAATTTTCCCTGCATCATTTGTTCAAGAGACTGTCCTTTACCCAGGGTTTTAATTTAAACTTACTTGTCAAGCATTGGTTTGTGGTTGATATGTAGATTAATTTCTGAGGTTTCTATTCAGTTCTGAGTTGTCTACATGTCTGTTTTAATGCCAGTACCAAGCTGTTTTGATTATAGCTGCCCTGTAGTATGTCTTGAAATCTGCTATTGTGGTGCTCACTACTTTGTTGTTAAAGGGTTCTTTAGCTGTTCAAGCACTCTTGTATTTCCATATGAATTTTTGCATTTTTCTTGTAAATCTGAGGAGGCTGTCACTGATATTCTCATTGGAATAACATGGAATTTGTAAGTTACTTTGTGAAGCACAGGGATGATTTTTTTTTTTTGAAAATAAGTCTTCTAGTCCACAAATATGGAGCATTTTCCCATTTTGTGTGTCTTCTTCTATTTCTTTAATATTTTGCAATATTTATTGCAGAGATCTTTCATGTCCTTGAGAAAACATACTTGTAACCTTATTGGATACCAACCAAAATGTAGAGATGTTCTGACTTCCAGGGCAATGCATGCATTGCTCCAGACTGATCAATGCGATGGAAGATCGAACTAGAACTTGAGCTATATCACATTTTATAGCACTACAAATATGAGTGAACTTGTATGCAAAATTATGGATAATTAATACTTTTAATTACATCTTGGTATCATATTCCCTAACTTAGCCTCACGGAAGAGAGGCTTATTTGAGGAATTTGATGAACAATCAAAAGATCTGCCACTGATAACATAAATGGTGTAAATTCACTTGTATCCCTGATACCCTGGCTTCTTTACAGATTCTGGGATTCCCCTCCCCAAACTCCAACCCCCGACTGATTTTCCGCATGCCATTACAATAACACAGTCCTTCACGAGGAATTATAATTCCATCAGTGTGTTATTTAAGTGTCCCCCGACATTGCTGGTACAGACGTCAGACACCCTAGCTTCTAAATAATAAAATGAAATATTTATGAAGTAACTTCACCTCTGAGTTGTTTTTAGGTTTGAAATACCCTTGGACAATTATTTTCAAGTTATAAAATATTTAGCTCTGGTCTTTTTTTCAGACAAATGTATGTCGACATCGTATAATAGTTCAGCTTGGAGAAAAAGAATTCCATTTTCAAAAACATATTCAAAAAATGAAAAGATTTATCCAGGTAAACATTTACTGGTGATTTGAATGTATCATGTACTTTTTTAAATGAATGACACATTTTAAAGTTCAAGAAACATATTTTAGAAACATTAAAAATAAAATTTCCATGAGATAGTTGCACGTTTAATTTCACGGAGATTCCTAGGATATCTACTGTCTAATAGAAACTTTCCTTGACAATAAGCATAGTAATTGAAGCAGTTGTGTAATATGTTATGACACAGTCTTTGCTGTGCTACAATGTAAATATATAAACTGTATTTTTACATAGGTAACATGTTACAGCCTTACTGTATTGCAATAGGAAAATATTGGCTGGTATGATTGGTCCAGGCTGACGTGGCATCCAAGATGAATTTTCTTGTCTAAGAAAATTCAATCAGTTTGTGCCCACTGATTGTTGAACCTAGGAGGTTGGAAAGATTGTGGGAATTTCTTGGGATAAAAGGTTTGCAATAGCCCTGACCTGGGCTATCCTGCTAGACATCATTGTGCCTCCTCCAGTCTAACGTGGTTTCACAAATTAGGTTTGGAAAACCACACAGGGTGAAATGGTTTCAGTGACTTCCTATATGGCTGAACTTTTCATAGAAATTGCAAAAAGGGAGCTCATATCTAAATACATAATCTAGAATGCTCCAAATCATAAATTCTTACACAAATTCCTTCCAAACAGGAAGCATGTTCCATCTATCTATAATGCTGACTTTGTGTATCCATGTGTGAACAGGAAATATGCACCACTCCTGTTGACCACCACATCTATACAACTATATGTGAACAGGAAGGATGTACTATCCATATGTAGTGCAGAATCTACTCATCCTCTGTGAACAGGGAAAATGTAGCTTATATGCATGACACTGAATCTGTGCATCGACATGCAAATAGGAAACGTGTACCATTCCTGTGTAGTACAGAGTCTGTGCATCCGTGCATGATCGGGAAGCATGTGCTGTTTAGGCATAACACAGAAACTAAACATGGATGTTTGAATAGAAAACGCGTAGCTTGCATGTGTGGCACAGGATCTGTGCATCTGTAAGTGGCTGTGTTGCAGCTTTCAGATGTGACAGAGAAAAGCTTTGGAGAGAACTTTCCAGGGTCATCTGAGTGGAGGGGAAAACTGATCCTGTCTAATGTGACAGGACTGAATACTGCTTTTTGAGATTTCCAGGTGGCAGGACAGCATGCATTCTGGGCGGCAAAGTGGGAGAAATGTTTCCCAGTGGACAGATGGGCTGCTGGAAGGAAGGGGGGCAGAAAACAAAGTTGCCTCTGGCTTGTTTCTCTTAAGTCTTTGACAGTCATGGGCACAGAAGTGTAAATGGGCAAGGGGAGCCTTTTGGGAAAATATTATTGGATGCTGTGATAAGAGGAAAAGGTCAGTGCTTGTGAGAGGCAAGGGAAGGAACTACAGAGGCCTGGAGATGTCATTCTCACTCCTGGCTCCCCCAGAGGCCCATGTCCTTTCTGATATAGGTATAACTGATACAGTAGAGGTGGCTGTCTCAATGTGACTGAATGTTCATTCTAAGTGCCCAGTTGTGCAGACTTACAAATAATATTAATTCTGTTCATTTCCACCACTTCATCCAAATGCAATACATGATAAGCAACAATGGTGTAAATTGAGCTTGAATAACATTTTGAAATTTTATGAAAGAAAATAGTAAGCTTAGTTTCTGTTTTGCCTTTGGATTTTGTGGCTGTTAGTAAAAGAAATGTGAAATATCAGCACCCTTGAGGATGAAAAAGAAATAATGTTTTGTGTATTTTATTATTAGAGCAACGAAGAAATGGAAGTAAGTAAACTTGGAGGTTGAGAGAAGAGAAAAATGGGAAAAGAGGAAAGTGCCAGACATCATTTGATTTACAATCGAAAATGAAACTTCAAAGAATGAGATATTCAAGTACCCCATAGTATAATCGGGATAGCCAAAGATGATAAAATGCAAATTCTGAAAATAAGATGCAGGAAGTACATTGTGCTCTTTCAACACTGATAAATATGCAAATTACAAACAGCTGCCTGTGAATTTATGTAGGTCTGGAATTGATTCAATGCATTACTACAAACATTTAATAAAATTTAAAAGTTTGGCAATAAAAATCATTCTTTAATTGTGACCCTAATTGAATTGCACATATTGAGTCATAAAACTGTGCCCTTGACCTCTGTTTTGCAATGTCTTAATGTAGGAAAACTCACTTTCTGGATGTAAATGAAGGGTTGGGGAAAAAAAGGGTTTTTTTTTCTGTCTTCATCTAGCTTTTAAGCTGGGCTGTCAGCAATGATAACACATAAAAAGTGTAAACAAATTCAATGCAATTCGAAGGTTACAGTTTGGTGATGAGAATGTTAGAGGAATCTTAATAGAAGAAGACTTTGATGTGTTACAGAAGGAGACAGAGATTGGTTTATTATGCAGGGCAATTTCTTTTAATTGGCAGATATAAGATCTGCTGAGATATGCTATATTCACAAAAATAAATATTTTTTGGCATGCAAATGAAAATTGTAGGATCATATTGAGGAAAGGACATGTTTAACAGAAAACTGAATTAATACTGTGTTTTCTCAAAAGATCTTAACGAAGCTATAAGGTTTAGAAAACAGTAAGCATCCTGTGTAAGTATACCAAAACAGTATAGTTACAAAGAGAGAGATCATTTGAAAATCTTATTTCTATTTATCTTATAACTGTTTATAATTGCAAATTTTGATTTACTAATTATAAAGCTTTCAGTCAAAATTAACTCTATGCAGAGTAACTAAAACAAAAATGAAATATTTTATTCAAACTTAAAAGCTAATATCAAATCAGTATTGAAATTGCATTCCAATAATTTTTGTCAATTTAGGTACCATTTATACTTTTCAGTTTATTAAGCCTTAGAATTTCATTGATTTTGAGATACCCTGTGTTTATATTTGCATGAATCTCATGGTTATTAGTAGCCTTTTATTCTTTACTTTTTGAGGGGAGAGAATAAAGATTATTAGAAATATTTACTTAAAATATCTTGTAGGATTTGATTTCAGGCTGTACAATAATGAGACTTCATGTTTGGTTTTCATAGTGCTCATTCAGGAATATGGAAATGAAGTCATTTTGTTTTATATACAACAAGTAGCAATAAAAATAATGTCACTGAAATGTGTTAGCAAACTTAGGTAGAAGTAAAAAAAAGTACAGAAATTGATGGAAGCTGATTAAGAGATATCATGCAATTCCATTTAATGACTAGATCTGTTTCATTCTAGAACTTCAACTAGAGATGAAGTGGGAAAGGTTAGAGAAAAGCAATGTAAGAAGTCTCTTTTGAAGTACAAATACTCCATGTGTTAGTCTTTATTGCAAGTTCAGTACTGAAGAATCAATGAAGCATGGCAAGTCGGAAGGAATGCCTAAATGAGACTGCACACGTGTTGTTCCTAAATAAATGGAACAATATTTGTGTATTTTTTCCGAAGAATCAATGGTATTAGCAACAAGTATTAACAAGTATTTTGACACTTATGGTTTATGGAAAAGACAGTTGACTTTAAATAGGGATAAATTAACTAAGGAGGAATATAGCAAATGCTTAGATAAGTAAACAAGGGATGACAAATAACCAATCAAATAATTAATTAGTCTGCACAAGCTTATGCTACTAACTCTTGAACATAGAAAACTTGCATTTAAATATAACTTTCATAATTGCAGTGGTTGAAAGTTTTTTCCCTGGCATATCCAAATGTTTTTGATAAATTTGATTGGCATTCTATGATCTTAGTTGTTTTAAAAGGTATTGGTGTTAGAAATGACAGTAAAAATAGCATTTATTTGATCTTTAACATATTAGTCAGGGCTGCTGAAATAAAGTACCAGAATTATCTTTAACAAGAGAAATTCATCCTCTGTCATTTTTTGGAGGCTAGAAGTCTGAAATTTGTGTGTCAGCAAGGTTGATTCCTTCTGGAAGCTGTCAAGGAAAAGATGTGCCAGGCTTCTCTCCCTGACTTGCTCACTGCCATCTTTCCTCGGTGTCTCCTCTTACCGCCTTTGCACTAGCTGTGTCTCCACATCCCAATTTCCCCTTTTATAAAGACACAATCCTTACTGGGTAGCACCCATTCTCCTTAACTTGACTACCTCTGTGAAGCCTTTCCTACATTGGGAGTGCTGCACATTATGATTTCAACATACACGTTTTGAAGGAGATATGGAAAATTGTGTAGTTATTGCAGAGTGTACTTCCTCCTGGGGCACGTTTTATGTCTCATGTCTAGGGGAATGAATCTATTTTTGATCTAGTGACAAAGAGATGTGATGGAGATGGGTCCTGAGGGTGATAATCAGTGTCTTTGAATGACACAGGAAGGGTTAATGAATGCAACAGGAAGGGTTAATCCAAGATGAGTGTGTAGAGGCTGCTGCGGGTGGAGTTGTTATATTCTGCTGTAAGGAAGGCATCAGAATTTGGAACTTAATGTTGCCAGCTTCATGGAGGTCTTCCCATATATCCCCTCCCAGCTTTCAAGATCAAATCCCTTCCAATTCAGTGTTTTTACTTGAATGGTAGTCACCCTGCAGCTGAAAATTCAATTTGTATGGTAATCCATCTGCTTACCAGATCAGATGCTCAGTCCCTGTGGCAACGCAAGATGAAGACCTCTTCATGGCAGGGACATTCATTTTTTGAGGCATTTATGAAGCACTGGGGCTGGAAATTAAAAGTTCTAGGCTCATATTTTTTTGTTCCACTTTCTTCAGGAACAGTAGGAGCAACGATGGCATCTCATTATCAACATTATTGTTGTTATATTTTTATTTGAGGGGCAGAGAGAGAGGCAGAGAGACATCCCATCTCGGTATTCTCTCCAGATGCCTGCAGTGACCTGCAGGAAGGGCTAAGCTGGTAGCAGACAGCCATTTCAGGTTTTCCACGTGGGCAGCAGGAATCCAGATAGTTGAGTTCACTCTGCCAGCTGGGGTCTGCGTTAGTGGGAAGTTGGAATCAGGAGATTGAGCCAAGGGTTGAACCCAGATTCTTCAGTTCGGGTTGTGGAAGTTTCAATGAGTATCATAAACACCAAGCCAAATGATCAGCCCATCTTTGCTGTGACAAAAGTGTGCATAGGTATCAGACACCTGATGATCCAGATCCTTGCTTGCCATAACTGATGGAGTAGGATTGTCTAGTGGTGATGTTGTTGTGTGTTTCCATTGTGATATCACACACATTATCAATCTCCTCTTGACTTCTGAAACTATTCAATTTTGTGTTTAATCAGATTATAGAACCCTATTCTAGAAAACCCACAAAAATTTCAACTCATCTTTAAGGTTGTGTTCCTTTGCATTGAGTTTTATTCAGAGACACAGAACCAAAAAGATGTGTGTATATTTGTGTGTGTGTATTTATCTGTACACAGGATACTAAAAAAATCATGGGAAATGTATATGATGAAAAACTATGGGATTCAATCTTTTTGCATTATTTTTTAAAAAGATTTATTTTTATTGGACAGATATACAAAGAGGAGAAGAGACAGAGAATAAGATCTTCTGTTTGTTGATTCACTCCCCAAATGGTCACAACAGCCGGAGTTGCGCCGATCCAAAGCCAGGAGCTAGGAGACTTTACAGGGTCTCCCACGTGGGTGCAGGATCCCAAAGCATTGAGAAATCCTCGACGGCTTTCCCAGGCCACAAGCAGGGAGCTGGATGGGAAGTGGGGCTGCTAGGATTAGAACCGGCGCCCATATGGGATCCTGGCACTTGCAAGGCAATGACTTTTGCCACTAGGCTACTATACCGGGCCCTTTGCATCACTTTTGATTCTACCTTTTCATCCTTAAATTATACCCTCATGTGTGTGTTTAAATAAGAAGTTTGCTTGAATGAGTAAGCTTGTATGATTGTGATGGCTAGATTATTCAGTCTGATGAGTCACCAGCAGGGAGAGTTAAAGTGTAAGTCTGTAGGCAGTTTCCTAGAACCCTAGGAAAAACCAGTATTGCAGATTGTACTTGAAAGGAGTCTATTGGGAAATCCCTTCTCTTAGGGAAGAAGTGTCTCAGTATTTGTTTTGTTTTGTTTTTCCTAGTAAAGCTTTCAACCAATTGGAGGAGGCCGTCAATGTTATGGCGAATAATCTACCAACACTCTACCCATTTAAATGTCTCATGTAAAAACTGCTGTATAGAGACATCCAGAATAATGTCTAATTCTGAGTACCATGGTCAAGCACTTGGAGCACGTGAAATTAGTATCATTTTGGGCTTACCTGAGAATCCAGGATTGTCTCACTGCCTTTGGACTTGTTCATTGGGGACCTTGATTTTCCTTTGCCATGTAGCCTGACATGTTCCCAGGTTACAGGGATCCAGATGTAGTCATTTTTAGGAAGCCATTTTTTTTGTCTACTACAACCACATCTCAATTGCAAAATGGTAACCATAGTTTTCATATAGCAGACACCATGCTACATAAAATAACTTTAAACATTAACCCCTGCCTCACAATGAGATTTCTGAACCTTTACTGTCCTCATTAATGAGAAACTTCTTTTCTGTTAATTATACCAACTGGTCACATGGCTTGTCAGTGGCATGTATCATACTTATGTCTCCAAGCCCATTTGCTTAGCTAGAAAAGGTAAAGATTTGATTATACTTGATTCCCTTAGTCTCTTTAATCCTGAAGCCACCCTGGACCACTCAAGCCCAGAGATGTCAACCTCAGAGTCATTACAATAAAATTGTTAATTTCTCTGTTTTAAAATCCATTTTCTTGAAGAATGCTATGGCTAGGCTGTTTACCTCAAATCTGTTCCTCAAATAAGGATAAAAGTATACGTATTATTAATACAACATTAATTTTGCATCTTTTGACAAGCAAGACAGAAAAGCAAGATAGAGAACATAATTGTATCACAAAAATTATAACCCCACCAAAGCCATGACTCTACTACCTTAAATGTGGAGCTCATCTTTTGTAAACCTAAATGAAATTTATTCTACAAGTGTTCAAAGCACATCCTTCAAAGTCAAGCCCTCTGCTAGGGGTTTAAAATACAAAGGTGGATTTTTCCCAATCGAT